TGCTCCCCGTGGCCGTGGTGGCCCCCGCGGTGGTGGCCGCGGTGGTGCCAGCGGTGCTCGCGGTGGTGCCAAGGTCATCATCGTAAGTGTTATCCATGCTCTCACGCCCAAACGAATTTGTGAACTGACATCCTCTGCGTAGGAGCCCCACCGTCACGCCGGTGTCTTCGTTGCCCGTGGTGGTAAGGAAGATTTGCTCGTCACCAAGAACCTCACTCCCGGAGAGGCTGTCTACGGTGAGAAGCGCATTGCCGTCGAGTCTCCCGCCGAGCAGGATGGTGCTGTGACCAAGACCGAGTACCGTGTCTGGAACCCTTTCCGTTCCAAGTTGGCTGCCGGTATCCTGGGTGGTCTCGATGACATCTACATGCGCCCTGGCTCCAAGGTCCTGTATCTCGGTTCCGCCAGCGGTACCTCCGTCTCCCACGTTGCCGATATCGTCGGCCCTACCGGTAACGTCTACGCCGTTGAGTTCTCTCACCGTTCCGGCCGTGACCTGATCGGTATGGCCACCCACCGCACCAACGTCATCCCCATCGTCGAGGACGCCAGACACCCCCTCCGCTACCGCATGCTCGTCCCTATGGTCGACGTCATCTTCGCCGATGTTGCCCAGCCCGACCAGGCCCGTATCGTCGGCCTGAACGCCCACATGTTCCTCAAGAACGAGGGTGGTGTCATCGTCTCCGTCAAGGCCAACTGTATCGACAGTACCGCCAAGCCCGAGGTTGTGTTCGCCCGCGAAGTCCAGAAGATGAGAGAGGAGAGAATCAAGCCCAAGGAGCAGCTCACCTTGGAGCCCTTCGAACGTGACCACTGTATAGTGTCTGGTATCTACAAGCGCTCTGCATGAATTTAAAGAACAAAAGAATCTGGTGGTCTGCTTTCTCATGTTTTAATTATTTATGCTCTTTACAACCGGCGTCGAGTGTTCCGTGATATGCTGAAATGCTTCAACTTTTTTTTTTCTCTATATTTGGTCGCTCTATCAAATCGTGTCCTTGTCTAGGTTTCCCTAAATGTACTTCTTGAGACAGAAATTCGAGGGTTACGATATCTGGTTGGTCTAAATGTATGCTCTAGCGTATTGACTGCTTAGGATCTCAGTTGTGTAAGTGTACCCACTGCTTCAGGTGGATGTAGATACCTAGATCCATGGCGATATGTCATACGGGGAACGTAACAGCGTATGGATATCTCGGACTTTCGCCGGCTGTCCGGTCGTAGCCTAACTCGGCAGTCGGATTATGTGCCGATGCAGTGAACGACCAGCCACCAGGTTCGGACTTGCTGCGTTTCAACCCAGATCAACGGGCGTTGGTCAATCATGTTGTGGTGATTGATGGAAAAGCAGGATGGTCATTCCGAGGGCGTGGAGCCGTGGAGTGCGTTACCTACTCTTTAGCATCCTCTCCGCTCGAACCCCGCAGCGTGCTGGTATATAGACTTTACCATTACTCCTCAGCACCTTAAGCAACCACCTGGTACCACCTACACTACAATCTCACCTCTAAAACCCGCCTCGCGACGACGAGAAATCCAAACTACAACATGTCAATCATCATCACCGGCGCCAGCGGCTACGTGGGCCAGGAACTGGCCGCGGCGCTGCTATCCAGCTACCCAGAGATCACCGTGACGCTGACGGACGTGGTCACGCCCACCGTCCCCGCATCCGCCGCGCAGCACGCCTCGCGCACCCGCTGCCTCGAAGCGGACCTGACCTCGCCCACGGTCATCGACGAGCTCTTCACCGCGGCGCAGCCCTACGAGACCGTCTACCTCCTGCACGGGATCATGTCCAGCGGGTCGGAGGCCAACTTCGAGCTGGGCATGCGGGTCAACCTAGACGCGACGCGGCAGATCCTCGACCGGCTGCGCACCGTGACCCCCGGGGTGAAAGTGGTGTTTACGTCGAGCCTGGCGGTGTACGGGCCCGCGCCGCCGGGGTTCGTGATCGACGAGACCAACTTCCCGGCGGTGCCGGCGTCCTCGTACGGCTCGCAGAAGCTCATCATCGAGACGCTGCTGAATGACTACTCGCGCCGCGGCTTCCTGGACGGCCGCGCCGTCCGCCTGCCCACCGTGACCGTGCGCGCCGGCAAACCCACCCAGGCCGCCAGCAGCTTCGCCAGCGACATCATCCGCGAGCCCTTCCACGGGCGCCGGGCGGTTTTGCCCGTGGGCAAAGACACGCGGATGTGGATCTGCTCGCCGCAGACGGTGGTGAGAAATCTTGTGCGTGCGCGCGAGGTGCCCGCTGAGGCGTTTGGGGACTCTCGGGCGGTCAATCTGCCCGGGTTGTTGGTTAGTATTCAGGAGATGTTGGAGGCGTTGGAGGAGGTGGGCGGGCCGGAGCGCAGGGCGTTGGTCGAGGAGAAGTATGATCCGGTGGTGGATCGCATCGTGCAGACGTGGACGCCGAATTTCAATACGACTAGGGCGCTGGGGTTGGGGTTTGTGGAGGATGTGTCTATGATGGAGAATATTCGGCAATATGCAAGTCGGTTTGCGTGACGGGGTGAGGTGATGTATTGTGAATGTGGATGTGAGTGTGAATGTGGGTTGTGGTGGTGGTGGTGGTGGTGGTGGTGGTGGTTGTAGTTGAAGCTGTTGCTGTTCCTGTGTTGTAGTATGATATATGCTGTACAGTGAAATGAAACCTGAATGAATGTACGGTATGGCCGGTGCTAAGGAAACAGTCGGGATCGAAAGCGGTGGTTTGGAAAAGCGGGTCATGTGATTGGCTGGCGGATGGGCGAACAATTTGACTCCCGAACTTCAACCTCGCCATCTCCAGGCGCTGACCGTCTTGTTACACCCTTCCTTCAATCTCCCTCTTTCCCCCCCTCCCCCTCCCTCCAATTCACCTACCTCATCTATTACACAATGGCCTCTAGGCGCCTAGCGTTCAACCTCAACCAGGCTCTGCGGAGCCGGGCTGCCCTGAAGGCTGTCCAGCCCGTCAAGCGTGGCTTCGCTTCTCCCGTTACCCTGCCTTCTTCCACCCAGACCACCACCCTCTCCAACGGTTTCACGGTATGCGCCGTCGTGTATCTGACTTCAATTGCTTCTGACACTCACTGACGGGATCTAGATCGCTACTGAGCACTCCCCCTATGCTCAGACCTCCACTGTTGGCGTCTGGATCGATGCCGGTAGCCGGGCAGAGACTGACAAGACCAACGGCACTGCGCACTTCCTGGAGCACCTTGCCTTCAAGGTATGTATTCCAGAACCGCGTCTATTGTACGCGGTAGCTAACACTGTGATATCATTACAGGGCACCAACAAGCGTTCCCAGCACCAATTGGAGCTCGAGATCGAGAACATGGGCGCTCACCTGAACGCCTACACCTCGGTACGGACCGGAAGGAAAAGTTTACTTGAGAATCGCGACTAACGCCCGATTGCAGCGCGAGAACACCGTCTACTACGCCAAGTCCTTCAACAACGACGTCCCCAAGGCCGTCGACATCCTCGCCGACATCCTCCAGAACTCCAAGTTGGAGGCCGGTGCCATTGAGCGCGAGCGCGACGTCATCCTCCGTGAGCAGGAGGAGGTCGACAAGCAGCTCGAGGAGGTCGTTTTCGACCACCTCCACGCCACTGCCTTCCAGCAACAGCCCCTCGGCCGCACCATCCTCGGCCCCAAGGAGAACATCCAGACCATCTCCCGTGACAACTTGGTCGACTACATCAAGACCAACTACACCGCCGACCGCATGGTCCTGGTCGGTGCCGGTGGCATCCCCCACGAGCAGCTCGTGAGACTCGCTGAGGAGCACTTCGGTTCCCTGCCCAGCAAGCCCCCTACCTCTGCTGCCCTGGCCCTCACCGCCGAGCAGAAGCGTACCCCCGAGTTCATCGGCTCTGAGGTCAGAGTCCGTGACGACACCCTCCCCACCGCTCACATCGCCCTTGCCGTCGAGGGTGTCAGCTGGAAGGATGACGATTACTTCACCGCCCTGGTTGCCCAGGCCATTGTTGGTAACTGGGACCGTGCCATGGGCAACTCCCCCTACCTTGGCAGCAAGCTCAGCTCTCTGGTTGAGCACCACGGCCTTGCCAACAGCTTCATGAGCTTCTCCACCAGCTACAGCGACACTGGGTAAGCTTTCTTGGTATAATGTGACATGCAATGACGCGTTACTGACCGACATGTGCCACTAGTCTCTGGGGTATCTACCTCGTCTCCGAGAACCTGACCAACCTCGATGACCTGTGCCACTTCGCTCTCCGCGAGTGGTCTCGCCTGTCCTTCAGCGTTACCCCCGCCGAGGTCGAGCGTGCCAAGGCCCAGCTCAAGGCCTCGATCCTCCTCTCCCTCGACGGCACCACCGCCGTTGCCGAAGACATCGGTCGCCAGATCATCACGACCGGCCGCCGCCTCAGCCCCGAGGACGTCGAGCGCACGATCGGCCAGATCACTGAGAAGCACGTCATGGATTTCGCCCAGCGCAAGCTGTGGGATCAGGACATCGCCATGAGCGCCGTCGGCAGCATCGAGGGTATCCTCGACTACCAGCGTCTCCGCTCGGACTTGAGCCGCAACGCTGCTTAAATGGGCTGAGCTAGGTGTCGGTGAGGGGTGTCTGTTGCGTTGTCCACCAGGAATTATGGCAAGTGTTTCTAGTTTTGGTGATTTTTAATAGATAGAAGCGGTGGTCGTGCCGAGGAAGCGTGTCTTGTACAGTACACAACTGTCGCTATATCAAAATGTATTGTCTGTTCCAAGTTCAGCTGCACTTTAGGTGCTGTATGAGTAGAGGTATAGGGATAAGGTGGCAAGTATCTGGAACGAACCATCTATCCCTGACCACCGCAGCAACAATAATGAAAGGTAAGCTACCCACCCAACCCCAACGCTTCCCAACCATCCAAGCCATCCAAGCATCAAAACTAAAACCCCAATCATCCCCCCAGGAAATCAAACCTAAGTACAAGAATCATAACAAACCTCCAGCTCAATCCCTTACCGCACTGACACCAACACCAAATCATTTATACTCCATCCCCGCAGGCGCCTGATACCCGCCCTTCTCCAGCAAGCCCGCCCGACTCTCGGCCTCCTTCTCGTTCTGCACCAGCGTGCAGCACGGGCAGCAGAACGACTTGAAGCAGTCGCCGCACCCGGACCCCTCGAGCTGGAACTTCTCGCGCAGCTTGCCCCGCTTCAGCATCAGCGGGATGAAGCCTAGTCCGCAGTAGCCGACGAGGCAGTAGAGGCAGCACTGTTTTCGGGATTAGATGGGGGGGTTGGCTTTTGTGGGATTGGATTTAGGGGGGGTTTTTGCGGGACTGGGTGGTGTGGGTGCAACATACATCACCGTTCATCGAGCCATGCTCTTTCAGCGCTGGGTCCTTGAGTCGCGAGGCGGTGCGGCCGAAGAGGCAGCAGGGGCACCAGAAGGCGAGGCAGCCTGTTTTTCTGGTTAGTTCTTGGACAACATGATTATTGGATGGGAGGAAGGGGAATGGAGGAGGGAACGGCAGGCGTACAGATCTTGCATGGGGAGCAGCAGTCCCAGAAGCCGTTGGTCCATTCTTGACCTTCGCCCATTGTGAATATTGTTTTCGAGTTGGGGGGGATGAGTAGGATGGATATGGGTTTAGTAGTAGGAGTTGGCTTAATGAATGACGGTGTTGAACGAGTGGAGGAACGAGTGGAGGAACGAGTGGAGGAACGAGTGGAGGAACGAGTGGAGGAACGAGTGGAGGAACGAGTGGAGGGTATCAACGAAAGGATAGTCTCTAGGACTAGTAGGCTGAGAGTCAACTCTTCAGATTTGGACGTTTGAGGGCTGGGGTTAGTGCAGTGGGCGTGGCATGGCCTCTTTAAATAAGACAAGACATGGCGATGGGGCCGAGTACGAGGTTGTCTACTCCCTTGCACTGCACAAGACACTACGGAGTATTAGGAGGCTTATTTTTTTTTTTTCCCCCATTGGTGTGTGATGTGTGGTGCTCGTGTACAGGAAGGACTCATACAAAAAGAGACACATGGGAATCAGCACCAGATCCACATGGGTTGGACACTATACATCCATTTGTATGCTATGCTCTAAGCCTTGCGTGGCACTGACAGACAGACAGACAGACAGACAGACACAAGTTTTGGCCCTAGATTTGCACGCGTGCTGCGGTTGGGGGCCAACACCAGGAAGCCACTTCAAACATGAGCAGGTACATCCCTTCTCAGGGGTTATTACTGTGCTTGAGTCTCTACAAAATAGATAACGTTACTCAATTGCTATTCTAAGGTTGATAGTTCAGAAAAAGAGTTTCAATCACGAAGTCATCTCGATGAGAACAGATCGTCCCTGAGACTGTACAACTACAGTGAGGTAGACTAGGGCATCTTGGCTGTGTAGTCGAGCCCCGAGGAAGTCGCTCACTTCAGCCCCCTCTCCTCCGGGTTCAGCCCCGTTTGAGCCTTGGTTTGAGACAACGGCTAAAGGTACTCAGATGCATTGCATTGGATCGGTTTAGGTGCGAGGTACTGTGCTTATTTCCCGTGCTTTCATTCCCCCCTGCTTGTGCTTGCTCTTGAAAAAAAAAAAAAAAAAAAAAAAAAAAAGAGATTACCCCCTATTGCTGACTGCTGACTGCTGCATCGGACCCTGGTCTAGTATACACCCTACGGAGTCTAATTGCCAACCCAAGCTTTTTTTTCCCCGTCAGGACAAACCCGCTCCCGACCGCTGAGCCATAGCCACTGTTAAAGGGATCTCAGCGTGGTGTCTTTGTATTTCAGCTCGTCTGTTTTCCTTTCGAGCTGAAAGGATCCCTGTTGGCATTGAGGTGCTTGTTATCCACGGTGGTAGGAAGGCGGGCTGGAGTGGGTAGTCAAGAATTCGCCAAGGATGTATAAACTCAAGACTTCGGATCCAGGATTCCATTCGCTAACAGGAACATACCTGATTGGTGGTGGACCATGCGAGGCTCTTTTACGTCCGGACAATGGCCTGCTGGATGCGCAGAGATCGTAGTCCCCTCAATATGGACATGTTCCCAGCCGTGACGCCAAAAGCACACACGCGAGCACCGAGAATGATGGTACCTCTATAATCCAGTGGCTGGTCGCATAAGCACCATCCTAAACGGACCTGCATGGTGCATCCCGCTCAGAACCTGACTCCCCACGCCCAGCCACAACACACCCCTCGAGCAACGACCCATGCCCCTGCAGCCGCAAGGAACAACACCCCGGAGAATATAATGACGCCTCCGTAGCTGTGCTGCTCAATCACTCCCGGCAGCCCGATCCCCAAGAGCATCCCGATGCTGGCAATACTGTATGCGATGCCACTTCGGCTTCCGTACTCCGTGGCGCTGCATGTCTGGGAGATGCAGACGGGCGCCAGACTCAGCGCGGCACCGGACCAGAATCCGAAAAAGACGGCATAACACACGAGTGCCCCGAGGCTGTCCCCTGCTTTGTTCCAGAGGGCGAGGGTCAGAATCCCACACATGAGAGTCGTGATGATCATCGTGTTGAAGCGCCCGAGGTGGTCGGCGGCGAGAGGCGGCAGGAGCCGGCCTGGGATGGTCCCGAGGTTCAGGAAAACGAGCAACAGGTATGCGATGAGGTGGCTCAGTCCCGCGTGCACGGTGTAGGAGGGGATATATGTGCTCGGGATGAAGACGGCGCACTCCGTCAGAAAGATGGCAGCGGTCGTGGCGGCGAATCGAGGGTCTTTCAGTGGCTTGAGGGTCAGTTCTCTACAGCTGTCCGTCCTGACGGGTCGCTGCGTCGTGATCAGGCAACAAGCAATGGCAAGCAGGGCAGCACTGATGAGCGCGATGATGCGGATCGACCACCCGAATCCGATCTTCGGCGCGGTGAAGTAGATGATGATGGGGAAGATCACCCCTCCGATTCCGCCGCCGGTGCAGGCCACGCCGGTTGCAAAGGCCCGGCGACATTCGAACCAGTGGCTTATGGTTGCCATAGCTGGAGTGGTGAGCGCACTGGCCGATAGTCCACCTAGAAAGCTGAGGGAGAGGAAGATTGCATAGTACTCTGGGTATCGTTAGCTGCTGCTGCTGCTATCGTACCAGTTCTTTCAACAACATTACCGTCACTGAAACTGAAGCAAATCAAAGACAGTACCATGCCCACTGACCCCGAAAGGACCAAATAAGTCGGTCCCCAAGCATCAAAGATTAACCCTAGCTCGGACGATCAGTTCTTCGGCCTCCGTATAATCAGTGCAGCTATCTGTACACACCCATCGGCGCTCCCACAAAGTAGACGAAGAACCCATACGCGCTGTAAATCCAGCCATAGCTCGCCGGCTCGTAATGATGCAATTGATGCGTGCTGGTCCATAGGTAAATCGCCCCAGCTGTGTGCAGTATCCCCCAGGCCGGAACCAAGGCGCACCACGCGCCGAACACGACCAGCCATGCTCTGAAGCCTCCTTCCGGATATCCTGCGCCCGATTGTTGCTCTAGAACGGCAGACGAGGCGGACGAGTACTCGATGTGCTCGACGTTCATCTCTCAGCGTAAGCGTCAATACCACTGCTCGAACTCTAAGACTGCTTGGCTTTACTTAGGCGAGGAGACACACTAGAACATTACAGCCATGGAGAGGCCAGTGTCTACAACGTCGTCCACAGACTGTTCTTATATGCCGTCCTGTCAGCCACGAAGCGGTGATTCTATGCGTTGGCGATATAGAGTTGACGCAGCGGGATGCAAGGGCTATCTGCATCTTTGATGCACAATGACGACTGGTACAGAGGGTCGCAGAGCAAGTGTTGTGTTTGTTGTGCTTGTTTATGCTGTAGCATGGTGTACTTTACAAGGTTGTCAAATTTCCTGCGTGGAACTGTTCGAAGCACAACTTGGTGGGTCTAATTCATGGCAAATGACTGAGTCAGCATGCAGGTTTGAGAATACTCTGTAGCTCCGTCTTCAGGCAGCTTGTGTAATGGCTGCAGCATCCATGTTCGAATCCTTGGTGTCTGATATCACATCTGGTGAAGTGTGGTGGCGGGTTGTGATGGCTTCGGTGGATGCTATGGTGGTTTGCACCGATTCATGCGTCATATGTGCCCTGAAAGTACCGACTGAAGCTTAGTCTCTTCCAATGCTGAGAGAGTTGATCCTCAATTGGGGAAGAATCTATACCCCGAAAGCAATACTGCCCTCTATAGACGACGGCTGTTTTAGGACTAGCTTGGATGCAATCCAGACCCGTTACATAAGCGCCCATGGCGAGCGGGATGAGCTTTGCTGATAAGATTTCTGCAGCGGAGAAATTGCGCCCAGTCCCAGCCCACTCCAATCTCTCACATCACCACTCGATCATCATGGGTAAACGCGGAAAGAAGGTATGTGTGGCCTTCTGAACCCTTCCCGACCTCTAGAGCATCGCTGCTCTCGGTTGATCCGGCTCGTGTCGTCCCGAATTCATGCTGATCCTCGGTCGCAGGGTGGTGGCAGAGGCGGCGAGCGCAAGAACTGGCAGCAGATCTCCAGGGAGAACGAAAAGTTCGAGAACTACTACAACTCTCAGGGTTTCGTCCCGGAGGAGGAGAAGGAGGCTTTCTGGGCCGCTCTCAAGAGGGATCTCCCCAACAGTTTCCGCTTCACTGGCTCTCGAGGGTACGTTATGCGCAGAAATACAAAAAGAGCCTATCGTTGCGTGACAACCCCGCAGATAAAAGCTGCGCGATAGGCTATGCTTGGCTCATTGCTAACATCCACGATCGCACAGCCATGCCCTTGCCGTCCAGAAGAAGCTCAAGGATCAATACGTTCCCGAGATCACCTCCATCAAATATGAGGGCAACTTCGTCGAGCCCCCTCGCCCGGTCCCCTGGTATCCCGACGAGCTCGCATGGTCCATGACCACCCCCAAGCAGGTCGTTCGTCGCTTTGCGCCCTTCGCGTCTTTCCAGAAGTTCCTCGTCGCCGAGACTGAGGTCGGCAACATCAGCAGACAGGAGGTCGTCAGCATGATTCCCCCGCTCCTGATCGATCTCAAGCCTGGAATGACGGTTCTGGACATGTGTGCTGCCCCTGGCAGCAAGTCTGCACAATTGATGGAGATGGTTCACACTGGTGAGGAAGAGGCTATGCGCCAGGTCACCCAGCAGGTTGCTGAGGGTACCGCTGGCGAGGAGCCTATCGGCCCCGAGGGCCTCAACGATGATGGCAGAACCACCGGCCTGCTCATCGCCAACGACGCCGACTACAAGCGTGCCCACATGCTTATTCACCAGATGAAGCGCTTGAGCTCCCCGAACCTGATTGTCACCAACCACGACGCTACCTTGTTCCCCTCGATCAAGCTGCCCTCCGAGCCCGGCGTCAACGGCAAGCCCGGCAAGGCCCGCTACTTGAAGTTCGACCGTATCCTGGCCGACGTGCCCTGCACTGGTGACGGAACTGCCCGGAAGAACTGGGGTGTCTGGAAGGACTGGAACGCGAACAATGCTCTCGGCCTGCACGCCACCCAGGTTCGCATTCTCGTCCGTGCTCTGCAGATGCTGAAGGTCGGCGGTCGGGTTGTCTACTCCACTTGCAGTATGAATCCGATCGAGAACGAGGCCGTCATTGCCAGTGCGCTGAGCCGCTGTGGCTCTGCCAATGTCCGCATCGTGGACTGCAGCAAGGAGCTTCCAGAGCTGAAGCGCGCCCCTGGACTCCGCAACTGGAAGGTCATGGACCGCGAAGGCCGTTTCTACGAGAGCTGGAAGGAGGTTGAAGAGCGCAAGGACAAGGAAGGCATCAGTGGCCTGGGCAGAATCGCTGAAGGCATGTTCCCGCCTACCGAAGACCTGCCTCTTGAGAGGTGTCTTCGCATCTACCCCCACATGCAAGACACCGGTGGCTTCTTCATCGTCGTCCTGGAGAAGCTGTCTGAGATCCGCGCCAAGCCCGAGGACTCTTCCAAGGTCATCCCCAAGGCCTCTGTCGCTGCCCTCGCCGAAGAGCTTGATTTCAAGCAGAAGCAAGGAAACGGACAGCCCTTGGAGAAGATTGATGCGTTGGATGACCTCGTCGCCCACGATAAGGAGGCTGATCTGGAGGCCCAGAAGAACGCAACCGTTGCTGAGGCTACACATCAATTGCCTTACTCGGCTACCAGCGAGCCCGTTCCTGTCAAGCGTGATGCGGACAGCATTGAGGATGAGCTTCCCGCTAAGCGGACTAAGCTTGAGAACGGCGCTGAGGTTGTTATCGGCGACCGTCCTATCCACACTCCTGCACAGCCTGCCGTCACTGACGTCGAGACTTCTGATGCTACTCCGGCTCCTGCTGAAACCACACAAGCCTCGACCCAGTCGAAGCCTCAGCTCCCGCAGAAGCGCAAGAACGGCCAGCCGGTGGAGGAACCATTCAAGTACCTGGATCCTAACCACGCTGAGCTTGACCCTATCTACGAATTCTACCAGATCTCCAAGCGCTTCCCCAGAGACCGCTTCATGGTCCGTAATGCCGAAGCTCTCCCCACGAGAACCATCTACTACACTAGCGCCCTGGCTCGCGACATCTTGTCTTCAAATGAGGGAGCCGGTATGAAGTTCGTGCACTGCGGTGTGAAGATGTTTGTGAAGCAGGATGTGCAGCGTGAAGGTGTCTGCCGCTGGCGTGTACAGACGGATGGCTTGAGAATGCTCGAGCCTTGGCTTGGCCCTGCTCGGGCCGTCACCCTGACCCAGAAGGAGACTCTACGTAGCCTCCTCGTGGAGATGTTTCCCAAGGTTGACCAGGACGGCTGGAAGGCCCTTGGAGAGATTGGCGAGCGTGTTAGAGACATTCCCATGGGATGTAGCATCCTATACATCAGACCTACTCCGGGTCAAGAAGGATTCACGTACGTATATTTAATTCTTACTTTGGGTCCACGACAAAGGCTAACAAAAGACTAGTGAGAACATGGCCCTCCCCCTCTGGCGTTCCATGTACTCTGTCAACCTGATGCTTCCCAAGGAAGATCGCCGCGCGATGCTCCAGCGTCTGTTCAACGACCACACCCCGCTGGTCAACACCACACACAAGCGCTCCGGCGAGACCGGATCCTCGACTCCTGCGGTTGAGGAGGCTAGCGGAGAAGAGACCCCTGCTGACGTTCCTATGGAGACGGAAGAAGACCTCGAGAAACGTGAGAATCTTGTGTTGGGTGAGGCCGAGCAGGAACAGATGGATGCTCGGGAGACCTATACCAAGGATGGCGACGAGGAGGATCGCTTCAACACGACTGTATAATTTCAAAAAATCGATTTAGGCAACATTTACTGGGCGTCGCTTAGCTCTCTGAAAATAATTGATTCTTCCTTTTGCTCTTCTAAAAGTATTTACAGACGATATTCACATTCTTATTCAGCTGCGGTGGAGTAAACCCCAAGGTAACCCACCCGATTCCCCCAAGGTTGATCGCTGCCTTCCCGAATCAGGTAGTCCAGGATCAGTTCGCAACCCGAAGCACTGCACGCCCAGCCAATTGCCCTTTCTTCATCTTCTCGACCCACGAGTTGAGGTCTTCGAGTTTCCCCTTGACCAAAACGGGCTATCTGCTATTAGCGTGACTGACTCGAGATTCGGGTGGTAATGGTAGTGCCTTACGTGGACGACATCTCGTGCGGTGAAATCCAGAGCCTCTTCCACATCTTTCAGCGTTCCGGTCAGAGTACCAACGATATTCAATCTCCTGAGGGACAACAACATGGGAGGAGCTCCTGCTAGCACAGTGGGGTCTGCAGGCAGACCGACAGCCACCAGCGTGCCATTCGGACGAAGATATGTGGGCGCCGTCGAATAAACGGTCTTGGTTGCGGCTGTCACGATTACTCCATGTGCGCCGTATGTCGTGATCTTCCTGATCTCCGCAGCGATGTCTTCTGTTGTTAGGAAGTCAATGAACACCTCCGCCCCAAGCTTATGGCACAACTCTCGTTTGTCATCGCCGCCATCGATGGCGATCACTCGCATTCCCATTGCCCGTGCATATTGAATCGCCAGATGACCTAGGCCACCGCCAGCTCCGGGGAGCACAATCCACTGGCCAGCTTTGACGTTGGCACTAACCAGGACACACACACATCGTTAGTCTAGCTCGACCATCCTTGACAGGAGCAACGGTTGCTTACCGCTTGCATGCAACATAGGCAGTCACTCCGCCGCACATGATAGGTCCTGCCTCTTCATCCGCAACCCCGTCGGGGATTTTGGAGGTATACCGGCCATCCGCCACACAGTATTCTTGGAAGGTACCCGGGGTGGTAAACCCGCTGTTGATCTGTCTGAGGCAGTTGACCTCGTCCACGCCGCTCAAACAGAATTCGCATTCGCCGCAGGTCTTCGCAATCCACTTGATGCCGGCGCGGTCCCCGATGCTCCAACGGCTCTCCATACCTTCGCCAATCGCTACAACAACGCCGACCCCCTCATGTCCTGCGACCCCTTTGCTCTCGGGCTTCATCGTCACCCCAAACCCGGCCCATTCATCCTGAAGGAGAGACTTATCAGAGCCGCAAAATCCGGTCCATGTAATGCGGACCAAGATCTCGCCGGGTCCCGGGAGGTCCACATCGATGGTTTCGATACTGGTGGTGGCCGTGTCGCCCGACCCGCTACGAACAGCAGCGCGCTGTTGTTTGGGAATAGGGTTCATATGGATAGTCATGGTGTATATTGGGGTGAATCCTTGTCACAAAGTTACAAGGTCGATGGCTGGGAAAGAAACGATACAGCTCCTACTACGGTTAAGCAGGGGAGGAGTTGCTTCTTTATAGCTGCCTCCCTCCCCACGTGACGGGATATTGAAGGTACATCTACAGCTGCTGCTAATGAACTCAATTCACAGCTGACATCCTTATAATCATGCACATCGATTCAAAGAGATAAGATCGGGGCTTCATACAGCTTCAACATTGGTGGGGTTCATGATCTATCGAGCTGACTGCGCGTTAGTTCCTGCAGACTAATGCTGGGAGGTACCTTTCCAAAAGCATATCACCATGGAAAGATCGATTGTCCTCATTGGGGATATTCTTCGGCAAAATACTGTGAGTAGGTTCCATGTATTCAGAACATACCGAGGATGCCTAGCAACCCCGCTCCACTGCCACAGGAAGAGGGGGTCTCGCAGTCCTGTTCAGGTAGGAGATCAATGCTGCTTCTCTTTCGCGTACGGTGATCGCCAATGAGAGAAATGCCTGACTCAAATTTCGGCCTTTGAGACCGGGGTCTTCGCAGAGATTGATTGGCAAACAATCCCTGCAGCAACCTCGGACATAGGGAGGTGCTTCCCCGCATCTTCGTGAAAGAACGTCATGCGGTGGGCTGGATGCGCCAGCTGATAGAGACCTCGTCCTCGTGGGTCCAATGGAGGTGCAACCATTCTGGCTAGAGCAAGACCATGAAGGGCCTGGGAGGTAGCTCAGTAGTCCACCGCGAGCAAACTGGCTGTCTCAAGTTTAGGATCTTGTCAAGTTGCCTTCCTGCAAGACCTCGGCCAACAAAGGTCTTACTGTGGGGCCTAGAGATTGAGTGCAGACCTCACGTCAGATTGGCTTGTTAGTTTGTGATTGAAGTGAGCCACTGCATAAGGTCGGGTTGTCTTCCCAAGTGCTTACGAAGTGCAAGCTGATGCCCACCACAGTTGTAACTACAGGTTTGTGATGGCGTTGATGCCGTGCGGCCTTAGGCATTCAGGGCCAGGAGCTGATCTGGCCGGGCTGACTAATTCTCCGCTGCCCCTCCCGAAAAAAATTGCCCCGCCACGGCGATAAGTCAGTGAGTGGAAGGGAAAGGAACGTTCCCGCCCACGCTGGCTAAAATTTCCATCTCTCTATAAGCGCCTTTAGAGTAGAACTCTCCGCCCGCACTCTTTTTCATTTTGAAGATACCCTTGATCAATTATCAAACAGCAATCCATATCACAATGTCTGCAGACGAGCAGGTGGCTTTCCAGAAGCCTGGCGACCTCGTGGATCGCAACGAGGAAACCGGAGCGATGACGGTGGAAAGTCTTTGCATGAACTGCGAGCAAAACGTATGTTAATCCATCCACGCATATCAATGACTCAGTAGGCTGATGCGCGACTTTTTCCAGGGACGTACCACTTTCCTACTGATCCGTATTCCCTATTTCCGCGACGTTATTCTCGAGGCTTTCGAATGCGAACACTGCCATTTCAAGAACAACTCGATCAAGTCCGCCTCCCAGATCCAAGAGAAGGGATCTATCTACCATCTCGAGGTTGAGAATGAGACCGACTTGCAGCGCCAGGTGGTCCGCAGTGACGTCTCCGTCTTCAAGCTCGAGTCCCTGGGTATCGAGATGCCCAAGGGCGAGGGCCAATTGACCACCGTTGAAGGCGTCATCCGCAAGATCTACGACAACTTGTCCGGCGAGCAGGACCTGCGCAAGGAGCAAGCTCCTGAACTCTACACCGCTCTCGTGCCCATCATCGAGAAGCTCGAGAAGATCCTCGAAGGCCAAGGCTTCCCCTTCACTATTTCCCTCGATGACCCCAGCGGTAACTCCTGGATCGCCCCGACTACCCAAGATTCCGCTCACAAGTACCGTCGCCGGGACTACCTGCGCACCCACGAGCAGAACGAGGAGCTCGGTATCAGTGGTGACCCCAATGCTGTGCAGCACCAGGGCACGGGTGAGGAAGACGAGGAGATCGTTGACGGCAAGGAATATTCTATCCCCGCCGAGTGCCCCGCCTGTCTGAAGTCTTGCGAGGTCAATCTTCGCAAGGTCAACATCCCTTACTTCCGCGAGGTCCTTCTCTGGGCCACCGTTTGCGAGCACTGCGGATACAAGTCCAGCGACGTGAAGACCGGAGGAGAGGTGCCCGAGAAGGGCAAGCGTATCACCCTTCGCGTCGAGAACGAGGTTGACCTCGCTCGTGACATCCTCAAGAGCGACACCTGCGCCCTTTACAGCGAAGAGCTTGAGGTTCGCGTCGAGCCCGGCACTCTCGGCGGTCGGTTCACCACCGTCGAAGGTCTTCTGACCGAGATCCGCGACCAGCTGCACGGCCAGATCTTCGATTTCGCTGACACCAGCGCCGGTGACAGTATGGCCACCGACGACAAGGCCAAGTGGGAGCGCTTCTTCAAGCGTCTCGACGCCGCCATCGCCGGCGAGTTGAAGTTCGTCATCACCCTGGAGGATCCCATGGCTAGCAGCTACGTCCAAGACCTGTGCGCCCCGGCCAAGGACGAGCAGATCACCACCGAGGATTACACTCGCACGGACGAGGAGGAGGAAGAGCTCGGACTGAAGGACATGAAGACCGAAGGCTACGAGGCTGATGCGGAGCAGAAGGAGGAGCAGGAGGAGAAGCCCGCTGAGCAGCAGTGATGAACGGACTCGATACCCTTAGACTTTTTTTTTCTTACCTTATTGATTAATGATGACATTTGTCTTGGTTTTCACGATGTCCACGATACATTTCAGGTGTTGTCTTTTGCCATCGTTGCAGGATATCCGAGAGTGAGCATTGTACAGTGTGCGGTGTGGCTATGGAGCGCTGTTTTCTGTCTTATTGTGCATATACAAAAGTTTGCGATGAACATAAATGAATGACATGCTCGATATCACCTGATTTTGTTTGTGTATTACTTGGAATAGCAAACCCCCAAGTTGAATTTAAAGAAGGCTTAGGAGCGCTGAGCCTTGACTAGCTCTCTAGTGCTATACCAGGGGCTGGGTTCCTACACCGTGATTGGCTACGGGTCTATACCTCTGCTAGTGCTTGAACGACCCTTTCTTCCAGCTTCCCAGGAACACTCAATCCCCAGTCCTAGAATAAACACGTTCCGGGGGAGAACCCCCGGACCCCCCTTTTTTTCAGCTTCCCAGTAATACTCAACCCGAAGTCCTAGAAACTAGTAGCAGTGATTGAATAATCAGATCCCGACTCTTGGTGGGTCGACCCTGCCAGACGGCATGGAAAGGAAAGCATAAAGATCGCAATGATAGGAGCAGGTGTACAGGAAACCAGGAGTACGAATATGGCACAGATCGTAGTATTCGGTAGGAGATGCGTCATAGTATATGATCTACGCTTGTGTAGATGTTTGATTCTGAATGATTGTGCTCGCATACCGTCTTCCACGTAGGACCTTATCCAGACATTTGGGGCCACTCTAAGGAAAAGAGCTAGCCCCAGACTGTTGATCATAGTGCAATGTAATCACGTGGAGCCTCCTGTGTAGTCGAGCTGTTTCAGCGGGCGCATGGTGGCTTGCTTGGAGGGACGGTATAAGAGCTGATGCTGCTGTACCTGTCCAGGCCGTAGCGCGATGACGAGCCTGCAGGGTGACTTGCACAGCCAATCACCTGTTCCCAGTGAGCACTGCTGTGTGGTTGATACTAGGTGCCCTAGAGCAACAAAGTCCTGAGGCCCGGCCGCCGAATCCATCGAAGTTGGTCTCCGACTGGCCGGAGACTCGGACTCGACCTGAGTATAGTACATCCGTATCCATACCTCAACAGTGCTCCGGCCCCCTCCAGTCTTCCAATCCATAGTCACCGGAAGACCTTCAAGCACATATTCATTCCCCCGCATGTGCCCCAAAAAAAAAACCCAAAGTCAGAGGAGAACCAGAAATCTACCCCGCAAAAGGGTTAGCATGCACAGTAACCCTCTCAATGCCGACCCGCTCCCACACGCCCTCCTCCTCCTCCTCCGGAGAAGGCTGCACCACCCTTCCCTTCTTATCCACCTTCATCTTAGCCTTCTCCAGCCTCCCCAACACATCGCCCCCCTCATCCTGCGCCGTCAGATTCAACACCTTCCCAAACACCGTGCTCGCCCCGTCCAGATGCGGCGCCGCCGCCAGCGTGATGAAGAACTGGCTCCCGTTGATCGTGGGGCCCGTCGCGCCCTGCGCCCCCGGCGCCGTGCGGTCCTTCACCGGCCGCGACGCCATCGACAGCATCCCCCGCGTGTGGTGCTTCAGGGCCGGCAGATGGATCTCTTGGTTCAGCGCGTACGGGTGGTGGATCGAGGTGCCGCCTTTGGGGATCGGGCCGTCGATCGGGAGGGGCGGTTTGCCGGTGTCGGGGTTGGTTGGGGTGGCGGATAGGGAGATGTCGCCGCCTTGGATCATGAAGCCGGGGATGTACCGGTGGAACGGGGTGGTGTTGTAGGCGCCGCTGGCGCTGAGGGCGAGGAAGTTCTGTTTTTGAGGGTTAGATCTGGAAGGGAGGGGAATGGGGGGATTGGGGGGAAGGCTGGAGCTGGGGAGGGGAGGTAGACGCACCTCTGCGGTTTTGGGGACGGCTTCGCAGAAGAGTTCGACCTTTAGGTCGCCATGGGTGGTGTGGAGCTTGGGCTTGTTAGTTCGTTGCGCTGGAATGAGGGATGTGGAAGGTGAGGGATGTGGAAGGTGAGGGTGGCGTACTGTGACAGACATGGCGTAATGATTGATTATGGTCCGAGATGAGGAGAGTAAATCAGAGTCTCGTTATGCGTAGGCAAGACAGCTGCAGGTTCAATGGGAAGGAAGCTCTATCGGGGGTGGTTATCGGCGCCGCGCAAATCGTCGGCCATCCACCGGTCACATGACGGCCCTGATTGTTGATTCGGCGCATCCAGCTTTGTTTGTTCCATGCTCATACACATCACTTCGTCCAGGTTGGAGATTATTGAGAGTTGGCTGTGAGCTGCTACTGGTACATTACATACTCATCATAGATATATACCAGCCATTGGGATCCCCTGCCTCGCCCTTTTGCTAGACGCCCTTCGACATCCACTTTCTCTCATCTCTTGCGACAGACACCATGAACAACCGACCGGTGGAGCAGGCGCTCGCAACCCTCCTGCCCACTCATGCTCAAGACTTACCACCGGATCTCCTCAGCCTGGCCGTCTCCCTCGTCGCCCAGTCGCGCAGCCTGTCCTCGAGCCTGAAGCCCGAAGAAGAAATCGCGCGGCCCTATGCTTGCGCGGAGATCGCTTGTCGGAGGTAGCTACTACACCTTGTCATAAACCATAAGACATGCGCAGACTGACCATTCTACCTCCAGACTCACGCGCACGCTCAAGCTCCCTCCCCTGCTCGGCCACCCTCCGTGTCCACCCCGACCCTACAAGAAACTCTATGCCTTCCTCGACCGCTCCCTCTCCGGCGGCTCCTCCTCCGCCCCAGGCACGCCCTCACGCAGCCGCACCACCCCTTCGTCCACCCCGACGAAAGCGAACCGCCTCACCCAGACCCCGTCCAAGAACCCCTTGGCGACAGCTACAGCCGCAGCCCTGCAAAACACCCCCACGAAATCCAGCCCCCTCAAACGCTCCCTGCCGCACGACACCACAAAAACCTCATCCAACACCAACCCCAGCACCCCCAACCGTCCCCGCCTCAATGCCCCCAATCCCACATCCACCAAAATCCCCGACGCCCCGAACTGGGTAATGACCTCGATCCGCACGGTCTGCAAAACCCTCTCCACCCCAGCCCCGCGCATGAGCACCTGGTCGCGGCCCCCGATCTCACGCACCCTGCCCCCGCACATTTTCGCGGGAGTGTCCTCGATCCTCTTCTTCGTGACCAAGACCGCCTCGACTCATGTGAAACACGACGAGGGCCTCGACGACGAGATGCTCGAGTTCCTGGAGCCCGTGCTCACCGCCCGGAATACCGCATCCGGCGAGGGGCCGGATGAGGAGTACAAAGAGCTCGTGGATGCGCTGATCGTCGCGGTCTATTTCCTTGTTCTGGCGAGACGGCGCCAGCCTGCTGATGATGACGTCTCAGAAACAGAAAGAGAGGCGGATGCGAAGGTCATGGATAAGAAGACTTTCACGGAGATGCGGCAGACGGCGTTGGTGAGTTTGGGGCTGCCGGCCACGGAGAGGCGGCATCGCGAGGATGTGGATCAGTGGATTGCCCTCGTCATGGAGCAAGGGTGGGCCCAGGGGACGGAGTGGTTCGAGAATATCCCCAGGGCTGGGGAGGTGGATGGCGATGCGGAGCTTTTGGACGAGGAGGAGGAGAATGGGGCTTATGGGAACGGGGGCGAGGAGGATGGTGGTGGTGTGCCGAGTCGGAAAAAGCAGCGCTTCCAGTTGGGGCGCGAGACGAGGCGCGGGTTGCTGCCGGGGTTGGGGACGATGATGCAGGATCGCGTGGATTGGTTGAGCGAGGATCGCAGGGAGGATTATTTGGTCTGGAAGGCGGAGATTCTGGCGAGATGTGACCAGATCGACAGGGCTGCTTTGGCTGCGTAGGGGTTTATCTTCTTTGGAGTACACGGGGTTAGAGGGTGTGTATGTGTGTGATTAGCTACGTGAGAAATATGATACCCTTGGTAATGAAGATTACTTTTGGAAGATATTGCACTGAGTGACCTATAGCGCCAGTCAACCCATAGCTACCAAGCTCGGACTGCATGCCATGGTATCAGTGTAGTGTAATGTATTCTGTATAACGTCTATATGCCTCATCCAAGAAGCGACAAAACTCCAACAAGAACCGGACAACAACGAAGAGAAAAAGGTGGGTATAGTGTATCTATCAACAGATGTGGAGTCACGCAACAGAAAGCAAAACAGCCAGTGCTTCAATTATCAGTACCAGATACTCCGGGTGCGGTGGTGCGGGATGGATTCTTGCCCGTCCCTCTCCAACTCCTTCATCGTATCGTAGAGGAAGAAATCGATGAGGATGGCGTTGATGCCCCGCGCCGACTTGCTTTGGCCGCCGTCGTCGTTCGGGGCTGTTTCGGTGAAATAGCTTTGTTGTTGTGGTTGTTTTGCTTCATGCTCCTCGGGTTTCGTGCTTTGCTTGGAGCTGTTGGCGGATGAGAGTGGCTCCGGCTCGGCTTGTTGAATGGGCTTGGTTTTCACTTCCGGGTGGCGGCGCTCGATCTCCCGCTTGATCAGCTCCACGCACCAGATGCTGGTGCCGCGGAGCTCGGTCTCCCAGTTCGACCCGCTGGGAATGAGCTTCAGGTCGCGAATGTGGGCTTCCAGGGGTGGTGAGTACATCAGACAGCCGAGCTGATGGAGCATTTGAGGGATCCGGTAGTCTGAAGCTGCATTAGTTGAGACAGACGGAGGATGGGTGCTTTGAGTCATAAGGGATGGATCTTACCTGCGAACATGGTGATAGTGTCGATATCGTGGAACTCGCCGAAGCCCTCGCCGTTGAAACAAGCCCACAAGTCCGCAACCAGAATCTGAGCCCGTTTGTAGATCCGTACTCTCCGGCCGTTGAATGTGGTCTCATCCCGGAAGCAGGCGAAGCTTTCTGTCACGAGGTTCACAAGGGCCGCGGCCGAATAATTGGCGCTATAGATGCAGTTCAAGAAGCTGCCTTCGTATTCCTGGAGTAGAGATAAAGCAAGTTAGTCTTGCTGCACGGAGGTGCCGCAGGGAGATGAGGTTGTGTACTTACCCTGCATAGCACTCGGCCAGCCTCGCGCAAGCACTGCAGTCTTTCCTCAAGCAGCGGAATCTCTTCCTCAGTGGCAGACCGGAACACATGCTTCATGACCTCCTCGGTGCATTCCTCCTCGTTTGCCCAGAACTCAGGGGTAGTGATTGGGATATCTGCAACACCATCAGCATATGGAGAACAATGAAGTTGACCACCGCATGAACCTACCCTCATCCAAAGCCCGTTGAAGCGCCGCCACCAAGCTCCAATATCCCGTCCACTTCTTGCCCCGGTACTCGATCGCAAAGCGCTTGTCGCTCGGAAGTTCCGACCAGAAGCTGAAATTGAGAAGGTCCATGGTGAAGATGAAGTCGACGGTGCGCTCGTCCTTGGCTTTGGGGTGTAGCTCATGCTCGGCCCAGGTCTGCGTGGAGTATTCCTTCTTCTGCATCATCTGCCAGATGGTCTCGGCGGCCTCTTTTGTCTTGGCCGCATTTAAGGCCACGTCGATGGCATTGTCGAAGATGTACTGCGCATTCTGCAGGACCTTGGTCTCGGCCGTGCGTGGATCGGGCGAGCCTCCCAGGCCGAGGGTCTTGCGGAGAAGAGCAACCAACTCGGGATCGGCTTCGTCGTCGGACATGGCGACTGAGTTGCTGTATCGGGTGTTGTGGTGAAGATATTGAGATAAGGTAACGACGGAATATCTGGAGGGAGATCTGGAAGGGGTTCTGTATGTGACAGCGAGGTCTCGGAGGGCACCGAAGTTTTTAGAAAGAACAGTCGAGAAGAACGAATGTCGCGGAGCAAAAGATTGGTTGACAACTGAAGAAAGAGGGTGACTCCGCGGAAGACAGGCACCGACAATAGACGGTCTGTGGTTGACCCAAAGAATGTGAGGATCTGGGACTGAGCCGGTCCAAACAGAGTCACGAAGCACAGAGGTCAGACCCAGAGATTTCAAAGAACCATAGGGTCTTCTCATGAAATTTCAATGCCTGCCGAGCCAAACTCCAACGGTGAACAGGCTGCCCCTGTTGTGGAGATTATTTTTTTTCTCTTGTGATATCCCCATCCCTATCGCTTATCGGAAATTTCGGGCGGCGATAAGATCCGATTACATAAGCATCTGTAGGAGTCATCTTTTGTGCCTCGGTTATCTGCGCTTAGATGGTTTGTTAATCCGAGGAAAAAGATAGCCTGCTAAGACGCAATCAAAGCTACAGTTTGGGCTGGTAGAAGGGAGTATGGCTTCGCTCGATCAAACTTCGGCGTTGATTCTGGATAAGTGCATCCACTGGAGTTTTCATACGCATGGGGCACTTACAAGTAATAAAGATTGATTCGACATTATCTTCAAGCGATAGTTGTGCGAGTATAGCATCTGCCGGCTGCTTCGCCTGTGTTTCAAGACCTCAGACACCTTTTCGGTCTCAGTCAGATCGATGGAAGCGCCTCAGTAGGCTGTTCTTCAAGCTGGGAGAAGCTGGGAGGGTAGTGACGTGAGTAAGCCATGCGTAGAGCTGGGCACTTTGTAACTGGGACTTGATCTGAAGAAGCTCAACCCCGAGGACATCCATCTTCTTCTGCAAATCAATTCTAGCCAGCTTATACTGAAACATAGTTTCACAGAGGCATAGACAAGCATTAGTCGTATGACCCGGGCATGGAGCAGCGCATCTTCCTTTCGATCTACCATACCGTAGAGCTGACTGGTTTTGTGTCAACCGAGCTCATAGCACGAACCGCACTTGCGTATATCACTTGATCCAATCGGAATTAGTCAAACCGGGAACACAGGGGACTACTCTCAGTGGCCGAAAGAATTTCTGGGGCCGAGACATGCCTTCACAGGGTGCGTGTTCTAGGTCTCGTAGCGCTGCCACCGAAACCATCAAATGAGAGCAGTAGCCAATGGGGTAGATTCAGGATGTGATGTTCCGGTTTGCAATGCTGCATCCAACGTGTGCAGATGTGGTTGACCGAAGAGTGTAGCCTGTACTGTACTTCTGAATATCATAGATACTCCGGTTATCCGACCTCATGCAGGATGGGCCTAGATTCGGAAACCGAATGTGAGGTCTCACAATGCAGCCAGGGCCATGCATTGGCTTGACTTTCTGTTTACCCACAGGCTTGATGCTATCAAACGATCAATCCCTGGAGGAGTCAATCAAGAAACAAAAGTACCAAGCAAGCCTCGTGTCGGTGCGACAAACAGGGAAATGCGATCGGGTCACGGACCGCCGGCTTTGGTTGCTCGGCCTGCACGGTTCATTGCAATCCATAGATGGCAAAGCACGAGACGGGTTGCTTGAATAAGTGTTTTCATCTCTCTCTCTGAGTCTCCTCGTTTTCAAGGCTGTCCAAGCGATGGGTGATGAAAGAGGGAGGCTCGAAGTGGAGTGAAGAGTGGAGGGATGGAAAGGAATTGAGGGACGGGGAGAGTTGCCGTCATTACCTCACTTTCACTCTACACTCACACTCTCTCACCTTCCATCTTCACCTGCTTCCGGCTCGACTCTTTTCCTTCACATCATCCCCCTCCGTTCTTTTTCTTTTCAACCCCTCACCTCTGCTTCAACTCCCTCCCTTTAGTCGTTCTCTCACTCCACTGGATCTCTACCGGGCGATGCTTCTCAACTTTCTATACTGAGAGTAACACCAATTGTCTCGGGCTTCCTCCGTTCGCCGCAACCGCATCCGCAACCATGGCGCGCGACACTTACCACAAGCGCTCGCTGGGCACCCTCGCTAGACGAATTAAAGAGGTACTACATATCGCATCTCGCTGACTTATGAGTCCTTGTGTTGAATTGGCTCCTATCTGTTCATCACAATTGCTAATGCAACTCGGAATGGCATAGTCGCGTGTACTCCTCGTCGGCGCTGGTGGCATCGGCTGCGAGCTGCTCAAGAACCTCCTCCTCTCCGGCTTTGGTGAAATCCACATCATCGATCTCGACACGATTGACCTGAGCAACCTGAACCGTCAGTTCCTTTTCCGCTTCGAACACATCAAGAAATCCAAAGCACTGGTGCGTCACTCCACGCCTTGAATGCCAACTCCCCGCGCGGCCCGGCCGTCGCCAATCCCGCCTTGATCTCCCTTGTCACACATGCCTAACCAACACTGCTCCCGCATATAGGTCGCCAAGGAGGTCGCACACAAGTTTCAGCCGAACGCGAAGCTCGAAGCTTACCATGCGAATATCAAAGATAGCCAATTCAACGTGGACTGGTTTGCCACTTTCGACATCGTCTTCAACGCGCTGGATAACCTCGAGGCTCGTCGTCATGTGAATCGCATGTGTCTGGCAGCGAACGTACCTTTGATCGAGAGTGGAACGACCGGATTCAACGGCCAAGTGCAGGTTATCAAGAAGGTGGGGTTATTTATGGTTACCTGCTGTTTTGCACATGATACTGATGGCCGGTAGGGACTGACTGAGTGCTACGACTGCACTTCGAAAGAGGTTCCGAAGTCGTTTCCTGTGTGTACCATCCGCAGCACCCCCAGTCAGTCGATTCACTGCATCGTCTGGGCGAAGAGCTATCTGTTCCCGTAAGTTACCGCTCTCGTCATCGGAAGACAATGGTCTCCAGCCAGGGACTGACATTCTCAAGTGAGCTGTTTGGTACCAGTGATGAGGACTCTAGCGAATTTGATCACTCAGAGGATGCCGAAAACTGTGAGTGCTGCCCGGACCTGTATCTGGGCTTTTCTGATTGGTGACAGCTGCGGAAATCGAAAACCTTCGCAAGGAAGCACAGGCTCTCAAGGAGATCCGCCAATCGATGGGATCGGATGAGTTCGCCAAGAAAGTCTTTGACAAGGTTTTCACTGAGGATATCGAGCGGCTGCGTGGGATGGAAGATATGTGGAAAACGCGCAGCCCTCCGGAAGCTATGAATTTCGAGAAATTGACCGAGGAGTCGGCCGACGTTGCGAATACGATATCATGCAATGATCAGAAGGTCTGGTCTACAGCTGAGGACTTTGTGGTCTTCAAGGACAGCTTGGATCGTCTAAGCAAACGCCTAAAGACATTGCAAGAAACCATGAATAGCGACGTCAAGCCAATCCTTGTGTTTGATAAAGACGACGTTGATACATTGGACTTCGTGACAGCGGCGGCTAATCTTCGGGCGACAATCTTCAAGATCGATCCCAAGTCGAAATTCGATACCAAGCAGATGGCCGGAAATATTATCCCCGCTATCGCCACAACCAACGCCATGACCGCTGGATTGTGTGTGCTGGAAGCCTTCAAGGTGATGAAAGGAGATTACAATCAAACAAAGATGGTCTTCCTCGAGCGTTCGGGCGCCCGCGCAATCAACTCTGATTCACTTCAACCTCCCAATCCGAATTGCCCGGTCTGCTCCTCCGCGCATGCGCGGCTCAAGATCGATCCCGAGCGTGCGACTGTCAACGATCTAGTCGAACAGATTCTCCGATTGCAGCTGGGATACGGCGAGGAGTTTTCCCTGACCACGGAATCGGGCATCATTTACGACCCCGATCTGGAGGACAACCTGCCGAGGAAGTTGTTGGATTTGGGTGTGAAGAACGAGAGCTTCATCACCGTCATCGACGACGAAGATGAGCCGCGCGTCAACCTCCAGCTCTTCGTGCTAGCAGCCGAGCCTCCGGAACAGAACGGGGTCGCGGCCGAGAGACCAATTTCTATCGATGCCGTCCCCGAGATTCCGCGCAAACCCAAGACACCGACCCCCGCGGCCCCTGAGCAGGTCAACGGCTCGTCGTCGGATCCAGCAGCCGCCAAGCTCAAGCGTAGCGCGGATGAAGCCGGACTGAGCAATGGAGACGACCGCGCCAAACGGGTTGCCGGCGTGTCTGAAGCGAACGGGGACGGGGCAAATCCCATCGTTCTGGACGAAGCAACAGGCGGTGCCATTCTGATTGATGATGATTGATGATACCAGATCCGGCGAAGGAACTGCATATGCTGCTACTTGTTTGCCATATCCCATCGCACGGTTACATGTTTCTCCCTAGTCTAGACTATTGGCGCTCAACTGGCATATCGTGTTCCCCTTTGCTGCATGGTACAAGTATTTCCACCTTGATCACTAAATGACTTGATTCATGGGGTGCCGATCCGTTTGTTTTGTAGAAAGGGACCTCTCCATGGAGCTAATTCAATAGTAATAGGTGCAATATACTGAGAAGTAGTCAAATATCTTACATCCCCATATCATACACCGCGTCTTCGACCCCCGACAGAACTCAAACAGCACTCAACCCCCCATCCAAATTCAAGACACAGTTATTAGCGTACTCATTCTGCGCCAGAAACAACGCCGCATCGGCGACCTCATGCGGCAGCCCAAACCGTCCCAGCGGGATACTCTGCTTGAGCCGGGCGGTTTCTCCCTCGCTGAAATCTGCAAAAAGCGAACAGTTAGCCTGTTTCTCAGCCCTCGTCCAAACCCCTTCCCCCTCTTCTTTCTCATATTCCCCACCCCAACCCAAATTGAAGCAAAAAACCAAACAAAAAAAGAAAACTCACCCTCAATCATCGGCGTCTCCACATACCCCGGCACAATCGCATTCGACCTTACCCTTACGTCGCGCATCGCCGCGCCGGCCTCCACCGCCACGGACCGCGTCAACCCCAGGATCCCGGCCTTGGACGCCGCGTACGTCACCGCCCCGGTGCCGCCTTTATGCGCTAGCAGCGAGGCGATGTTGATGATGCATTTCGAGGGTGGTGGCTGGTTTGCCCCAGGATTCTCACCATCCCCGACTCCCTTGGAGCCAGGGGCAGGGGCAGCGGCACCAGGGGTCCGTTTGCTCCGCACATGATTCCTCATCGCGGCGCGCAGGAACGCGCGCGTCGTGAGAATTGCGCCTTGCAGGTTCGTGTCCAGGATGCGGGCGATGTCCTCCGGGGAGGATTTGGTCAGCACCGAGGAGATGGAGAGGCCGGCTGCGTTGATTAGGTGGGTGAGGTTTGTTGTTTGCTGCCCCCGTTCTCTGTTAGGTTGGTTGTTTGTGGGGAGGGGAAGAGTGGACTGAGGGGGGGGGGGGGGGGGGTGAGCTTACCATGACTTTCTCCAACTCGCGGCTCCAGCTGCTTGCTTCGGCGACGTCGCCGACGAGGAGGCTGATGGTTTGGGAGAAGGGAAGGAGGGTGTGTTTCGCGGCTGTTTCGGGGGGTGATGAGGTTGGTGGTAGGGCCGAGGGCTCCGTGGCGGTGCCGGAGGAGAGCGTCGTTGCTGCGCTGACGAGACGCGCGTGGGATCGTCCGACGAGAATCACCTGGTCGATGCCTTCTTGGAGGAAGCGGGCGGCGATGGCGTAGCCGATTCCGGAGGTGCCGCCTGTGATCATACAGGAGCGGCCTTTGAGGCGGTTGGAGGGGGGATACTGGGGGGTTGTGCTGGAGGTGGTGTAGGGTCGGGTCTGGGGGGTGGGTTGTGTTGCGATTGAGTGGGAGAGTTGGCGGGATGCTGCGCTGAGGCGCAGTGTGTGCTTTGGTAGCATGGTTCTTTTCTCTATTCAGTTCTATCGGTGTTGGCTCAGTTCCCCAATGCTGCAATGCTGCTGAAGCTTGATGGGTGAAGTATAGTTGTGTACTATGGGATGATTAGCATGGGTCTAAGACTTTGGACGAGTGTAGACTTGCCAACTAGACTTGAGAGTCTGAATTGAAGTCAAGCTCCAGGTCAGTTAGGAGTTTAGATCAATACGATCGAGTGTACTGAAAGAAACGTTCAGTGATTAGAACTATACGGCAATCTTCGCGCAATTGAAAGAGACAAGCCCCGAAGTGTCGAAGTACTCCGCTCGGAAGCGCTCCGCGGCGCAGCCGATTAAGCCAAGGGCGGGGGACCCACTGACGCCAGTCTAATCCCAGTCCGCGGAGACTTTCACCTGCGCTCGCGTTCGAGAATCACCCGAACAAAGCCACTTCCCCCGCGACGTCTGCAATGCAACCGATATCCACGAGGATATAAACCAACTTCTCCACCGCAGTCATCGCCTCATCCTCACCTCATCCTCATCCCACTACCCAGAGGCAAAATGACCACCCCCGACCAACAAGCCCAAGACCAAGACTTCGTAACCCTCGTCTCCGGCGACGGCTTCGAGTTCGTCCTCCCGCGCTCGACGGCGTGCATCTCCAAGACGCTGTCCATGATGTTCGACCCGCTGAGTAGGTCTCACGCGCCCCCGCTGCCCAACATGCTCCAGGGACTACCGGCCACTAACCCCGACGCGAATCTAGGCAAGTTCTCCGAGGCCCTGAGCGGCCGCTGCGTCCTCGAGAACATCAGCGGCGAGGTGCTCGAGAAGGTCTGCGAGTACCTGTGCTACAACGAGAAGAACAAGAACCAGAACAACGTGCCGGACATGGAGATTCCGCCCGAGCTGTGTCTGGAGTTGTTGATGGCGGCGGATTATCTGGATGTTTGATCCCCCTGGGGTGAACGCTGCTGCTGCTACTGCTGCTGCTACTGCTGCTGCGGCGGCGGCGGCGGCGGCGGCGGCGGCGGCGGTGGGCTTTGTGGTGGCGTTGGAGGGTGGTAAGTTCAGCTTGAGAATTTAGTTTTCGCCGCCTGTTCGTTCTGACTATGAATAGGTTTCGATTTTACAACTTTTTTTCCCCTTCTTTCCGATTGACGATTTACGTGAAGACGACCCAGACTTTTTGATCTTATTTGTACCTATGTTGGAGTCGGGTTTATGTTTCTGCTGGATTGACGGATACAATAGAGTGGCGTTTTTGAGGGCAATTTAGATATACCAAGGCATCTCCACGGGCATATTCGGTGCCATTCACATCCCACTCTGTCCTTCGCCCATTCCAACAACTCCCCGTGAGCCACCGGCCAAGCCATCTGAGCATCTGCATCCGCTCTTCCCACACCTATAGACGGATGCCCTAAAGATGATGGCAGATTCAATCTTCTATCCCCTCTATTCAGCCCTCATCCTTCCATTGTGGATCGCAGGGCTTTCTCCAGAGTATCACTCATACGAGGGGAGACATATGCCGGTAGCTAGTCGGCCGCGATAAGCGTCATTCGAATCACCTTACACCCGTGCCGCGCTCATCGCCCTTTCGGCTTCGGCTTCGGCTTCGGCCGGTACTGCGTCTTGTTCGCCAACGCCTTCTGCTTGTAGAGCTTCTCCTTGCCGAAGGCCGCCTCCGAGATCCGTAGATAACTCACGACACCTTCATCCACCACAGCGAGAACCACGTTCCGGTATCCGTGGCGCAGCCGCATGTACAGCTGCCGGCTCATCTTCTCGCTCGTCGGGGGATCCAGGGGTGTGCTTTCGAGCAGAGCCCCCAACTGGGACAGAGTCGGGACGGAGGTGTGGGTACGCGCGTTGACCACAGCGATCCGGAAGTCCGGCGGCGGCGGCGCAGACTTCTTGAACGGGGTGGATGGTTTATACACATGGAAGACGACTCGGTAGGGCGCTTGCGCGGGGGATCGGGCCGCTTGAGGAGCAGCCGTCGGGTCGTACCAGGGGATGATCGAGAGTTTGTTGTAGATATCATCTGTACGGGTATAGGTTAGCAACAGAGGAGAGAAGGTCGTAGTCGCGGGCAAGCAACACTGACCGTAGCTGCGGTGGAATCCGACTCCCGCAACGGGGCCCAACGCTGTGTTGGTACTCGGCGGGCACAGCCACTTCATGAACCTCGAATAGATCCCGGCTAATCCAGCACCTTGCTTCCTTACATCCTCCAACCCCGAGTCCTCGATGCCTGTCGCATCCTCTCCATCATCGTTCCAGCCCGGAGCCCGCGTGATCGTGTAGCCCAACCGTCTCAACCCGGTGTACACCGAGAACCGCTCGCTACTCAGCCCGCCTCTCGACGCAAAGGCCGCATAGGCAGCCTGCAAGCTCATCGGAATCCCCGAGTCCTCGATATTGCTCTCATCCGCAACCGCCTCCTCATCCTCCTCATACCCAACCTCCGAACGCGGCCAATGGATATTCAGACTCCCTCTCTCCAGCATAAACAACGCCTCCTCCGGAAGGAGCCAGATCCGATTCCACCGGTCCGCCTGGCCGATGGTCTTGAAAAGATTGGACTTGGGGTTTGCGATGTATACGCAGGCGTCGGGATGGACGTTTCCTACCGTCGTCGTCGTGGTCGCCGCCGTCGAGCTCGGTACTTCGGCGTCAGGCTGAGGAGACCCCTCCGCTATCGATTCGAGATTCGAGGTATGCTGGGCCGGAGGCGCCGGCCCATTGGGGGCGTAGACGCCGATGATTTGATTCTTTGGGTGGTGGATGCGGGGGTAGGAGAGGGCGTTGTGCATCGCCTGGCGGGAGGCGGAGAGGATGTCGGCCTGGTACAGCGTCGGGTTCGGTTCAAAGTCCTTCTCACCGCGCTTGGGGATGCTCGCTTGAGTGCCATCTGTTAGACTGTATTTGTTAGTTGGTCTCTAGCAGAGCTGGGGACGTAGCCCAGGTGACAGCAGAAAGGAAAGCTCACAAGGAGATATTGCTCAGCATGCGAAAGTCCTGCGTCTCGTCGGACAGGTCCACTTCGATATGCGCCGACGCATCCTGCGACGGCATGTGGATCGCTGCTTCATCGGTGTCGGCCATTATGGTTGCAGCGACCAATTACGCAAGTACATGCGCCAGGGCAGATGTAGAGGGGGAGCTTAGAGCCGCTGGGGGTTGAACTCAAAAGAAAGAGAAATGCAGGCGGGCGGGTCGACCGATTGATACGGGATGCGGGCCTTGTCGATAAGAAATTCTGCCCGCGGGACTCGAGATGCGGTGGGTATCAGGCATGCATCTCCAAACTACCAGGTAGCGACTGGAACAAGTGACTAGAGTTCCCCAACGTGACTGGCTGCTTGGGAAGAATTTCGACCCTTTTCAACAGCTGTCGCTGCGTATTATTTCCAATCTCAAGTCCAACCCTGCTGCCCGAAGCTCATCGGACTCGGACATCGCGCGGAGGCGCAGGAGAGACAAAGGCAACCAGCCATGGAAGAGTCGGCAGACTACAATGAACTTATCGCGCAGGTGAGCTTGCACGCTGATTCCTCTGGAATATGGTGAAGTCTGACATGAAGCCTAGATTTCTGTAAACCTCAACAATGCCCTCAACACGTTCGGTGCCTCATCCCCCCAGTTCCAGAATGTCCTCAACATCCTCAAAGACTGCCTGCGGGAAATGGAGGCGAAAGCGCGGAAATCGACATCGCTGGATCCTGAGATGTTGAACCTCGCGATGGGCTTCTTATCGCTGGGAGAGTGATTGACTATGGCCGCGTGGCAGATTGTTCTGTTTATTTTACTTTCTCTGGGACATTAGCGCCAGCGTCTTCATGATTTGACATGGTTCGACTAACATCGCCTCAACTGTTGACTTGTATGAATGCATTGCACTGCGATCGCATATGTTGTTTCTTAGGACATTAGCAGGCCACTTCGGATACATCTTACATATTATATTGAGGTTACACCACTATATGAGACTGTGGGAGGGAACGCGAGAGAAACAAGGCAGGACGAATTCCTCTCTACCACCAACCCCGGGCAAAGCGCAGCAAAGTCAACCTGAACACCCTATTTTGTCCTGGCCAATTGCGAATGAATTCACACTGCGACCATGAAATTTATGCAACAAGAACTCCGTCGCCCATGCATTCGTAATACGTGTCCATGCTCTGTGCAGAAGTTGCAGGCATGCTGAAACGAAGAGAAGGAAGAATTAGAAGGAAAAGTCGTGAGATGCTGTCCTAGACCACTTGGGGTGGCGTAAGTGATTTTGTAGTCGGCACTGGATCAAGAACGGCCGTTGATAACCTGAATGCTCGATCTGTTGAATAGGGCCGGTGTACGGTAGGTGCCCGCGTTGTGGTTCGCTCAGTCGATCAAAGGTTTGTGTTTGCCTCCTACTATGGCCACCCCAAGATGGCGGAGAGCATTTGGGTCGTTAGGCCGTACAATGGAGGGCAGAGGCAGCATCGGATTGTCGGGGTTCACATGAACGGCGTCCCGAGCTGCCTGTTCTATAGCCTCCATTTCCTCTTTGCATCCTGCATGGTCGAGCGGGCAAACAACTATCGGCTGTCGGATGGTAATATCCCTTGCAGATGCCAAGTGGGCCTGTTCAAAATTAGCAGAGTTCGATCGTCCCACTGCGGAATGACTATACCTTGACAGTCAAATAGTACTCGATCTTGTAGAGGCTTCCGGTTGTGGTAAACCCGCTCACGGCGTATGTGGGAAAACCCGGTCTACTTCTGGGGAGGATCCCTTCAGAGTCCCGCATATCCTTGGCTGGGAATACTAAGCCGAGATTCGTCAAAAAGCCAGAAGGGGGTAATTTGACGCCGATCGGTTCTGTCCTTTTGGTCAAAGTCTTGACCTTGCGTTGCGGCTCGTCGCCCTCATGGTTGTATATAATTTCCTCATCAATTCCAATCGTAATCTTGTTTATAGTGACTTTTCTGGCTTTACTTATCCAATCCGGGTTCGGTGAGAGCTTCACGTAGACGCTCACCGGATCCAAAGGCCCATAAGACCACCGGGGAAGGGATATCCCCAATGTGACCAAATGGTCCGACACTCTCTCGGCTGACTCGGGGCGATTGTACATTCCGAACGTCGATAGGGTATCGTACCGTGCCATTGGAACGGGGAACGAGTATTTCCGCTGTTCCGAGGGCCCTTGTTGAACCGCCACCACAATCTCATAATATGTCTCCGCTGTGCGACTGGGAAGTTGGAGACTGGCTGGAGGGACGCGCCTCGAGGCATCTGCTCCGCCCCGCCCAAAGGGAATGAAGAGCACGAAAGGCAAGTCCATAGAGATGACCTCTTCGGACTCTCGGCCGGCCGGGCAGCGGAAAAGAAGCATCTCCTTGCCCACGATATCTGTAATCTCCTTCCTGGGTGGCGCAAGGTGCTTCTTGGTCACGGAATCCGCCGAAGGATGAATGGTCTCGCGACGATGAAGGGATATTGTAACGAGGGATACACTGACGGGGAGCGAAATGCCAGTGCTGGGCCTGATCTCGACTTTGCCTTCAATGCGTGGCTGGTATAGGTCAGCGACTAGGTTGCGTACTGGGCAACAAAGAAGAACCAGGGTTCAGCTCACCATTGTGGCAGAGATGCCAGGATATCCGATCAAGAAATTGCCATTTGGCGGGCCCGACACTCGCACGAAGGCGGGCTTGCTCATAGCGCTGCACCCGCACCACCATGGGCACGCGGCGGTTGAGAGGGATGCGCTCGGGGGTTGCTGCGGTGTATATAGGACCTCGAAGTCTCAAAATAAATTGACCCCTGCATAGAGATCAAGTTCCGCAATCGTTCCTGCTGGATTGCGCTGCGCCGGAAAGGTCCTCGAGGGGCGCAGATGCGGTATCCCGTTCTTGTTGCTATGCAGGACTAGCTCGGGCCTGAGTGCGGACAAGGCTGGACAAGGGCGGGTTTGCTGTTTGAGACCGCAGACTGGGATTGTTGCTAAGCTCCGACAAAGGGCGCACAGATCTAGGGTTGTAGGAATGTGAAACCGGGAGTGAGGCAAGGCGGCTTAGAGGGGTGGGTAGGTAATCGCGAAGGAAGCGAGAGTTGTTTACAAGCGCCGATGTGGGGAGAGGAGAAGAGGGTGATGATGCTGATGATGATGGGGGGGGTTTCAGTTGGAGGGTGCGGTTCAGTTCGCAGCGGCGGCTAACTGAACACAAGACTAGCCAAATTCCAACGGCAGCCACGGAACCACTTTGTCTGCTCTCCACCTTTTTGCTCGAGGGGCTTTTCTTCCGTCATCGATCCGCAGCGGGAATACGAGCAGCAAGCAACATGCAGCAAGGCAGCACCACACGCAATCAAATCTTCCGACTGCTGCTGGTTTCACCAGTTGCAGTACTCCAACACACATGAATTGATCGACTTCTCAACGACAACGAGTCGTGGCTTTTATGTTTGCTACTAGCGTCGTTCGTCACGCGAGGCTGAGACTCCAGCAGGAGCTGTACCTGAACCAAGTACAGTACAACCGGTCCGTCGGGTCAGCCTCGTCCTGGCTTACATGGGCTTAATGACAATGAACTCCTTTTATTTCCGAGACAAACAATCGATTCCATATCGCATCACGATGTCATGGCGTGAGGCGACTACAACAACCGGAATTGGTGGGACTTGTTGCGAATAGTCATGGTTCCTACAGCTGATTTACGAATTTGCCGCCCACACTTACCTGCATGCTAGCGGGGAGTCATAGAGTTGGCTGTACGTAGTTTGTACAGTACTTGATACTTGGCGAGGGCCTTGAATCCCACGTGACCCTGGAAGTATATCCCACGCGTTTCATGGCTCGTCGCGAGCTGGAAGTGGACGTCCCTGTCAGGGATACCGAGAGTCAGCAAGCCTGTCGACCTCGAGCCCTTCATGCGGCCCCCCACGCACGTCCTGCACTACAATACGGGTACGCTGTAGGCAACGTCGAATTGGCAGCCACTCGAGGATCACATGTGGCAGAAGCTCACAGTCAGGCCGATTTCATCTCCCCTCTGGATAGCTTGTACCAGACTTCGGCCGAGTGGCTTTCGTATCAGTATGACGCAAAAATGTATAGCTCGTAGATTTGCTGAAGACTTTACAAAGCAAGCGTACCCACAAGCTTTGCCCCGTGCCCGTTTGTGTGTCTTGACCATGTTCGGCACAAGTAATCGTCACGTTTCAGCATTGATTATTTTTTTAAGATGTCTCTTTCAGCGAGTGACCTAATTTGGTCACTGCTTGAAACGATCACGTAGAAAGTCGAGATGATCATGAGTTTTCGCATCACTTCGGAGCAGATGGAGCCGACGACTTTCAGTATGGGTTCAATGCAATGGGTTCTAGGACATACTGGAAAAGCGTTCATCTCTCAAAAGTGTATTACCTCCAATGAGGTGTCCTCGAAGGCTGTTCATTAACTGAGTTTTGATTTACCTGGGTTTCCAGGTGCCAGCAAGCGAGCCAGCATAGACGCCTTGATCGCAAGTAGCTTGTCGACAGCAGAGGAGAAAGTTGTTTGTCATTTCATATCTCGATGGGGCTTTTGAACTTGGCAAGTGTGAAGTCAAATTGATCCAAGTGATTAAGAAGGGAGACCCATTGGTACTTTATAGTTGCTTCAAGTCCAGCATGTGAAATGCGAATGCTTGCGGAGGGCGATGTGCCAATATAACCCTTTTCGGCGAATGGCGGCGGTTGCCATGTGCGACAAACACAATGACATCGTTCCCCCCACACTCACCTTGGATCAGACCCTTCCAAGTCTCTCGACGGTCGACGCTCACCACCAGCCTCTAGTGCCTTGACGTACAGAACCGCATCACACCCAGCGAGAATCCTCTTCTACTTTCGTAATCCATAATCTCAAGATCAATTCTCAAGATGCCTCCCGCTCGCCGTCGAGGAGGCAACACTGCCGCCACCCGTTCCGGCCAGTCAACCCTGTCTTTTGGCTCCAAATCTAGAATCACGAAGCCATCTGCGGCTCCTACGACACGCTCCCAGAAAGCAAAGGATCTCGAACCGCTTGTGACTGCTCTTCCTGAGAAGGAACCCGTCCAAAGTGCTTCCGAGCCAGAGGAGCTGAAAGACACCCCCACAGAATCCTCGCAGCCCCATGTGGCAGAACTCGCCGTTAGGCAACAAGCACGAACAGAGATCAAACAGCCGGTGTCAGAGGAGGACCAGAAGGCAAGCAAGCTTACGGAACGGGATTTGACAAAGTACTGGAAGCAAGAAGAGGCGAAAAGGAGAGGGCCTCGAGGTAAGGAGTCTTAGGAAAAACCCGTCACTGAGTTCAGTGCTGATGGGAACGTCGATTGGATTAGTACACCAGAACGACCTTACGACCCATGAGAAAATCTTGCGACACTTTGATCTTTCCAGTCAATACGGGGTATGTGGCTATCTCGCGCGTCATCCCTGAGCCCTTCGCCGTTTCTTTCTTCGTTGAACTCAACAACTAACCACTCTGTGTAGCCTTGCATCGGCATCGCCCGACTCAGACGCTGGAGGCGTGCTAACACACTCAAACTCAACCCGCCAATTGAGGTTCTTGCCGTACTCTTGAAAGAAAGTGATGATTCGAAGCAAATGGCCTACATTGACGAGTTGTTGTCTTGAGTAATTTGTGCATGGTATGTTGGATACGGTGAGAACTTGGAGTACGGTTTGGACTTTGGAAGCGGCGTTTCGGTCATGCTACGCATACCCTTTTCATTATTTCATCATTCTGGCTCTTCAAAATAATCACAAATGCCTCACTGGATTTTGGTCTTGTGTCTGTCTTCCTTCTATGTTGCCTTCCATCCCCAAAGGTAACGAGAATGAATGAACGGCTCCTGCCCCTTCTGCAATGCCATGGTGCCATGGTAGGCCACAATTTCCGAGCATTCCAGTCAAATGGCTTGTGCCTTCCAGGTCCCTTGGCTTGCCATTTCCTACTCAGGGAACTTGCTCGGTGCCACTTTCGCAGCCGCGTAAGATAGTCACACAGCAGGCAGAACGTGTCACACCCACCACCTTTTCTCTCAAATGACCCGTCTGTCCTGCCATCAAAGTTGAGCCGGGTTTCTGGCCGAATGGCTGGAAAGGTTTCTGCGCCACTGGCTTTTCTTTTGCTTGGTTGCAGAGCCGTTGACATTGATGTTGATATATGTATGACTTCTCAATAGTATGTGTCCTTACATAAAAGGAGCGATACAGATGGCACCAGTCCACACAGAACAAAGCGCTTTGAACGATGCGAGGTTACTGTGATGCCTGAACTTGAAAGCAGTCCTACCACTATGATATAAATCCACAGGAACTTGAAGATGGATGCACCTACCACGACCCTTTCGCAAACTGCGACAGTTACACGTCACTGCCGGCAAGCATATGTGGTATGTCTGCCCCTTCTGATGGTTTAGAGGAACGTAGGGCAGCCTAAACCAATGGGCCACAGCCTTGCAGTGCAATGGTTACGCACCTCGAAGATTGCGTTTGCTAGTACGCTGCTCACGTCGCCAATTACCCTCTCTTGCATCACATCGGAAAGTATGTCCGCATGTCTCAAAGGGTTGCGCCGTGCTCTAATAGGCTCCCCATCGTGCCCACGCCACCCGTGTGCCTTGGGGAAACACCACTGTATGTATATATAGAAATCTCGAAGGGACATGTGATGATCTGCCCAAGGCTCTGTGCGAGGTGACCTCGTTAGCTTATAAGAGCTACCGGCTGTCCCATGGGGATTTGTCTCCGCGCCGCTGTATATCTTCAGCAGCCATCACTCGTTTGATCTCTCCTTTCCACACTCCTTTAGACTCAACCCTGCAGTCACAGCCCCACCCCGCCCCTTCAACCCGGCCTACTGTTATCCAGGCCAAATCATAGAAATTGCCCAAGATGTATCACCACCGTGCATTGATCCTGCTCTTTGTCAGCGGTCTCGCCAGAGCACAGCTGCCCAACCTTCCCCAATGCTCGGTACGTGATCGACGAGGACAGCAGCGGAAGCGCCAGACTAACGAGTGTCCCAGCTGAATTGCTTCATCAGCGCGTTCCAAAATGACGGATGCTCGCGCCTCCTCGACTTCGCCTGCCATTGCTCGAAGCCAGAGGTCGTGCAAGTCGTGACTCCATGCGTGCAGAAGAATTGCAATGCTGCCGATCAGAGCGGTATGGAAACCTCTTCCCTGCCCTCTCATCTCTGCCTCGGGGGCGCCCTGTTGACCACCATACAGCCGTGTCGAACGAGGTTGTCCGGCAATGCTCCGCGGCGGGCCATCCGATAACGCTCCCACCCGTTGCTGGTGCCGAGACCACAACCACATCCCAGCCCCAGCCCCAACCCACTGCCCCCAACACGAGCGCATACCCCACCAACACAGGAGCGGTGACTCTCCCCACCATCTCCTCGGCCGTGACCCCCTCCGTGCCCAAGTCCACACCCGGAGCCTCAGCCACCGCCTCCCACAGCTCCTCGTCACTCATTCAAGCACCGTCCAGCACCCCCGGAGCGTCCTCATCTCGCGCATCTCCCAGCACCCCTCTTGCCACAGGGGCCGGCTCTCACGCTGAGGCCAACATGGTCGGAGCCGCTCTCGCCGTCGCCGCGGCAGCGTACATTCTATAAGCGACGGGGAGGGAGACAGACTTGAGCCTTACTCGACGCCGGTTCTTTCCCAAAAGACACCACCTGTCAACGAGTTCAATATTCCGAGCGGCACGATGGATGTAACATCAGGACGAGAGAACGGATCATGTAAGGGGACGATACATTGTTCTTGGAGGGGTCTTCATTCGTTCACCGTGTCATTCGTGTTGTCTGTCTGTTTTGTTTCCATCCCACTGCTCTTGCGGTGTTTTCCGGTCCGATGGGAATTTGAGTTCTGTGCGCGCCTTCTACGAAAGAAAATCGCCTCTAGGTGATGGCAATACATTTGCTTCGGGCTTGAATCGGGGTTGCATCACCGTTGGGATTGTGTCAATGTTCGGTGAGGTAGGGTTCTGTGGTGTAGCTGGTGGATGTTGGTAGACAGAGGAGGTATTCTGCTTCTGTGGCCCTTTGCAACGGCGGTAAAGATTGCCGGTATCCTGTCTGGAAAGAGCATTGTCGTCATTAGAAGCTGGGATGCTCAGGAGCAGGATTCTGTTGAGAGACTTGGGGGAATGCGGTGTAGTGTAGGTGTGGGAAGAAAGGACCCAAAATACCTAGGCATCCACGTCACTGATATATCCCGTAGTGCAGACCGCAAAGAAACCACAGGCTGCCACCCCAGTAGGCTGCGCATCGCCCATGTGGGAGCCATGATCATCTCTAGAGATTAGAGTAGCAAAGCTAGAGAGAGATGGAGGCTATGACAAATCAAGCATCGTCCTCAAGGACCGGACCGTGGACAAGTACCCTCAATTCTGCATGTTATGTCTGTATGTACTAATCACCACCAGACCATTTCTACCGACCCCCCCAAATACATAGTATGTCCAGGGCTCTAGAGAATCACAGCTCCACTAGCTCAACGCAACAAATATCCCATCTAGATCTGACCACCTGTCCAACCGGACGATCGATCCTTGAAAGTGTACTGGAGGTAAATCGACCCAAAGACTAGGTAGAAAGATCCCAGTTCCGAAAAGGAAAACCATATCCGACCCCGGCCAGCTTGGCCACCTGAGCCAAGCAACGCCAAGCCAAGCAGAAGTCACAATGAGAAAAAAAAACACCAGATAGACAAGACAGGCGAGTCCAAGCCATGAACAGATATGCAACGGCAGCGTACAAACACATCAAGCTTCCCCAGGCCAATGTCAAGGACCGACACCCCCCCTGCACAACCTCACTTCTTCTCCTTAGCGGTATCGCCAGCACCGCCAGCGGCAATATCACCGGCAGTGTGAGTGTGAGTGTGAGTGTGAGTGGTACCCTCCATATCCGACCAATCGCTAAAATCCTCCCGATCCGACGAATTATCCGACCGATCGGCATCGTACGCGCGATCAGGGTCCTCGCGCAGCGGCTCGACGGCGAACAGGTGGGGGTGCACGGCCGCGATGTCGAGGTAGGCGGCGCGGCGGGCCATGGGCCGGGCTGGCGTGTTGCGGTCGGGGCGGCGTCGGGGCGCGTACGCGCTCAAGAAGCTGCGGATCACCGGGTGGTCGAGGTCGGAATCCGAGCTCGAGTCGTAGGGTCGGCGGCGCACGATGGTCTCGCGGGGCGTCTTGGAGGCGGCCACGGTCTTCCTCTTGCGGCGACGGGGGGCGGAGGCAGGCCCTGAGCCGCGGGCGGGAGCGGGAGCTGGGTACGGGGTTGCTGAGGTGGTAGCGCCCGGGACCACTTCGGGGCGGCCGAGGTGGGTGTAGGTTGTGCTGTGGCGGAAGGGGGTGTTGGGGAGGATGTGGGTGTTGTCTTTTGGGGTTAGTTTGGGGGGATTGTCGGGGGACGTTGCGGGGGGGTGGAGGGGGTTGGTGTATAACCACACGGGGAGATGGTGGTGTTGGCAGAGGGGAAAGACTTACGGCCACGCTTGCATGCCTCGGTGTCGCTGGAGCTGTTGCTGTGCATGCCACTGCGGACTGGTTCGGAGCTCTCGGTCATCGACACAGTCTCATCCAGAGATATAGTCTCGGCCTTGGACATGGTCGCGTCCTCGTCCTCAGCCTCAGAGTTGCTCGAAGTTTGGGCCCCAGAGGCTCCGGGCCCGGCGCTCTCACTGCCGGTCTGGTCCTCGGCCTTGTCCTCCATGTCGGTGATAGGAGGCCACAGACGCATCCGCTGGTCACGGCGCACGGGCTGCGTGTGAACGAAGTTCTGCACGCTTGACTCTTCGGACGAGGAATAACTCGAAGACATGGTGTCGGCGTCGGAGATATAGCCGTCTGAGCCAGCGGATGAGAAGTAGGAGGAGCTTGGAGAAGGAGTGTATCCAGGGTCACGCCCGAACAGAAAGGGGAATAAACACATCGTAAATCTCGTCTTGTCGCGCGATCGTAACGTGCAGTTGTAAAAATCAAAACTGGTTTCGCGTAACGAAATCACTTCTGGACAGTCTGAAGTATAAAGGATCATCGATGAGCAACTTACTTGCTCAGACTGTGTCTGTGAGTGTGGAGCTTGGTTCTGCACGCCAGAGACGGCGAGATGAAGCCTCAAGGCCAGGATACAAGGTAAGAATCAAAGGTATTACTAGAAAGGAGGGTGGAGGAAGATGAGAACAACAGGCCAAGGTGACAAGTTGATCGATATGAGCATAACCCTGTGTTGCTCGAAAGCGGTGAGTTTAGAAGAAACAAGGGACTAGTTCTTTCAGCCCATGCTCTTAGAGTCAGCATGGCATTTGTTGGTTTCTCCTAAATGGTGCACACGGTAGGGTTGTAGAGCTGGTTCTTGTGAACTGATATTGTGGACTCTTCGGGCGAGTCTAACTCTATATTGCCTCTCCATCTTCAGAGGCATGTTCAGAAAATAAAGTGCTGGATGGGAGATTATGTTCATTTATCTAGCGCCTGGGAGTGAACAGTTGAGAAGAAAGAATGCTCGATGCAATTCTACCATTTATTGCGGTAAGCGAAAACGAAACGACGATATCCCGAACGCCGTGGTTAAGGTAACCTGTTATGCATATAGTAACAAAGAAGGCTCAGATAGGAGAGGAGAAACAGCATCTGCCAAGACAGTATGGCTGCAGACAGAACTCAAAGGAAACAGACCTGGAGTGAACCTATGGCACCCACAGCCGGACAAACCCTCCAACTTCCCGACGGCAAGTCACACAGCTGCCAAAGTTATTCATCGCCAGGCTCACCCGACAATCCTCACAGATACACAAACACCGACAGGGCCATGTTATAATGGACCGCGGACTGGTCTGACAGATGACACACGGAGGTCCGCTGGGGCCAAGGCCTGATGCCCCCGATTCCCACGTCTGTTCGTTTAATGGGGATTTGTTGAATGACTCCATTCTTTGGGAGAGGATGAGCTTCTCTAAGATCTCAGTCTCCTCCTCTGGTGTAGGCTTCCGCTTCTCGTCACCGGAGCCCTGGTTTAGCTGTGAGAAACGCGAAGTAAGCAGAACTCGGGCCCTGTCGCGCTCGACCTGTTGCTGGAACTGGCGACGAGTCATGATCCGACCTTCACGGCCCGCAGCAAGGTGTGCCGCGAGTATACGAGCTTCCTGCCTGCTTTCCTGGTCGCGAGGATCCAGTAAACGGGCAAAGGAGCCAAGATCAACGAGTGTTTCCTGCACAGGAGTGTCTTCACGAGACAAACGACCAGGATACGGGTCTTCTTGAGTGGGAGTCCGGCGTCCATCCGACTCATAAGCTTCCCAGTCCGAGTCGCTGGTTGTTGCCATTGACACAACGCTGGTTGTGTCATCCCAGTCCTCAACAGAAGGCACATAATCAGGACTTCGATCTTGATTACCCCATGCACCTCCAGCTCTCCACCAGTCATATAGTTTTTCGTCAAGCCGCCGTTCGTCTGACTCTCCCCAGCGGCTGGCATCAATGCTCTCCCGCCGGCGCATTTCGGACTCCACATCGAAGTCGGAGTTGGCAGGTACTTTGAGCACTCCATCCTCCGACATTACCCAGAAGTCTAGCTTCTCTAGATTGTTCTTCCTTCCCCGATGCTTCTTCTTCCGCTGACTCCGAACCAACGATTTGAGCCACTGCGGCCGCCTGTTGATACCAATCTTGCTCAGTAGCTTGTCAAAGCCATACGCGGTCCACCGGAGCAAGAAATGGAAGATAGCACGAAAGAACGCAAAAGATTGATAGCACCGGACAACACCGCGGAATGCGCCGACACCTTCGGATTCATCGTGTGCTCTCGCGGACTGCGAGACAGTGGTCTCGATTTTCTTCTCCCGAGCATATCCAGATTCCCACTCCCACTCCGCAGTGGCTTCCATCTCAAGCTCCTGCAATTCCTCACTTTTCTGGCGGTCGCCGTATACAGAGTCACGACCCTGTGCACCTGAGTATTTGCGCTGCATGAGCTCGATTTCAGCTAGCCTGTCCCTTTCCAGCCAAGTCATTCTTTGCGCGACTACTCCCCGTCCTTCATTCAAGAAGACTGCCTGTCTGGCGGCAGTCAAGGCACCATAGCCGATTCTTAATGAGGTGGTGTAGAAATCATCGTGCCGGTTGAAACGTATGCTCTGGATCTGGTTGGCACCCTGCATATTTTCATGTGCCAGCGACAATCTCTCTTTCAAGGATAGGTTCTGAGGTGCGTCCATAGGTAGCGAGAAGGCAGTGATCACGAGAGCCAGGGCATAGATAAAGACGCAAATGAATATTCCCAGCAAGATGAAAAGATGGGGCACAAATCCAACAAGGCAAACTGTCGGAATTCTGAAGACCAAGCTTTCAGTGCCAGTCGATGTACCACCAAATGTACCCCATGCGATGGCAGACATGAAACAGACCCCCCAGAAAGTCGTGTTGACGAGTCGATACTGACTCTGCTTTCCAAAGACATCAAGCAGATTGGATGTCAAACTGTTACAGCAAGAAATCAAAGTGATGAGCAGCAACTCCGGGGAAACGTTCATTCGCTCCAAAGCTTGCGCCTTGCTCAATGACTGAAGCACAGATTGGCCACCTTCTCCTTTGACGTCTTTCGTAGGACTCTGCTTCGACAGACCGAAGATACCCAGGCCGAGTGACTGACTTATCGTGGATTCTGCTTCGGCAAAGGCAAGCGAATGTTCGAAGATAGACATCCCTGCCTCTGTAACGACCGACCTTCCTTGCAATGCGCAACAAAGCGTTTCCACAAAGTGACTTATACACAGCCGGAGGAAGGCCGGCCACAGAAGCCGGAAGGAACCGTATGATATGTCCGAGGCGTTGATAGGGCGGCCCATGTGTACTGCACTGCAAGACTGCGCATCTGTTTCCCAAGGGAGCAGTGCCGAGCTGAAAGTATGGAGAAAGCCGCCATTTCCGGCATAATCAAAGAACAATCGCTTGTTCGGTTTTCCGTATCGGATAAGCAAATAGTCCGGCGATGTCTGGCATCGGAGAGCACGAAGCAGGGCATGTATCTGAGCGACGAAGAGGACGATTGGTATTATGCGCAGGGCGAATCTCCTGCTCCAGTCTAATTGAAGTCGCCGTCGCGTGGATGCATATATGGTGATTCTATTGAGGACAAGAGACTTGAAATGATCAGATAAACTGACTTGCTCACAGCAACAGAAGACCAAAAGCGATGATGTACTTACTACTGTGAAACAAGCTAATGACCACCGACCGGTCAGATACGAAAAGAACCCACTGAACTTTACCACGGCTTGTACAATGTCGGAAATAGTGGGGAGGCTAGAGTCAGCCTGGGCGGCAGCGTCTGCTACGCTCTCTCGAACCACTTCCGCCGCGACCTGTGTTGCAAGAACCACTGTATCGCCTTCCGATCCCGTGGCCGGGGCTGAGCCCCAGATGTGTGTCGCCATTTCTTGGAGTCCAGCCATCCTAGCAAACTGCTTTGGTACTATTGAGAATGCAAATGTCTCTGCTTTTGAAAGACCTCGAAGGGGTAAAGAGAGGAGCTCGCGCGGTGAAGTAGACAACAGCGATGTAGCGGTGATCGGAGGCGACGTGTTTAGGGGTTGCGCGGATGATGTTGCCGTTGTCACTGCTGCGGTAGCTTCTGAGAGTATCGACATTATTGAGAAGCTGAATGTCCACAGTAAGACCGGACGATTCTGGACGTGGCTCTCACAGCGGGTTTGTCAGGAGTGAGCATGCGTGAGCGGGGAAGGGTGCTCACGGCTTACGGTGCCAAAGGGGAGGGAGAAGGGTACGTAAAACAGTAAGAGAAACCAGAAGTCATTAGATCAGCCTCACAAGATGAAAAAGACGGAGGACTGGCCTGGAGCCATCTTCTATTGTCACAATAGAGTATAGTAAGACCCCAGGCGATGAGATCTGGAGAATCAAGCGTAGTTTCCGTACTCCGTAATACGTACGTGGACAGCCCGCGGGATGAGGAATGCAAGCCGCCGCGGTCCAGTATCCGGCGCTAACCCCAATCAGGACAACGCACATGTCACTGGGTAGCCAGCACGTGCCACAGGTAACGATAGCAGGTAACAACAATCTCCATAGATATTTGAATACAGATGCATGAGATGTAGAATATACCAGATTTCTCACTTACAAGACTAACAAGATAAGCGTTGAGCTTACCAACTAGGTATCCATGGAATAAATGGTCTGGTGTCATCCTTAACCTGTATTTGCAAGGGCATGTATAAAACTTACTCTTCGTGCCGCTGGCTTGCGGTAGTACAGAGACAAACGACAAAACTGCAAGTACATGAGTATGCTATGAATGGATAGCGTAGTGATCCTCAAGGAAATCACCCCAGTCTAGAAGAAAAGATTGAGTATCTAGTCCGGACTGAGTACTGACACTAACTAGCACTCCACAATTCATCCATTGGGTTGGGTTGCCTTATCAGACTATTTTCTATGCCCCACAGTGGCTAGTCCAGACGGGAATACCATACGAATACGGGGCGAGCATCGACCATAGACCCTTTTTAGTATGCAGACCTTGTTGGTGACCCCAGCTCGGTTCCAACTACAAGTACATCCATTTCCACCAGAATTCCGAGAAAATGAGCATCTTTCCACGGAACCTCGCTTTCACGACCTGCAATCATGCAAAGGCCCACCAAAGAGGATTTAAAAGACTTGAGGACACCTGACGAACATGGTCTGCCCCCGTACTCGCTCTACCCTGATGGCGTCGACAACCATCTGGCCGATGATTTAGGAGATGTTCAGGGTGAGTCTTTGCAGGACAATCAAGCCCTCATATAGTCGTTTGACATGAGACTTATCTTAATCAAGCCGATGGACGCATCGATGTCGATCTCGACTCCGTATTCGCCAGAACCCTCGCTCAAATTATCGAAGCTCAGCAAGAGGACATCCACAATCCGCCACCAGACTACTTCGGCGAGCGTTCAACGCAGCCTCAACCTGTGATCTGCGACATTCAACTCAACATTGTGATTCAAATAGTAGGTAGTCGCGGAGACGTTCAGCCGTTCATTGCGTTGGGGAATGAGTTGCAGAAATACGGACATCGCGTCCGCATTGCTACTCATGATGTGTTTAGAACCTTTGTGACAGAGTCCGGGCTGGAATTCTTTCCGATTGGGGGCAATCCGGCAGAACTGATGGCATTCATGGTCAAAAACCCCGGATTGATTCCTCAGATGAAGACCCTGCGTGCTGGCGAGGTGCAGAAGAAGAGGGCTATGGTGACTGAGATGCTCGACGGCTGCTGGCGATCATGTATCGAGGACGACCCAGTCACACAGGTACCATTTGTGGCCGACGCCATTATTGCCAACCCGCCCAGCTTCGCCCATATACATTGTGCACAAGCTTTGGATATTCCTGTCCATCTGATGTTCACCATGCCGTGGAGCAGCACGAGGGCTTTCCCGCATCCTCTTGCCAACCTTCGTGCTTCAGAGATGAACCCCACCACTGCGAATTGGGTATCATATGGGGTTGTAGAATGGTTGACCTGGCAAGGGTACGTTTTTTGGAACGAAGGTGGCCGAGATTCAGACTAACGATGCTCATTGTAGCTTAGGGGACGTGATCAACCGATGGCGGGCTGGTATTGACCTGGATCCGATCCCAATGTCGGAGGGACCCAGTCTCGCAGAGACCTTGAAGATACCTTTCACATACTGCTGGTCCCCAGCACTAGTACCCAAACCAGGAGATTGGCCGAGCCACATTGGTACGTGCTTGACAATCGGATACAGCATACGCGAACCGAATTAACAACACGCGCTACAGATATATGTGGGTTCTTCTTCAGAGATACACCATCATACAGCCCGCCCAGAGAGTTACTCGATTTCCTGCAGTCAGGCCCAGCTCCCATCTATATCGGTTTCGGCAGTATTGTCGTTGATAATCCCCAGCAATTGACGAGGACCATCCTCGATGCCGTCAGAAATCTTGGCGTTCGTGCTATTGTATCACGTGGATGGAGTGAGTTGGCGGGAGATTTCACCCAGAACACCTTCTATATTGATGATTGTCCGCATGAGTGGCTTTTTCAGCACGTTGCTGCAGTCGTACATCATGGTGGCGCGGGTACCACTGCATGTGGCCTTGCTCATGGGCGGCCAACCGCTATTGTTCCTTTCTTTGGGGAGTAAGTCAAGTCCGGTGGAGTTCGTCAATCTACCAGCACTAACATGATATCATTTCAGCCAACCTTTCTGGGGTAACATGGTAGCCCGTGCTGGCGCGGGTGCTAAACCCATTCCCTACTCTCGCCTCAACTCGAAGAACCTGTCAGACGCCATACGACTTTGCCTCACACCGGGGGCAGCAGCAGCGGCTCAGCAAATCGCAACGAAGATGCGAGCCGAGTCTGGCGTCACTGCAGCTGTTCAATCATTCCATCGCCATCTACCCTTAGAGCGAATGCGTTGCCATGTGATGCCTAATCAAGCTGCTGTATGGAAGTGTGTCATATCGAAACGGAAAATCTATCTATCTAAGGCAGCGGCTCAAATCCTGATTGAAAAGTCGGCGATCGACGTCAAAGACATTAGAAGGTCTGCTTATGCTTCCAAATATGCCTTGTGGATTCGAAGATGATCTGTCGAGTTGCTCGCATGCTGACATTATCTTCGAGCTAGTCATGAAATTAACCCAATTTTCATCGAGAATCGCCGCTGGGATCCTCTCACCGGGTTGATCTCCGCCTCGACAAGTACAGGGTACGACATGATCAAGTCGAGCGGTGGGATGCTCTACAAGCCATACAAAGAATACAAGCGGAGCCGCTCTCCTAGACCCCCTACAAACTCCACAAACAAAAATATGACCTCGGCTACGAGCTCCGCAGCATTCATAGGGCACCGAAGCGCTGTCGAAATCAATCCTCAGTGTTCAAGAACGAGCGAAAAAAGCAAGGAGCAGCATCCAAGTTCGTTGGTCACCGCAGGCAACGTAGCCGGTGCAACTTTGAAGGAATTCGGCAAATTTACCGGTTCTTACTTCAAAGGCGTAGTGGTAGACATCCCGCATGCCGCAGCAGAAGGGTTCCGACAGGTCCCCCGGCTGTATGGAGAAGAGCCCAAGAATTATGGAACAGTGAAGGACTGGAAGTCGGGAGCTGTGATGGGTGGTCGAAATTTTGTGGATGGAATGGCAGATGGCTTCACGGGAATCTTCACACAGCCCATTAAGGGAGCCAAAGAAGAAGGGGTACTGGGCGCCATGAAAGGGTTTGTTAAGGGTACCATTGGGCTGGCGACGAAGGTTCCTTCTGGTAAGTGGTCAATCGCTCGCTGCGCAAGCTCTGATTGCTCACTCATATGATGGAGAAAGCTGACTAGTTCTGGACGTAGCTGGAATCGGACTGGTGGCATACCCATTTCATGGCATTGCGAAAACGATCGAAGGACTCGCCAAGTCAAAGACCAAAAAGCTCATCGTTAATGCTCGCCTTCGAGACGGGCTGTATATCGTACGACGATCTCATTTGACGCCGGAGCAAGAGGCGGAGGTTCTCCAAAAATTTCAGGCTCTTACACGCTCGATGATGGATTGAGGCAGACGCAGATTCATCTCAGACACATAGCATTTTTAACATATGGTCATGTCGCGACACAAGTCAGGTTTATGATAAGGAAAGAGCTTGTGCATGCCCTTCATCGCCCGACAACAGGCTAAAGATTTCCGAGCTCCTTTTAAGGGGGACAATGATGTTCTAGCCCAAGGAGGAAGTCATCGCCCGATTTGTGGTAGAAGCGAGTATCTTCAGCCGGACATTGCTCCTAGCGCCCCGGCGAATAAATTAATCTCAATATCTTCAACTTCCTTCCGAACCCCTCCTACCCAATCACTCTTACGAATGTCTCGGAATGCTCGCTACTGTCAAAGCTTCATTTCACTCTGAACTCCACCCTGCTCGCCAACAAGGGTCAATCATTGCCCAATGCAAAAGAACGTGCCTGAACCAAGGACATCGAGGAAAATGCAGCCTGTCGACGCGCTCAATGCATGGGTTAGTCGGGATTCGATCAAGCTAGTAGTTATAAAAGCGAAGTAAAGCCTCTCGCTCTCTGGGCAAAGTCAAGCTTCATCCTCCCGTGCACAATGAAGATCTCTCAATTGCTTTGCTTTGCGGGTCTGCTTGGCGCTTCTGTCGCGTCAAGCGGACTGGACAAAAGATCAACAGTGAGCGAAATTCTGACAGATATCGAGGACGCCACGACATGTGCTGCGTGTGAGGTGAGCAATCTTTTACAACTTGAAGTACTTATTTCTGGTGGTCTGGAACATTAAGCTGATTTGGCTCCAAGGCCTTGCTGGTTGTTCTCCAAGCGCTTGCTCACTTGGGCAACGATGACTTCGTGGATGTCATCACTGAGGTTTGCATCTTGGCTAAGGTAGGTGAGTCTTCCATCGTCTCCGATGAACTTCTCTGATAGAGATAAGGTGGACGACGACGATGTTTGCGAGGGTGCAATCTCCCGTGAAGGACCTATTCTGGCCCACGATCTCCGTAACATGGATGTCCCTTCCAAGACAGCGGTCCTCTTTTGTACTACCATCTTTGGACTTTGCGACTATCCGGCTGTGGCCGAATACAATGTTGCATTTCCTTCTGCTAAGCCAGCGAATGCGTCTCGGCCTGCTTCAAGTGGAGAGACCCCTCTGCAGATTGTCCACATCAGTGACATCCACGTTGATCTTTCTTACGAGACAGGTGCCAAGTATGTCCTTCAATCCGACGCTTTCTATACATCCACCCCGCATTTATGCTGACCTTAATCTCTTTTTAGCTACAACTGTACCAAAAATATCTGCTGCCGCCCGTATACCGCTTCAGATGAGCCTGGATCGACGGACTATCCTGCAGGGGAGTATGGAAACCACAACTGCGACGCCCCTCTCACCTTGGAGGAAAGCATGTACGCAGCTATTCAAGAACTTGTTCCGGACGCCTCTTTCACGATCTTCACGGGTGACGTCGTTGAAGGCGCTGTGTGGCTGGTCAACGAGACCGAGGTAACTAATGACCTCAACGACGCTTACAAGACGCGAATGCCCAACTACCTCAACCTCGTCTACGGTGTCACCGGTAACCACGATACTGCGCCCGTCAACTCCTTCCCAACGTCGGACATAGACACTACAATCTCCAGTCAGTGGGCCTACGATACCTTGTCAGCCGACTGGAGCCAGTGGATCGGATCTACCGCTGCCAGCACCGCGGACGACTATGGCTCCTACTCGGTCAAGTACTCGGGCGGCAACCTCCGCATCATCTCCTTCAACACCAACTTTTACTACAAGGAGAACTTCTGGCTCTACGAGCAGACCATGCTGACCGACCCGAACGGCCAACTCGCCTGGCTAGTCAGCGAACTGGCCGCCGCCGAGACCGCCGGCGAGCGCGTATGGCTGATGGGCCACATGCCGATGGGCTCGGGCGACACCTTCCACGACGGCTCCAACTACTTCAACCAGATCATCCAGCGCTACGAGGCGACCATCGCCGCTGTCTTCTACGGCCACACCCACAAGGACGAGTTCGAGATCGCCTACTCGGACTACACCGACCAGACCGCCGCCACCGCGACCATGATGTCTTACATTGCCCCCGCGCTGACCCCGACCTCCGGCAACCCGACGTTCCGCGTCTACTCGGTCGACCCGGTCACCTTCGGCGTCCTCGACTTCACCGTCTACATCGCCAACATGTCCAGCCCCACCTATCAGGAGAAGCCCGTCTGGGAGAAATACTACTCCGTCAAGGAAACCTACGGCGCGCTCCTTAACCCGCCGGTCACCGACAGTGCCGCCGAGCTCACCCCGGCGTTCTGGCACAACGTCACCGCGCTCTTCGAAAGCGACGACGCGGTCTTCCAGGACTACTACGCCCGCAAGAGCCGCGGCTGGGACGTCTCATCGTGCACTGATGACTGCAAGACCGACGAGATCTGCCAGCTGCGCGCCGCCGAGGCGCAGTACAACTGCGTCACGATCACGCCCGGGATCAGCTTCAAGAGGAAGCGAGACACAGGGTCTAGCTCGTCGGCCGCGCAGGAGAGCCCGTGCGGGGAGTCGGTTGTGGGGAATATCTTCTCGAACTTCGACGGCGCGGTCGGGGCGTTGATCCAGGCTGCCCAGGCGAAACTGGGGTCGAGCTTCATGAACACCACCGTTAACTCAACAGTTGCGTAGTGTGCTGTGGCCATATAGAGCAGACTAAGCATTGCAGAATTGATCTACGGGTCTGACTCACGCTTCGGCCATGATTTTGGTCTGGTAAGTCATTTATAATGGTGCGGTGCGATCCATAATCGTGTGCCAAATGTATACTGTGATTTTATTTCCGCATACCATACTTGAATATTCTCGCTATGTTAGAACACATTGATGCGTTCAATGTCGATGGAAAGTTATGCTTCCAAAGTTCTATATCTCAGTTATTGCTACCTATCTTCTCGGATTATACTAAACGAATGACTTCCTGGGTCTCTGACTCGTTGCCCAATTCCACTCACTACACCTTAGGGACTTCCCGGGGTTCCTGTTCTGTCAGAGTTCGTTGGCGACATTGGCGTTTCTTCGGTCTCTGCCACTTCTACGTGCTCGACGTGGGGAGAGTCCGGTTCCATGGCATCAGAACCTTCCGAGCGATGATATGTCCACGCATAACCCGTGAGCAACTCCAAGTCTCGCGCGATGGCACACTCCTCATCTGCTAAAGCCCTACGCTGTTTCCATGCATAGTCACTGTCGCGGGAGCTCCGATTCACACAGGATCGGAGGTCAACTAGAAACACTCGCAAGAAGGGGGCGCTGCTCGCGTTGTCATCCTCATCTGGGTCCGTGATATACCACACTTCAAAGTCTTTCAGACTGAGACGATCCGTTCGCACGCCCCATTCCTGAAACGTATGCACTATGTGCATGACATCGTCGCAGACGGTACCCCAGAGCGTATTCGGCAAATCCCGACACAGATTGCCCAGACTGTACCCTTCACGATACTGCTGCAGATACCCATGACAGGTGCCTGTCTTGGTGAATTCCCCGTCATCTGCCCTGACCTCCCACGTCGCCAAGACGCCGCCGTAGAACCGCGGGATAATCTTGCCCTCCAGCAGCCGCAGGCGGTGCCAGACCGCCAATTCATTTGCCAAGCTCCGTTGCATGAGCCCCTCAAGGTAGATCTCCTTGTGCGCGGGCGCCCAGCTCAAGTGTTGGAAGCGCGGGTTCTCGTTCTGCGAGAGCAGGTCCACGGCGATGTGACTCGCCTGCTGGCAGAGGTACTCGTGGTAGTCTCGCTCGACCGACGCAGCCCAGTGCGCGGCGTCGGTGTTCCGGCGCCCCAGCTTCTGGATCCGGGCCTCAGCCGCGCAGCGTCGGTCGAACAGCTTCAGTGACATCGGCGTGGTCATCTTCCCTAGCGGCGGGTCCACGTCGATCAGCAGTACACATGCCATCTGGTTCTCAGCTTCGTACACGTCGAGGACTGTGGCGTTCATGACGGAGACCTGGTCTGCGCGGGGGCTGGTTGGGTGTAATTTGATCTCCTGGCCTACATGATATGGTAATTCGCTTCGCGGGGTCAGCAGATTCTTGTATCTCATGAGTTAGGAACGAAAGGATTCTGGCTAGGCTTACTGTGGCTCGGCTGGGTCCGGGGACATATTCCAGCGAACTTTCTTTGTTGGTTCCATCTGGATCGGGGCGTTTTGCCTGAATAGATAAGAGTGTTCGATAGACTGGCTGATACAGTCAGGGGGTGATGTTGATAAGAATAGGTGGATGAGGTGAGGTGCGAACGATTGAGGTTTTCGTTGATCATTGCAGTGTCTCTGTTCTGGTTGTCGATGGGTTTACTGTCCCAGGGTTGGATTACAGCGGAGGAAGTTGCGACTGATGGACTGGCTCGTAATGCTGTGGTCCGCACACGCCGGTCAATCTTCTGGCTCTCGAGGACAAGCTTGTCGCGACGTCATGTCTTCATCCCTGACGAAAGATCCGTGTGAGGTACTGGCCATCGGGTGACTTTGATCTGCTCGTGGCGGAGGTATGCGAGATCCGCGATACTCACATAAGTTAAGTATACCCATATAGCTAGAAGTGTCAGCCGTTGTACAATCTACTAGTATGTTGACACCCTCAGGTGAAAACTGCAATTTTCAGCAATGATGGACAGCACTCTCACTCGTTCGTTTCATCCTCACAGCTGCGGATGAAATGGCAGACCCACTGCGATTGCGGGGCCTGGTACGGCCTGGGGGATTTCCGTGCGGGGGGTTTCTTTACTTGACAGTTCACACACTCGCAACCTCCGCTCAAACAACTCAATGCCTCTCCAAAGCATCATCCTTCCAACATGACGATCCTTCTAACTCAGAACCTGGGCAAGCTCCGGGGGCGAGATAGCAACAAAGTGACCCAATTCCTAGGCATCAAGTACGCCACTCTCAACGACCGACTCGCAGATGCACAACTCATTGAAACTCGCGACGGGGACGGGGACGGGGACGGGGACGGGGACGGGGACGGGGACGTGCTCGACGCGACCAGCCATGGGTAAGTCAATTAGATCAACGGCTTGATTCGTGTGGCAGACTGACCAGCAACGACTCCGCAAGCCCGACGGCGCTGTCCCCGTCGTTCGGATGCGACTTGGAGCTCAGCATCATCCAGCATACACTGCCCAAGAAGCCTCTCGTCCAGTCCGACGTCGACTGCCTGAACTTGAACATTGCCATCCCGAGTGACACCACGACCGATGCTCGTCTGCCGGTCTTTGTGTTCATCCATGGCGGCGGGCTGTTCATCGGGGCCAACTCCTGGCCGCAGTTTGATCTCGAGCGGCTGGTCGCGCTGTCGGTGTCGAACGGCCTGCCTATTGTCGCAGTGTCCATCAAGTATGTCTGTTAGCCAGGCCGTGGGACGATGCGTGTGCTAATCAGCGAAGCTATCGACTGGGCATGTTCGGGTTCATGACCTCGGAGGAACTGCGGAACGCCGGCTACAAGGCCAACAATGGCCTGCGAGACCAGCGGGTGGCTTTGGCCTGGGTGCGTAGGCACATCGGTGACTTCGGAGGCGATCCAGACAACATCACTCTTGCTGGAATGAGCGCTGGCGCGGGTATGTACAGTACCTGACCCTTGTGTGGTATTGGCACGAGTTGACTGAAACTCGCAGCATCTGTCGCCTGTCACCTCGAGTCCGAAACGCCTCTTTTCAAACGAGCCATCATGATGAGCGGAAATCGCTTCTTCTCGCCCAGCCTATCCTACGAGGCTCACGAGCAGAAATACGAGCAGGCAATGGCAGCATTGGGCTTGGCGGATGCCTCACCCGAAGAACGAATCGGTGCCTTGCTGAAGACTCCTGGGGAAGAGTTGGTCGCCAAGGTCCCACCGTCCATCAGTCCGACGTTTGCAGTGGATGGAGATCTGGTTCCATCCGCGGTAACCTACACCCAGCTGGCGGATAGAACCAACCACATCCCCAAAGGCAAGGACTGGTGCCAGGACTTGATGGTTGGTGATGCCCAGATTGACGTACGTTACAAGTTCCATCCAGTCTGATGTCGCCCATGCTAAACCGACAGGCCAACATCATCCATGCCATTAGGTCTGATCTCAAGACCGGATGCGCTGAGCGTTTCTTCAAGAGTCTTGTAGCCGTCCTTGCCACGCAACCAGAAGTCGTAGAACAAATCTCGGTCAGCTACGGCATAACCAAGTACTTAGATGACGAGCACGCCTTTCTTGCCATCCTCGAGTTCTTGAACGACGTTTGGATGTTCGCCCCCTCATTGGCATCGGCGCAAGGCTGGAAGGGACGCGCTTTTGTCTACTACTTCAATGAAGGTAACCCGTGGGAGGGCGCTTGGAAAGGTCGAGCTGGGCACATTCTCGATCTTGCCTACCTCTTCCAGAACTTCCGTGAGTTTTTGTCGCCTGCCCAGCGAGAAGTCGGCTCTGCGATTGCAGAGGACTTTTTCAAGTTCTGCCATGGCATCCAGCCGTGGCCTCCGATTGTTGGCGGAGACCTTGAGGGTGGATTTACTGCCCGAGTCTATGGCCCCAGCCCTCAGGGGCCTGCGATCCAGCAAGTCGACCAACCTTTCGGCGGGAAAAGCCAACGTCGCTCCACAGTCTTTGACCTTGGTGACAAGGTCTCTGTTGATGAACTATCGAGAATCGCTACCATGTTCACGGCAGGGCAGTAGTTGAACGACCGCCCTTGTAAATAATGTAACAAATAAAATTATAGCTCACTCCGAATAAACACTCTATCGCCGCTATCGCTTTCGCTCGTAAAATGCAACCCAACTCCAAATGCTTAGTGTCATTATATACCTCCTCGGGGATATGTCAACCGGACTGGAAATTCATGCTATACCCGCCGGTCTTGGGGTCCTGGACGAACTTGAAGTTCTCGGTGGAGAGGCCAAAGGGCTTGAGAATCCCATTGCCCAGCTGGGTTTTCCTTCAATTAGTACGGCCATGGAAACAAGGGCAACGAGGGCGTCGACTCACATCTTTCAGCTTGCCCATCATCTCCGCCATATCCTTCTCGCGGGCCTGGGCGATCCGGTCCGGCAAATCGCGCAAACCCTTCTGCACGACGCGCCTATCGTCCGGGGGGAGGTTATCCATGGCCGCCAGCGCCTTGTAGTCCTCCTCGGCGCCTTGCAAGTTCGCCCACCCGCCGAGCTGCATCCGGGCCCGAGCACGGCGCATCAGCGCCTTCGCGCGGATCCGCAGCACGTCGCGCTTCGTCTGGTCCCGCTGCTGCAGACGCTGGAGCTGGGCCTCCTCTGCCTCGTCATCGTCCCCGGTGATCTCTACAACCGCCTCCTCCGTTTCTGGACTCTGGCCTGTCCGGCTCGCCTCCGTGGTTGTAGTCGTCGACGGTAACACTTTCTCCAGCCGGTCGAGACACGCCGTCGCCGCGTCCACGGAGGCCTTCCAGTCGTCCAGCTTCAGGTAGCAGGCGGCCATGTTGCTGCGCAGCACGGCGACTTCGTAGTCGAGGTAGTTGGGGCACGCGGCCAGGGCGCGGTCGTAGCAGGTAATGGCTTCGTCGTAGCTGGCGGCCGTGAAGAGCTGGTTGGCTTCGGCTTTGAGGGAGTGGGATTCTTCGAGGAGTTTCTAGCAAGGACTGCTGTTAGGTTTGATGGTGCTGAAGGTGGTGGTGGTGGTGGTGGTGGTGGTGGTGGTGGTGGTGGCTGTACTTACCGTCTCTTCGTCGGCGGGAAAGCGGGCGTCGTGGAAGACGTCCTCTTCATCTTCGCTGTCGCTTGTGTGTGCTCTAGTCTCGTCTTTTGACATTTTGAGGATGGTGCAGAGCTGCTCCGGAGGTGTGCTTTCCGGTGCTCTAATCCTCGAGCAAGCTTGAAGATGGACGGTCCCGCCGCGGCCGTCCGCGAGTGGGCGGCGGGGCTGAGAGCAGCAGTGCCAGCCTGAGGCAGAGATTTGTTCCTCCCCCCTCCCCCCACTAAGTTATCGATAGCCGATATCGAATCATTCTCGTAAAGTGCGGAGAAATCGACCACCTCCACTCCATTCTATTCCTTTGCCTGTCTTTTGACTTTTAGCATTGCTTTCGGGAACTTGACCAGCACACTCCAGTCCACCATGTCCGCAGCCACCCCTGAGTAAGTGCGCCCTCACATTGCCAGCCTTCTTCCGGCCAATTGAACCCACTCTGATGCTGTGCAGATTACCCCGCGTGCGGGCATGTCTCTTCGACATGGACGGCCTCCTCATTGACTCGGAGGACATCTACACCTCAATCACCAACACCGTGCTGCAGGAGTACGGCAAACCGTTACTCCCGTGGTCGATCAAGGCCCAGCTCCAAGGCCGCCCTGCCCCTGAAGTACGTCTCCCCCCTGTCCCTGTTCCCCCTGTCCCCAAACAATAAACCACCACCACCACCACAACAACAACAACAACACAGCTAACCCCACCCTTACCCAAACCAAAAAGGCCGGCCGCATCTTCCACGACTGGGCCCAACTCCCCATAACGCAAGACGAATACATCGCCAAAATCACCGCCCTGCAACTGGAACGCTTCCCCACCACCCAACCGCTCCCGGGCGTGGAACGCCTCCTGCAGACCCTGCTCGCCACGCAGTCCACCGCCTCCCCCATCCACATCGCGCTGGCCACCTCCTCGCACGCCAAGAACTTCCACCTCAAGGCCTCGCACCTCGGCCGGTTATTCGCCGCCTTCCCGCAGCACCAGCGCGTCCTGGGCGATGATCCCCGCATCGGTAGGGGGCGCGGGAAGCCGCTGCCCGATATCTATCTGCTGGCGCTGGAGACGATTAATTCCGGCCTCAGAGAGAAGGGGGAGAGGGAGATCACGCCGGCGGAGTGTCTGGTGTTTGAGGATGCGGTGCCCGGTGTTGAGGCCGGGCGGCGTGCGGGCATGCAGGTCGTCTGGGTGCCGCATCCGGGGCTTTTGGAGGCGTATCGGGGGCGGGAGGAGGAGGTGCTCGCGGGGTTGACCGGGGAGCATAAGGAGGAGGAGAAGGGGCCGGCTGAGAAGGAGGCCGAGGAGTTGGTCGCGGGGCGCGAGGGCCAGCGCAAGGATAATGGCAATGGCACGCCGGGGAAGTTGCGTGATGGGTGGGGGGTGCTGTTGTCGTCGTTGGAGGATTTTCCCTACGAGCGGTTTGGGATCGTGCCTGCTTCTGCTGCTCAGTAGTTCTGGGAAGTGTTTTTCTAGCGATTCAGGTTCTGGCAGGGGATTGAAGGGGCCAGGCGGAGATCTCTACGCAGCTGCGAGGGGAGTGTAATTGATCGGATTTGCATTAAAGAATAACTGCATCAAAAACGAAAGAATAACAACTTGAAAAACAAAACGAGTCTGCAATTTCAATCTGGGAACAGGAAGGATAACACCAGCAAAAAGGAACCGTACTTTCGAACCGGAAAGCCTTGTCATCTGTACATCGCTGCCAATGGGCCTTGCCTCCTACACCAAACCTTGGCGTCATTCTCGTAGCGATCGTCCTTGCGTTCAAAAAACCTTTACACTGGGGCAAAATCATCGCGGGTTGTGTCCAAGACACGAAGGATAAAAATAGAGCAAAATCACATTCAAACGGAGCACCTATCATTCCTCGTCTCCAAGGTCCGTCCGTCCCATGGTGGATGGGCAGTCATGAGCTGTGGGAGCTGCAGGTTTGGCTCATGGCTCCCATCCACCATGGGACGGACAGGCCTCATAAAAGCAAAGAAGCAAAACACCGAATCGCAAAGCATAACCAACAACTCCTAGACCCGAGGAAAACAAAACGCAAGCAACGCAAGAAAGCAGAAACTGAATAGCATAACCACAGCCCCCTGAGACCCTGAGAAAAGCAAACAAAAGCAACGCAGGGAAGCAGAAACCGAAATAGCAATCACCGAAACCGAAAAGCAAGCAGCGAATCCGAATCGCAAGCAACGAAACCAAAGATTCAAAACCACAATCGCAAAATCTGAACGACAATCTCAAAAGCGAACCGAAATCCTCAAAAACAACAGAAACAAAGACACAAAAAAAAGATAGAAATCCAAGCACCAAAGGTGTACTGGACTGTATGTACGTTAGTGTACCGTATGCAAGTAAGCTACTGCTTACGCTTGCGGCGCTGAGAATCATCCTGAATGCCCGCCTCCACCTGCTTGCGCTTTTTGATATCCAGAAAGACACCCTCAACCCTAGCAAGCTCAGTTTGGGGCAGGGCGGCTCGAGATAGAGGTACAGCTGCATTGTTTTGAGGCGCAGCACATCTAGGCGGAGGGCTTTCCACCCACGCGCAGACATCAGCGTCCACTCCCTGCAGATAATCGACAACGCTCTCTTGGCAGGGGGAAATCGTAGGGCCAGCATGCCTTCTGTTCAGATCGATCAAGGGGATCGGGAGGATATAATCCGGGAGAGGACCCAATGCATTCGTGCTGTTGTGGGAGTCGAACATGTTCGGATCAGCAGCGTCTCGACCCATGGCTTTCTGCATCCGTCCGTGCTGAGGGGGTTGAATGGTGCGGCCCGCGGGCACGAGGCTGTTATGCGCCATAATTATACGAGGATCGACGGTCTGCATGCTGCTCTGGAAAGGAGCTGCCATGTTGCCCTGGTTGAGACCGTTCAAGGACCGAATGTTTGGCTGGAGGTTGTTGCCCTGTGCCATGTTGCCGGGATCAAGGTAGGCTGGGTCGATAGGCTGTGCTCCGAAAGGAACCAATGGAAGATTGCCCATCCAGGGATCCATGAAATCCTGGAGACCTCCGGGCATCGCATTGTGCGCAGAAGGGGCTGTAGCCATCAAGAGAGGGTTGGGGTCCGCGTTGGGAAACAGGGGATCCGCGTCCGCGTTGCCTCCAGCAGTAAAAGAGGGTTCAACCATGAGGTTTTCAAGATCGTCCAGACCCATTCTTGCCGGAAAAAAGGCGCCTGCAATGCCATTCTGCACAGCGGAGTTGGCCACGGGTACCTGGGAAGTGCTGCCGTTGGCATTGGTGGCGCCATTGCCCTTCTCCGAGGAAGGTCCCGCGTTCGCGAGAGGAGGCGAGGTAGGCGGGCTTTCCAGGTCAATGGACTCATCTGCAGATTCTTCGTCATCCGCGGAGTACTCATCGTTGTCGGGAACGAGTTCCTCTTCAACGAGACCCTCTTCAACGGGCGCCCGGCCCAAGGATTGAGCTCTAACAGCCTCCTCCTCCTGTTTCTTCTTGAGGGCCTCCTGTGCCGCACGAATCAGTTGAGCCTTCTTACGGTTCACGTGTTTGTTTTCGCGGACGCGGTAAAGGCTGCCAACCGGGTCCTCCACGAGAAGATTTATGTACTCAGGATCAAGAATGTGCTTGAGCACAGCCTTGTGGTAGACCATGGCCTCCATGATCTTGGAAAGTCTATCTCTGAAACTCATCCATTTGGGCGGAGTTGGGAACTTCAAATAGTCATAATAGAGGAGCTCTGGACCGTTGGTATTGCGACGAATCAGTGCCTCCTGCGAGTCAGTCTGTCAGAATGATCACCAAGAATATGGCATTGCCTGAGGAATCTCTTACCAGTAGCTCCCAGGCGGCTTTTTCCATCACATGCCTGGGGTGCTCGGCGCGGATCCAGCTCTTCAAGGCTCTTGTGCCGTCCTGCGCCCAAGAATTGTCCATCATCAAATCGGTCAATGCCACCACGATAGCCTTCTTAGCTGCGTGCGTCTTGGGGATAGTATCGTCTTCCTCGATGTCGCTATCGGCCACGTGATCAGCACGCGCCTCACTCGCGGAATCATAGATGGTGGCCTGTGGTATGTCGTTGGTTGGGTTGAGAAGTTTGTCGATATCTGGGAAGTTTTCGGGACGAACTCCGCGGGAGTTGGGATCCAAGGAGTTCCAGAACTTTTTATCTTTAACCTTGAAGCGCTCCGGCTCAGGCATGGGCTCCGGTTCACTCTCTGGCTCAGGAGATGACTCCTCCTTCAACTCAGCTTCCTGTTTACCGTTGCGTTTGCCGCCTCTGCCACCTTGGCCTCTCTGAGTAGACTTGCCCTTGTTCTTTTCCCGGTCACGTTTGACCCTCATCGCGTCTATATCTTTCTTGTTAAGCTTCGCCCTTTTGGTGGGGCGCGCAAGGTCAGCATGACGATCAGCCAGCGAGCTTGAGCCATCAGCAGCGATGCCTGAGCCACTAGCGACGTTGTTAGAACTGCTCGATGGAGTTGTTAGCTCGATGACCAGTTTCTGCTTGGTCCCATGTTATGGGGAGTGGCGTACCTCTGAACAATCGCGTTCGACGCCTCATAGTTACGCTTTCTGCTGTTTTCGATTGCCTGCCGGAGGATTGCGTTGGCCGGGGCGCGACCAAAAGTCTGAGCAGGAGTCAAGGGCGGGATTTGTCCAGCTGATGCTGGGTTAGCCTCAGCCATGAACGGGTTCGACGCCACAGAATTCCAAGTCCCGAATGGCAAGTGCTTAGCATTGCTACCACCCGCGAATGCAGAAGCACCTGGAACCTCAAACATATCAGACTTGCCGTACAGCACACTACCAGGATCTTGATGACCAGGCTGCCCGTAGTGGCCTTCCACATTGTGTGAGGAGCCGCTGGCGACGACTTGCTGCAATGCGTGGTTTAAATTCGGGTGGACCGACGTCGATGAGGACTGGGTGCCAAGTTCCACCGAAGGATTTGTTGGAATCATTTCAGCGGGCCATTCCTCGGCGTCACTGACATCAGTGATGTCAATAATTCTAGCAGAGCTGTCCCAGTGGTTGGGAACTGGTTCATTGGGCTGCACGGGCTGAGCAGTTTCAACGCTCTCAGCACTGTCTGTCCCACTTTCAGTATGTTCAGTGGCGTTTGGGCTGCTTGTGTGGAGTTCATCACCAGTAGGTCCAGCCTCGTCTGGGAGAACAACGTTAGTAAGCGGCCACGCTGTAAGATTGGAGTGCAGCCAGTCATTACCATAGAAAGAATCAATCAATTCAGCGATCTCCCTCTCACTCACGGATTCACCCGTAGTGTTGAGCACATCGTTGTCACTGACAGCAGTCCCAAGACTTTCATTGATGAAGTCATCAAAATCCTCATCGGTACCATTGGGGTTGAAAGAGTTGACTTCAAGGTCGCCAGGTCCATCCGCCCTGCGTAGTATTAGCCTGAATAAACCTTTTTCTAAGAGATTTCGAAGACTTACTGCAGGAGAGATGTTTCGAGAGGTCCAGTGGGTGTGGTAATTTCATTGTTATCATCACTGTCGAGGTTGATAGGCTCGATATCAAGATCGCCAGCTCCATCGAACCTGCGTAGTGTTAGCCTGGATGAACCTTTCCTCGAGAGCTCTCATGGACTTACTGCATGAGAGACGGTCCGAACGACCCAGAGTGTGCGGTGGTTTTGTTGTTATGGGTGAGACTGTGACACTGTCTGAGCTGTCTGACAAGGCTCAGACGCGCCTTGCAGCGCTTGAGGATCTTTGATCCCAGCATTCGAAAGTCCCGTTGCTAAGCAACGTTCTTTCTGTTGTATTCAAGAGAGAGATTTGATGATTTGAGATGAATGTTTGAGATACAAAGAAGGGGATATTTAAAATGGTAAAGTTATGTATTTCACTTTGTGAAGATGGGTTAGAGAGCAAAGACGTGGTCACACGCTCGAAGAAAGCAGAAGATACTGAAGACTGAGAGAAGGCATGTGCAAAGGGATACAGATTCAAGATTATGTACCTGAAGGTGTGGTAATCTTGAGGAAGTTGGTGGTGAAAGAGAGGAAGATGGAGGGGTTAGAGGAGGGAAGAGAGAACGAGGGAAGAAGAAGAGGGAGGGAGATTAAATAGTAGGCCTGATATTATATAGAATTCTGGGGTGTGTTAGTGAATATCAGGCTGGGGGGTTTTTTGAATTATCAACACATTCACCCAATGTTTGAGGTTCCAGGTGTGATGGCTGGTCCAAATTACCCCTCTGGTAGAGCAATATTCACTTATAACACAAGAGCTGCCACCAAAGACCGGTTGGAACAACGAAATAGGACAATCTCAAGGGGGCCCCTCCAAGCCTTGGACGATTGCTATTATCTGCGTGCGAGAAATAGAGGTCGAGCAATATACCAAGGTTGTTTTGGGTTGGGCAAATTGGCTGACAAGGCGCTTTCTTGCAAACTACAACTCCAGGTTGATAACTTAAGCATCGAAGCCTAGCCCAGGAAGGCTCTGATAATGACCAGACCACAGTAGCTTCGAGAAGATGCTTGTCATATCCGATTAATGCTGAACCTCGCCTATATGCCTCCGGTTTGATACTCACATCAACTCGTCCCCAAGCTGTGCCTCGACGAGGTAGCCTGATGTTGGCCTTGAGTCCCAGGAACCAATTGTTCGGGTTGATGAGATTTTCTTTCGTTGACGCGCCTCAATTCGTGACTGGATCGATCTCGTTGCTATCGTTCAAGAACGGCATATACCAGACTTTTAGACTCTTGTCAATCTGTGGTTCAGAAGGCGGAATGCCGTCGTCAGGTTCGTCTGCAAAGTATCTTTGCCCTGAGGTTGTTGCAGCCACATTGCCCAAAGGATGCACCACAGTACTGCTTACTGACTCTACATGATGTTAGCATAGAATCGCGCAACATGCTGCGGCAAGCAGCAACGCAGCCTCACCATCATGAACCTTCCACTCCCACTTCGGCTCCTGTGCTCCAGGATTATAGGTGGGGTTCTGCCAAACTCGCATGCAGCCGTCGGTTCCTCCCGCCCAGATCTCATGCGAATCTCCTTGGCCCGTGGCCACCACGTCGATCTTCATGCGTTGATTGGTGAGAGCCTTGCGCCCTTGCAGCCACCCGAGCAATTGGCCGGTCACTCGGATATCATAAACCAGGACGCCATCACTTTTGCGTTCAGCGACATACAGATACCTGCCACAAGGACTCCATAACAGTTGCGTGATCCCGCGCCCTCCTATGTGAGGATCTGCCTCTGTTTTCGCAATGCTGAACGTTCCCAGAGATTGCCCGCTTCCGTGCGAGTCATAGAGCCCGACGTGCCGGGTAAATGTTCCTGCAGCAAGGATGCCTTGTGCGCTGGGATCCACGGCTAATGCGGAAACGATGCCCTTCATGCCAACACCACCGCCCACCACTTGTTTGCGCTTACTTGGTATAGTAGGCATCGTCGTCACAGGCCCGTCGTTTCCTGGTCGCGAAACATCAAACAGGCAGATGAGGCTATCAGATCCAGTGAGGAATTGAGTACCTCCTAGACTAGGTGGGTAAATCATTGAGTGCGGTGTAATGAACGCCTCTGTCATGGGATTGACCAGGGAGTAAGACGCCATTTGCATTGGCGCCAGAGCAGATGCCAGTCTGATGGGGTGGTCTCTCACGGAGGAGAGAAATAATGTGGTGGAGGGGTCCTGGAGAGAGAAAAAGGGATAGATGGCCGTGGCATAGATCGGTTCCGCAGAGGCCAGTATCGAATAGGGCGAGAGGTGGATAGGTGATGGTCTCTCTTCGAGTAAGTCTGGTGGCCTACACATACATTGTCAACTCATGCGCTTGTAGTTCCTAAGTCAGAAGATACTGACAATATATAGCTCCGGATATGATGGTCTGTAGAGTCTGTCAACAACGTTGTCCCATCAGCGGACCTGTGAGACATCATTAGCCGTGAGTGCAAGCTGGCAGAACAAGAGTTTGTGCATACCATTCGGCACTTTTAATGATGTTCGAGTCAGAAAGTCTTGAAGCTACCTGCGGAGTTCTCTCCGTCCGGCCATCTTGTTCCTGGCTGGGGATATGTGTCTCCGTTCGTGGACTCTGCTCTTCGATTCCCGCCTTACTTGAGGTGGCTACACAGAGAGGCTGTGAAGTGGTAGACTCATACTCAACCATCTTCCCGATTTTAAGCTCAGGGCTTGCTTGGGATCGGGCTAGGATGTGTTCGTGATAGGGTATAATCAAGTAGGACACATGCTGAGCGCCAAGCAGGCGGCGTCGATTCTGAGTGACTCCAATCTCCAAAGCTAAGAGATCCAACGCCTATGAGGCTTAGCACACGGGATAAAAGAAAGCACTCGCTTCCAGCGAGGTAGTGAAATACGAAGGACGCGCTGGAAGAGGATAGATGGATGCAGTTTCCCTGGCTGGAACAGGGGAGGTAGAATGGCTAGTGGAGGCTGATGCCCTTCCCAATTGAGCGTTGAAGCACTAATGAAGCCAGTTCTTGAAGCTTGTACTATGGACGTCAGTACCTTAGACTAGACAGTAAAAGTGAGGTCTTCAGATGTGATATGGTTATCAGATTCCGATAAGCCAAAGGTGAGCTGGGGCACGTCAGGGTCACGGGACCCCGGAGAAACTTGCCGGAAGTGAGGTTAGCTGCCGAGCAACCATCGCTGACTTGATTGTTTTCCACTCAGCAATCCATCACCACCCATTGCGGCGCAGATTGGCAGGTACAAAGCGCCTTTTTCTTTGTTTGTGGATAATTTGGGCTTGAGCACCTCACATTCCCAGTTATTGCTACTGCCCCAACAGTGCGCAATGTTCTCCGCAAAGCCCGCAGGCACTGGCACCGGCCTGTCCCTCAACACCGGTTCATCCAACCTCTTGTAAGAGCCTTCCATCCAACTGCGCGTTGTTCCTCCCTACCTCTCGTCGCCTACATTTGCAACTCGAATTTTCAGTCGCTCCGATAATATATCTCATCATGGCCGCGATACCTGATTCAGATGAGCTAACCAAAGATTGCACAAATAGTGGCGGCGGCACCAACACACAAACTAGCTCTGCGACCACACCAGCAACAACGGGCGCTTCCGGTGGCCTCTTCGGCAATCTAGGAAATAACAACGCAGCGCAACAAAAACCAGCCGGTGGACTCTTTGGAAACTTGGGCGGTGGCACTGCACAGCAATCTCAACCGTCCGGATCGAATATGTTTGGCGGCCAACAGCAAACGAACACTGCCACCACTGGCGGCGGCTTATTTGGCAACACGGCGGCCACCACATCTCAACCACAAACCGGAGGACTCTTTGGAGGAGCCACGGGCACTACCAACACTGCGCAAAGTGGAACCACTGGTGGAGGGTTGTTTGGTGGTCTAGGCGGTGCTGCGGCCACTCAAGCTCAATCCAAGCCGCTCTTCGGTGGCACTACGACAAACACTGCTACCACTGGAGGAGGTCTATTGTGAGTATTTACCTACATCATTCATGTTCTGAAGTGATGATTTCGTTCTAACAGAAAGCTTGTCATAGCGGTGGCGCCACTCAGAACAATGCACAGCAAACCCAAGCTCAGAAACCTACACTGGGTCTGTTCGGCAATCAGAGCACCACTACACAACAACCCGCACAGCTCGGTGGCACCACCGTAATTCCCGGAGTCAAGATCGACGTCAGCAACATCCTCCCCACCACCAAGTATGAAAGTTGTGCGGATGAGATCAAGGCGGAGCTTGAGAGGTTCGATAATTACGTACTGGGTCAGATCAAACTATGCAATGAAGTCTCGAACATGATTCCTACAATTGAGACACAAGGACAGAGCATACCACACGATGTGGACTTCGTTCAAGGGAAGCTTGAGACCATGCAACATGCTCTGGAAAACGATGCCAGTGAGATTGATCAGCTGCGCAATCTCGTATCCCGCGATGCGGCCGAGGCCCAGGTTGCATTCCGCGCCATTGACACTCTGAAACTACCCCTACAATATCAGTCTACCGGCGGTGCTGGTTGGTGGACGTCTCAGAACCAGAAGACTGATGCGCAAACACTTCGCTCAACGCGTAAGAATACATTGGCCCTTCCCGATGATGTTGAGAGCGATCCTGCCACTGCCACTAGCGTGAACGGGGTGCCTGTTAACCTGGTGGATTACTTCTCCCAGCGTTCGGATGAGATGGGAGTTGTCCTCGAGCGCTACACTCGGAGTCTGAAGGAGATCGAGGATCACCTTCACGGAGTAGAGTCTACTTTGGAACGACAGATTCATGACTTTGTGGCGGCGCGGAGTCGTGATGGACCGGCGTCTGGAACTCCCAAGTCCATCATCAACGATCTTGCTACTGTGCTTAGCGACGTGGAGGCTGGTATCTTAGGTGTTGCCGGGCGCCTCGGCGGCGTGACTGAGCAGGTGCAGGAAGTTGTCCTGGGTCCTCCTTCGGCCGCTGATGGCAGGCTCAACCTCTGAAGGACGGGTTCTACCTGATACATACTTGCTCTGTCGGCGCTGAGTCTTTGTTTTTCTCATTGTACAATATAATGTTCTTGGCGACGGTGAAAAGCAAGGGACCTTGGCACTTTTGTCTGTTTGGGTTAGCATGGTTTTAATGAGGAGTTCTTTGTGTGATGCAATACAGGGCTAAGGGCGCCGCCGGCATATCATAATGGAATTCAATATAAACTCGAAATTTATATGATCTTTGGGCTCCCAAGATCTGACGGCTGAATGATAAGAATAGACTACGTGTCCGACCAGAAAGAATTGGGCCCTAGATAAGCCTAATGGAAATTGCTATCTAAAGTACCCAGTACTCATAGTAGATGAGGTCCGACGGAGGTCAAGTTAAGGCCGGGCGGTGAGGGGCAACACGCAAGAGGGCGGCAAACTGGCGTGATCGCACCTCATCCCCGGATCCACCTTGTTAGCCTCATGCCCCGTCTTATCAATCAGTCACACTCACTCGGCCTCTCGGCATCAGTCGGCGTTGCTGGCTTGTCACCATGACATATGCGACGATAACACTTCTCCGCTAGCTTGTGATACCGAATGCGAGTTCTGGAAGTGGGTTGCATCACTCTACCCTGATACTCCATCCAAACGATCGCCTGTTGACTCACCCCAGCACTAGCACTAGGATCTACGATCTGCGAGGCGGAAGAACCCCCGAACGCCGCCCCCCTGAATCTAGAACAGCTCCTGTTTTTACCACCACAACATAAAACCATGTCCACGTCTCAAAATGTCGGTGTGACGCTGCCAATTGACGACGCAAGGCATGTACCTGCCCTCTGCTCCCTCAGATTCACTGGTAAGGTATGATGGCGGACAATTCTATCTATCCAGTCGCAAGCTGGGTCAATGTCCTTCCCCACAGTTTTCAGTCGCGATGACGCGATCGGCGCCGAATCTGTGGCGCCCGGGGGCTTCGGAATGTTTTCTGGAACCCGTCGTCCCATGGTTGCTTCATGGCTAGCTATCCTGCTGTATCCGGCCTCTTGGGTGATTTTCCCCATCGATGGTGCAATACATTGTCCGTAACATCAGCCCGGCGTGGAGATGAGTCTTACTGCTCCCAGCACGTCTGCTGACAATTGGGTCGGAGAACCACGCTGCTCTGCCTCATGCCTATATATGAGCAACGACTCCTTGCCTCTATCTATATCCCATAATAAGTTCATTGCAATACTATCATCTTCATCTTGTGCATCTACTCTTGCTTTCATTCTCAGTTGCACTTCATCTAGAGAGTTCAGATTCTGTCCACCCTAGAACATGGCGCCCTCGTTGGTGGACCCTCTTCCCTCCCAGGATCTAAGATCCATCTCCATCTCCAAGAAGCAGGACATCGCCGGCAACAAATTCGGCTACCAGCCGGGCAGGACGACTGTGGAAAACCATGATAACTATGCATACGAGCATTTGTTACCCACATTTCCAAACCTTCATTGGGCACCATTAGAAGAGATTCCCCATGAGGACAGGGGGCTTCATGGTGACCCCGACTTCCGGAACCTTCTCCAGGACGCGACAGACGTCTTCGATTACACTCCGAAGATTGGCACGGAGGTTCATGGTGTCAATCTTGCCAAATTGACAGACGCCCAAAAGGATGATCTAGCCCGTTTGGTTGCTGTTCGTGGCGTGGTCTTCTTCCGTGATCAGGATGATCTAGACATTGACGCCCAGCGTAACCTGGGCAGGCATTTCGGCAAATTGCACAAGGTATGAAGCCAGTTTCCCTTGGTGTCTTGGAGCACATCGATCTAATCTTTACCATCAGCATGCCACCACAGCCGTTCCCAGGAAGGAAGGATTGGAGGATATTCATGTCGTCTATGCAGGTGACAATGCTGCCGACCAACGGGCAATGTTCACACCCAGCTTTCTGTGGCACTCAGACGTATGTGACATGCTTTCCTTCGCGTATCCAAGGCAGCCGTCTGACTGATAATAGGTGACCTATGAAGTTCAACCCCCTTCGTACACATCCCTCAAGGTTCTTACTGGCCCCCCTCGGGGAGGCGGTGGAGATACTCTCTGGACATCTCAATACGCAGCATACGATGCACTTTCATCTCATATGCAAACATATCTCAAGGGCTTGACAGCTCTTCACTCTGCCGAAATGCAGGCTTCCGACTCCAGAGCCCTTGGACGAACGGTTCGTCGTGAGCCTGTCACAACAGAGCATCCATTGATCAGGACCAATCCTGTCACCGGTTGGAACAGTCTCTTCTTTAACCCCGGCTTCGTGACGAAGATTGTCGGGATCCCCAAGACTGAAAGTGATGCTATCATCCGCTACCTCACCGAAGTGATCGCAACGACACAAGAGATGCATGCTCGCTTCCAATGGAACAAGAACGACGTGGCCATCTGGGACAACCGAACTACAGTAAGTAGCCGCTCCCCTGGTTTGGTAATTGTACCTGTTTGCTGAGGATACCGACAGAATCATTCAGCCTCCTATGGGTTCGCCCCTCACCGCCGCCATGCGGTCCGAGTCGCATCCCATGCTGAGCGCCCGGTGCTGGACCCAGCAGGAAAATCACAGGAGGAGGAGTACATTGCTCGTTACAACCTCCCTCCTGTCAACAAGGACGGATCCCGTCAGTCAAACTACAACGACTGAAGAAGGTTGTCATTTAAGGTGCTTTCGACTTACAATTAATGTGGAGCACTGGCGTTACTTCGTTTGCTGTTTTATTATTGTCAGCCAAAGACTGCAAGAGCGGGCTCTTTATGCAGACTTGGGAAGACCGGGGCCATTGCAATTCTAGCGACGTGATCATCAAGATCCAGCGAGTTTATCATGTCATTGAAGCCGGAGCGTTGCATGCGCTACTGTTATTTACTATGAGCGTTTGCGGGGCACGTGGCTAGGGACCACCTTCCTTCCTCAACCATCTACTGATACCAACCAATTCAATCATTACCATTGATTTCTTCTTGAAACTTCACCTTCATGGCCCATTACATAAACTCTTCAGTTTTACAGTATGCTCGGTTCCATGGGATAGCAACTAGCTATACAGACGTGGATCCCCTCGAGCATGTGCAAGAAAGCTGTGTCGCGGTACCCGATCTTCCCTCAAACTCTCTTTTCCAGTTCCGAGACCACATCAATAAAGTGCACACATCTTTTGAAGAGAGCCTGCATCATGAGAAGCTAGACCTCAACAGATCAAGCGCGCTCTTTCTTGCATCTGCTCTTCGAAGAATCGAACCAGCCGACATCGAAAGTCATTGGGAAAGTATCCTGCCGTCATGGGACCGTTACGACAAGCTGAAGGTGGAGACTCCGATCCTTACCAACGACGAGGAGAAAAGCCTGCCCCCTGGTGCGAGGCCTGTTTGCTACAGCCCTGGCGATTTGGACCTCAGTCCATTGGAGGACAAAATCAGCGATCACGATGTGATTTTGGCGAGAGGCTTGGCAAATGGGACAGACACTTCCGGCGAGAACATCCGAGAGGAGAAGCTTGATTGTGCGAAGGGTGCATTACTTCTGATACAGGAGGCTCGAAAGGGCTTTGATCTCCGCAATGAGGATCTCGAGGATCTACTGCGGACTGAATTGGGCTTAAAGAAGGCGGGTCTACATTTGTCGTCTTGCTCGAAATGGTCGCGTGCTGACTTCCATAGGTCCAAGCTTCAGAGTCACGTTCGGATTCCCCTGACCTTCTTCCTGCCAACGATGACCAGTTCTCCGACGAGGAGGAACCGTTCCCTACGGTTGACGGCACACAATCCAACTTTGGCGTATTTGCAGAAGATGAAGACGGAGGCTGGAAGAATCCATGGACCATTGGTGAGACAATCATCGACCCTACGCATAATCGGCTGGATAATACCCCATGCGTGCGAAAGAAATCTTTTCAACCAAACTGGCAGCATTTCAACACCTCGCCGCTGATTGCGGATGATATCGAACTAGCCGACTACGTGGTGACTCAATCCAAATCACTCGAGGAATCCTACGAACTCTCTGATCATACCGAGCAACATGGCTTTCCATCGCACTCTGCCAGTCAACTCTCGAAAAGCGACGCGAAGTCGAGTCATGGTATCTCTCAAGTGGCTTTTAGTGAGATAACTGATAATTTTGCTACATCTGACTGCATCCCTTACAACGAAGGGGTCTTTAACATCAATACTCCTCCAGCTAGCGACGCGATTTTTCGGGAGCTCAAAGTCCAGCCGCAGAAGACGCGTACAGGCTGCATTCGTATGACACAAGTGCAGTCGAACTCGTTGGAGCTAGATTCGACAACTGAAGAGCCATTCATGGCGACTGCGGTGAAAGGGGCTATCGCGTTGACGAACAGCCCTGAAGCTGTCTGTGCGAGGGAAAGAAGCGAGAATATGAGGACAGAGGTCAAAACATTGCTAGAAAGCTCACTGGAGAGCTCTGAGATACACAGTGGCCACATGCCCATCTGTGATGCCAAAACTTCTTCCGGCAACACATCGCTCCTCAAGAGCCCATGTCTACCCCAAAAACGAAGATCCAGTAATTGTAGAATGCCCTGGAAACGGAAAGTTCTACTTGAAAGCGCGGAGGAGTCATTCCCATGCAACGAAGGACGTGAAAGTCTGCATCTGCTTACTTCCTCGAACCTGGGCTCCTTGGCCTCGTTTATGCAGGTCAGAGGACTGGATACGAAGAATTCAGTGGCGCAAACTGTTGACTTCATCTCACCAGCTCTAGAAGCAAAGGCTGGAGAAAGAGTGTCAGCCATTCGACTGCCCGAGGAGAAGGCGTTCATTTCCTTGGATCTCGCTCAGCAAGTCCTTCTTACTCCTCACAATCTCTCCGGTGGTTTGAGATTGTCGCTGTCAACCCGGCTTCTCAGAAGTCACCCAGATGTCGTACGTCATTTCGAGCAGAGCGAGCTTGTTAGTTCAATAGATTATGTTGATCCACAAGACCACATCTCAGTCAATGCTTCGGGTACTGGACACTCCTTCCAACACGCCGACATAATCATAGCTTTCACGACGGCACTCATACTAACGAACCCCCAAGCCACCACGCAGCTGTTTTTACCAGGACATAAATCCAGCATAGCGGACAGTGCCGGCAACATCAACTCACCTCTTCGCGAAAAGGTTTTCCTGCTAGCAGGAAATTATGAGGTCGTGTATATTCTCATATGCCACGGCAGTAACCCAGCATACAACTCCACTAGTGGAGATCTCTTGCTACACAACAACATTTTGAAATCTCTGACATCTTTCATCGCTTTCTGTGACTCTCTTTTGAGCTTTTGTAGCGTTCAGTCATTGTTGATCCCAGCATGTCCTGATACTATTGTTAGGTGGATTTCTGCTATTGCAGGCAAATGCCAAGCTTGATGTCTTGCTTCGTGAGTAAGAGAATTTCCCTGTATCTAGATCGGCCTGTCTTGTCTATCTTTATATAATGCTTTTACCCTATCGGACCTCTAGTCACCGCGGTATTTACGAACGGAATGCTGAAACAGTGGTTACATTTGACAAAATGCTGTTCGGATGTGGGTCATATTGTCTTTTGGTCAGGCAAGTAGACAGCGTCCGAGATCCTGGCTGCCTTGGTCCGCTGTTCTCAAACCAGCTGCTATGATTCATTCATACAAGCATTTTCATAGTAGCTGATCCCTAATCAGTGCTTCATATATCCATCAGTGGCTCTGAATAGTAGGAGGTCAGCCAACTATAAGTTCCTCAGTGCCAAACTACGAATTACTGGACAAGAAAGTCCTATTAATGCACCGGGGCCAGGGCCTAGTACTCCAGATTGAAGTATGGCAGCTCAACCGTGCGCTGTCCACTTGAATCATGTATACGCAGCACCTGCATACGGCCCTGAGCAACAAAACCATCCGTATAATTAGCAAAGTACATATATACAGAAGCACAGTATGCCACCTCCCTTCCACTCCCCTGAAACGCCGAGCGTAGATTCTAATCGGCCTGCATGCGTGACACAAGCCAAAGCAACTGGCAAGAAGCAACAGACAAACCAGGAAGATGCGGTCACACCACACCAAACCTTGTTTCCACCCCCCACATCCACATTCCTTCATAGATATCGACTCTCCGAGAAGAGGTCCCTGTAATGCATGCGTATGGCTACAGCCCCGTACTGTCAAAATAGGACCTCACGCCCGGAGGCTCCCCAGGATAGTCGGCATGGCGCCGATGTCCGCCGTCGCCCCTGGATATCGATTCCGCACCGACCAAAAAAGGATTATTCGGTCCGCTGTCGGCTCCGAATCGAGCGAGCAGCACGCTGTCATGCGGGAGCGTCGAGGATCCGGTCGTTGGGCGCGTGCTGGAGCCACCACCTGCTCCACCGCCGCCTCCACTTCCACTTCCTCCAACTAGCCGGGCTCGGTGCTGGATCCTCGTCGTCTCGCCTGTAGGGTTCAGAGTTAGGATTCTCGTTCATGAGAGAAATGGAAATTCGCACGAACGTACGATGTCTCGGATCCCCGAGTAACCGCCCCTGCCGCGGCGGAGGAGGCATAGCCACCGCATCCACTGTCTGTTTCTGCTTCTGCTTCTGCGTCGCTGCCCCCTTCGAGCTCCCCGTTCCGCTGCGCTGGTGGCGATGCAGCTGCTCCACGCCTTCGCGGTCGACCGGGTACCGATGCAACGGTGTCTGCGGGGGCACGGAGGATCCCAGTGCCGTGTGCGTGTGCATGTGCATTGGGAGACCCGCTGCACCTGCTGCTGCTGCACCTGCTGCAGCACCAGAAGCTGTAGCAGCAAACGACGACGGAGGCGGCACGTTATTCTGGTGAGAAGGGGCGAGCGAGTTCAACGTCTGATGGACCGAGTCGGTCGCCGCGGTCTGCATCTGCGACTTCATGGCGCGCGATTTCAGCAGGTTGTACAGGTTGGTGATCTGCGTGAAGCGGGTGCATTTCTCGCCGTACAGGTCGACGAGCTCTTGGTTCTTTTTGCGGAGTTGATCCTGCGTGGTTTGCATATCTGCGTGATGCGGGAGGGTGTGTTGGTATCTGGGTTTGAAGCGTGCAGAAGAGCTGGGAGGGGGGGAAATCGAATTATACTTGAGGGGAAGCGCACCTGATATTCGTGCTTGTAAGGCGGAGATCTCCGAGTTGGCGTTGTGGATGACCTTGTCCATCTGGCTGTTGAGATTGGCGTATTTCTCGGTGAGGGCCTTTCCGAGGAATTCTTGGTAGAAGCTGCGAGAGGGGGCTGTTAGTGAAGGAGTCTCGAGGACGGTTCTATATGCTTTATATGCCGGGGAAGGACGATGCGCACATTTCCTGGGTGGTCTGGTACGTCCAGAACAGCAGGGCCCGGCCGGCGCATTCCATGATCGTGTTCGGGTCCAGTCCGCTTAGCACGCTCGTCTTGTAGTCTTCGGATGGGTTGAGGATGGTGGCGACCGCATCGTCTGGATTGACGAGGATGGTTTGGCACGCTGGGCAGCGACGGTCGACTGAAGTTTGATGTGAAAGTCCTAGATTGCTGGCACATTGGAGACAGAAGATGTGTCTTCGGAAGGATTAGTGGCCGAGGTTATGCAAAGTTGAAGCTGCTGTTGAACTGGACTTACGAGCAGGTCGTGACGACTGCTCTCTCTTTCAGCTGGGCTCGACACTTGAGGGAATTGCATCGAAGGTAGAAATCCATTGTTGATAGTGAGCTAATCCCCTGGTTGTGTAGATTGACGAAGGGTGAGAGTGGTTGTATGAAGCTGCGCGAAAGCTAGATCAGGAAAGCATACGGAGGCATTCGAAGGTCTCAAAATGGTAAATATCTCAACTTCGACTATATACTGCCAAAGGGTTTATACGGGTATCTTAGCATGCATAACACTTCTCGCTCTCTAGCACATCCCCTATAAGTCTACTCTTCCCTGCACCAGCGCTCTAAAAGAAGAACGTATTTCCGGACGCATCGCGCCTTGTCGTGCGCATTTTTTCCTCAAACTCCGGTCCAGGTTCATATTCCCGCCACAGGCTCGCAGGGAAAATGTGCTTGTTGCGCTCATACCAGCGTCTATCGACCACCTTGGTTAGGGTGGGATCCTTATCAGCTCCTTCCAGCTGGTCGCTATTCGGCTTTGAGAGAGGATCGTCGGTTCGTGAAGCCGCCGGCGGCTTGTTAGAATAATCGAACAACAGGCCACCGGCGCTTGTGTAGCTGGGGACGCTGTTGGCGATAAAATAGTATAGTTCGTAGTGCTACATCGATCAGCCAATGCTCCATACCAACTCAGGTTATGTTTAAATACTCACATGTGGCACAATGACCTCGCCCTTGACCAGCATCAAGTCATCGACACTAATTCTAGCCCATTCGCGCCGGTTGTCTCTGCGCACTTTGGATGCTTGGCTGTTACCACTGACGCCGAGCTCGGCTCCGACCTTCCGGCATCTGTCGAGAAACAGCCACACGGGGTCGCCCTTCTTGACTTTGACCGTCCCAGCGGGAATATTCGTTCCATCGTAGAAGATAAAGGGAATCAATATCTCGGTGTTCTTCACGGCCTCCTGCATGGCCAGGAACTCCCGACGGAGAGCATCGCGCGCCTCTGCCTCGGCTTTCAAGGCCGCTTTTGTCATCGCCTTCGGTGGTGGAGGGGCATTGGGGTTGGGTGTGATGCGCCGTGATGGTGGCGCAGAGCCATCGTCGACTGGAGTCCTCGAGGCGGACCGCGGAACACTGGAATCGCGTGGGGTACCGGCAGCGCTGTCGACCTCTTCCTCTTCCTCCTCGTCATTGTGGAATGAGAGCTTGCTCTTCACGAGCGGCTTCTTCTTTTTCTTCTTGGGAGGACCGTCGCTTCGGGGAGTCGAGTTGCTAGTGCTTTGCGATCAGCATCGTGGGGCATCAATGGACTACTGTCAAGCCTTGACTTACCCGTCAGTTATGTCGCCCGTAGAAGGAGTGGCACTTCTAGAAATACCGGCTGCGCTTCTCCCAAGCGATTTATCATGGGCTTCTCGTTCTTTCTGCTCGAGGACCTCTGCCCGGCGTTTGCGAAAATCGGAGAGATGCACCAGACCAACCGTCTGCGACTTGAGTAAGTCTTCGGCAGAGACGGTCTGGCTTGTGAAGGATCTCGGAGTCGAGCTATGACTGGGCTGTTCGGAGTTCGACATTGTGTCGGGGAGTTTTTGGAGGTCTATCTCGAATCGAGTGTAAGTGGCTTGTCGTTCTTCCTCACATGCAAACGACTGACGTACCGGCACGTGATTGGGAGAGTTTCCGGATTGGGGTGGTCGAATTGATGCCTGTAAGCCAACAAAATGTCAATGGCACGGTAAGAGAAGACCTCGACCAAGCCAACAAGCTTTCCAATAGCTTCTTTTCTTTGACCTCCGAATCACTTGACCAGGGACAATTCTTTCATTGACGTTGCAGGTTGGAAGCTCGTCGCGAGCAAACAAAGCCCGAGCAAACAGGCCAAACCCGCCGCCCGTGCGATCTCCGCAGGATCGCCGTAAACAGGATCGCATTTCCGCTACGCCTCGTTACATCCGTTCACTCCATACCCCCTGCAGCTCTTCAAGATGATGGACGACGAAGACGATGACTTCTACGATCCCGCCGATACCGTGCCGGCTCCTCAACACCAAAATGGTGCCCAGAATCCTCCTGCAGATAACTATGGAGAGGAATATGAGGAAGAAGAGATAGAAGTGGATGAAGATGATGTATGGTTACGATACCAAGTGCAGCTTTATTTTGGCCGTCTAACTCAAGCTCTAGGATGACTTCAACATCATTACTGAAGCGCCCGCCGATGCGCCACCTCCAGAAGCGTGAGTCGAGCTCTGTGATTCTCTCCTGCAGCTTGTCTAACCCTCAAACAGCCCACATCCTCGCCATGCCAATCTACGCGCAGAATCACAACGCCCCTCGTCCGCAGAGTCTCCTCCTGCTCCGAAACCCTCCACCCCCACCCTCACTACTCCCAAAGCTGAATCCGCCACGCCCGTACCAGCCAGCGCAAGACCCGCTGTACCGGCTGCACCGCAAAGGCCGGGCTCGTCGTATCCTCCAGTCCAAGTGTCCACAATCGACGTTCATGCCAACCCCGTCCACCCGACGACGGGCAAACCCATTTTACTGACCGACATGGACGCGGACTTTCCGGAAGACGACAAGCCATGGCGGCGACCGGGGTCCGATATCACGGACTATTTCAACTACGGGTTTGATGAGTTCACGTGGGCCAGTTACGTGTTGAAACAGCAGGAGCTGCGCAAGGATATCGGGGACCAGAAGAGACAATTGGACGATATGCAAGCTTTCCTGGGGATGGGTATGCCGCCGATGGCCGGTGGTCCACCCGGGCCAGGCGTTCCTCCAAGCAGCGCGGCCCCTCCGATGCCTGGTATGCCCGGTATGCCGGACATGTCGCCGGAGATGATGCAGGGAATCCTCACGAGCATGATGGCGCAAGGCCTGGATCCCGCCTCGATGGACCCCATGACGTTCATGCAACATGCCCAGGCGCTCATGGGCGGGCAATCCGGCCCAGGCGGCGGACAGCAGGGTCAACCTGGATTTGGGGGGCAAGGTGGTGGTCAACAGCAGATGGGTTACGGAGGAGGTTTCGGAGGAGGTGGCCGTGGACGGGGAAGAAGATGGTAGTTGGAGTTAGGGGGTTTTTCCTCAAAGTATCAGTCACCTTGTTATGATAACGGCTTTGTAGGGGTGGCATTTTGGATGGTAGGATGGAGTTTTAGAAAATTCCCAGGGTATATGCAATCCATTAATTAAGCAGAACCGAGAAGGTTTGGCAGCTCCGGAGTCGGTCTGGCCGGCTCGGGAAAGGGAACGAGCGGGTAATGATGTGCCAGACTGGAGATGCTGGGGTAGTTGTATGAGTAGGTCTATCGGGTGGCCGTCCACGCGAGACAGTATACAGTGGTCTGTCTTCCAATGTTCAATGGAATGCCCTCTCGGAGTGGCCGAAAAACAAAGAAATGCTCATAGGAAAGGTCGTGGTGGTGAAGCCCTCGGCAGAACGCAAAAGAGGATGGAAGCTTGTTGGTCTTGGCATTCTGGAAATTTCTCGCGACTCCAGATCAGATCTTCGTTTCCCCGGCCGGCCGCTTCCTCTTCTTCTTCTTTTGCTCTCCACGCCTTGACTCACTTTCATCCTTAATCACTCCTCTTTGATTTGCTCGCTGCCTCCTGTGCTCAGCACCCTCAATCACATCACCATTACAATGGTATGTTATCTCCCTCCGTCTTTGGTGCCTGGAGCTCCGATTGAACTTTTCCGCCTGTTTCCACCGGATCGCCGATTCCTCTGATCATCATCACCACCATCGACCTTGAACTCTTGAACCTGTCACTAATCCGTCCTTTCTGTGCACAGTCTTTCCTCCGCAACGTCAAGAACCTTGCCCCTCTCCTGGACCGCGTCCTGGTCCAGCGTGTCAAGCCCGAGGCTAAGACCGCCTCCGGTATTTTCCTCCCCGAGAGCAGCGTCAAGGAGCAGAACGAGGCCAAGGTCCTCGCCGTTGGCCCCGGTGCCGTCGACCGCAATGGCCAGCGCATCCCCATGGGCGTCGCTGTCGGCGACCGTGTCCTCATCCCCCAGGTACGTTTCGGACATCGCCCGGTCCGTCGGAAGGAGCATTGGGTTTCTGGCAGCTCCAACGCTTTTTCGGACATGGCTAACATTCTGCTGTGTAGTTCGGTGGTAGCCCCATCAAGGTTGGAGAGGAGGAATACACCCTCTACCGCGACTCCGAGTACGTACATTCCTTCATTCATTGATTGCTGTCGATCTGGATTCTAACCCGTATCAATCACAGGATCCTCGCCAAGATCAACGAGTAAATTGAACTAGCCAAATAATGTTCAACGTCTTGTTGTCTTCTGTTTTTCCGGATGTTCGAAGCCGCCTATAACGTGTATTATACCTCCCTTTTTCCGCAAAATCATGAGCCTCGGCCATTCAGAGCTCTCTTCCTAAACTCCCACCATTAAAAAAGGCCCGATACGAGCTGTGGAGAGGGGGCTTTGGACCCTCTCTTGATCGTTGGTGTTGTGGTTCTATCAACTGTTCTGCTGCGCATTTATTGCCGAAAGCGTGAAATGACTTTTTTTGCATACTACACGATGTACTTTTGTCGCTTGTCAACTACTTCACTCTCGTCGTGTCTGGAGCTGTTTGCCGCGGTGAGAGTATGTAATACGATATGATAATCTCCTCTCTTCTGATGACCTCTGCGGGTTTTGTTTTCTTGAGGTGTCGTAGCTCCTAGCATCAGACCCATTAGTCCGGGCACTAGATCAATCACTCGCCACGCGCCTCGAAAGCAGGTATCGCGTTAGCCTTCCATGAGATGCTACACCATACCTGTAGAGGAATGCATATCATACACAAGTCGCACGTTCCCCATCAAGGTCTCGCATGTCCAGAGACCAACAGCTACTCTCCTGTGTGAAACTCAGCCGATGATGTAGGAACCCGGTTCAGCAGTAAGGACTTGACGAACATGACAATTATTCATCACCTCCTGTCCAGATCCACAGAAACGAGTCTCAACAGCGCGGTCGTGTGACAGCAACGCTGGAACATATGTCATCGACCAATAGACCATGATGTATTGCGAGGATGAAGTCGTCAGCACTGGAGGTCACGAGGAAGGACTCGGTGGTATAACTCCTTACGTATCAGTCCGGACTAGCTTGGGTCACTTAGCTAGAGCAGATAAGCCAGTTTTTTAAATCTGAGATGACGCTGTCAATTTTCAGGTGGCTGCTCCCGTTTGGTTGTCGCGGCTGATGGAAGGATGGGTAAGTTAATCGATTCTATATAATCGAGTTAGGAAACGGGTGAAGTATAGTAGTGTCACTATGAGTCTGTTTTGCTCGGAGAAAGTATGATTCATTCCTAAGGTTGATGGCAATTTCGTATCTTGAACCCAGATATTCAGATGAGCGTTGGGTTTGGAAAGGTAAGAGAAGGGGTAGTATGGTTGTTGGTTGTTTATATACTGCTCAATTAGGACAGCCTGGGGAAAGATATATACATATACGGGTGCGTTTACTTTACTGTACATTAACAACAGTATCGTCTCTGACATAACCTGCCATGTGAAGTGATGGTCAAGAAAGGATACATCTATATTTGATCTATAGAACATAGAAAGGAAAGAAAGCAGCATCAGCTTCACATCTTCCTCCTGCTTTCATCAACCGTGATAACCGAAACACAGACGAGAATCATGTAAGCCACCTTTCCAAACCCAACCCAACCCTCTACCCGACAATGTTAGTAACCAATTCCCACGAGCATCCATGCTACAGTGCCCAAACACCCTCTCCTTCATATATACATACCGCCAACATCGAATGCAAACCAAACAAAACCTCCCTCCTGCCCTCCCTGCCCTTACCCAGCAGAGACAAAATCTCCCAAGTTCCAAGTTCCATCCATCCGCCTCCCGCCTCGGACGTACGGAACCTCCTCCCTCGTTTCCCACACACCCACCAACCCCTGTCCGAAAATCTTTTTCCCACCCCCTTTATCGTAATCTTTATCTTGATCTTGATCTCTGCAGAACAGATCTCTAGACCATGTGGATCTGGGAACCGACGCCTTCCCTTCGGATCTTATCTTCGTAGCTGTAACGAAAGGGGGGTGTAGTTTATTTTGACGTCGGTTTGGAGCGTTACATACGGCGTTTGTATTGAGTTACCATACACCATACCAGACACAGACACAGACACAGACACAGGCACAGGGTATTGAATGCCTTCCCATACTATACTATACTTTTTTTTTTTTTTTCCCTGAGTTGAGTTTGTTGGTTTGTAAGGGTAGCTGTGCATTTTGTATGCACATCCTGTACAGCACACACATGCGTTGCTGCGCTGCGCTGCGCTGCACATGTGTCTAATGTGTTCTTTGTGTACATGTAAGTTGCTGTTACTGTGTAGATTGTGCACACCGCATGTAGGGGGAACTGCTTTGCGCGATTGCTGGAATGATGGCTACATGTACAACACATATTGCAGCTGCGTCTCTTTTGGCACCGGGCAGGTTTTTTCCTGTCTACTTGGTGGAGTGTGGGCGTCGCCTGGAGGGGCGGACAAGTCATCCTTGCATGCGCTGCTGCATGGTTTTTCTTTGTTCTTTGGCACCTGTCTCCCCCTAGTCAATACGGGGATGGGCTCTAATCGCGGTACGAGCCGAAACCTCTCAACAAATCTAGGATATCTTTACAGACCGAACAACAGATCGTATCGTTGTATTCACGACTATCACAAGTCTAAGCAGTGTTTCAACTCCAGAACGGATCAAGTCCCGTCTTTCCCTTGCACTTGAATTCAAAGCAAAGCCGGGGAATCCATGTGTGTGTGTGTGTGTGCCGTCAAGAAAAGAAAAAAAAAATGAGTAAAATAACAGAATGACGTAAAACAACCGTATCATGCCATGCATTCAGAAAATAGAATCTCATAGGAAGATTAAATTAAAAAATAGAAAGGGGAATCAGCAGAAAAGACCCTCCTTTTGCTCTTACGCGGAACCAAACTCCTTGATGTCGGTCTGCTTGCCGAGAAGGGCAAGGGGCACGATACCACTGACGTGCATCTCGGGACCGTAGACGTGCATGTTGAGACCAAGCTCCTCACCAACGGCCTTGATGTTCTTGAGACCCTCCTGGTAGTTGGGACCGGCACGACGAACCCAGATCTGGACCTTGTGCTCGTTGAGGACGGGGGCGACCTCGCGGAGAGCGCGGATGACACCCTTGAAGGTCGAGGCAACGTTGGTGAAGTTGGCAATACCACCACCGATGAAGAGAACCTTGCCCTCGGGGTGGGTGGGGGCACGCAGCATCAGGTCGAGGATGGTGCGGGCGTAGTTGAAGGTCTGAGTCTCGGTGGGGGCACCGGAGTACTCACCGTAGTTGGCGAGCTCGCTGACGAAGCCAGCAGAGGCAATGGCGTCGGCGTACACGACGGAGGCACCACCACCAGCAACCAGGGTCCAGACACGGCCGTTGGCGTTGAGGACGGTCAGCTTGAGGGAGGCACCGGTCTTGGCGTCCATCTCGGAGATGAACTTCTCCTCCTTGCTCAGCTCACGGCCGAAAGGAGCGGGGAACTCCATGGGAGGGCCAGCATCGACGTTGACCTTCTCGCTCTTGATGACGGGCATGCCCAGGTTGGCGGGGCTGCGGGCAATGGCCCACTTGGTACCGCACTCGAACTCAGCGGTCTGGTCGAGCTTGGCAGCCAGATCGAGGAAGTGGACTTCAGCGGAGGTGGCATCCGCGTTGGGGATGACAACCAGAGGGTTGATCTCAAGGTAGGTGAACTGGCAGTCAACGTAGACGGCGTAGAGGCGGGAGATGAAGTCAACCAGGACGTTGTGGACACCCTTGGGGACCTTGCTCAGGAGAGTAGCAGCGATCTCCTCGTTGGAGGGGTAGTTCTTGAGGTTGACGGGGATGAGGAGCTTCTCAGCCTTAGCATCCACATCACCGACATCGACACCACCCTCGTGAGTGAAGAGGATCCAGTCACCCTATAGTGAATTAGCATTCCTGCGCATAGTGGCAATCGGGTTACGATCTTCCTTACCTCACGCACGGAGTGGATGTTGATGTAGTACTCAGTCTCCTGGGGGTGAGGCACGAAGGGCTCAACCAGGAACTGACGGAGGTAGCCGGCCACGGTCTCGACCTGGATCTCCTTGCCAGCGCGAGCCTCAATCCACTCCCGAGCCTCAGCCCAGGTCTTGTTCAGGGCCAACAGGCCGCTCTTTCCACGTCTCTTGATCAATTGATCGGGCTTGGCCACGAACTTGGATCCGGGGGTCAACAACCAAGGGTAGAGGACCTCAGCCTGGTCGAGAACGTCCTTGACGGACTCATCTTCGGGGAAGTAGAGGGAGGCGAGCTTGGGAGGGGGGTTGTGCGTGGAGGAAGAAGGGAGAGGAGTCGGCTTGATGACGGGGGCACGAGTGAGGTGGTAGTTGAGGATGGCCTTGCCATCAGCCTCGAGAATCGATTTGGCGGACATGATGATCGTAAGAGGTAGGAGAGGGAGGATAGAATTAAACTGAAGTAAGTGTAAGAGGCGGCGAATAACAACAACAATGGAGGATATAGAGGATGTATATGGGAAGTCAACCCCGGATTAAGAATATACCTGATAATTGAGAGAGCAGGAGGAAGAGTCAAGAGGAAGAGGAGGAAGAGAGGAAGACTAGAGATATTTTTCGTAGGTTGGTAGGAATTATTACCAGATGCGAGATGTCACTGGAAATAGATCGGAGGGAGGAGGGGTGGGTTGAGGAGAGAGTCGGAGGGGGAGGGGGGGATCCAAGTGGGCACAAGAGGAAGAGTAAAAAAGAGGTCGGAGGGGGAGAAAATGAGAAAAAAAGGAACCAAACGGAAGCTGAGACGGGCGCCGATTAGTCGACTCGGTGATGATACTGAGTATGCAGTGTCCGATGAAAGGAGCAGGTGGAATAATAAACGGGGTGGTGGGTAGGGAATTTTTTCTGGGCTGGCGGCCGCCAGAGTAGGGATTGGGATGGATCAGTGCATGGAATGATCGTCTCAAACGGACTTCCCTCTGGTTTCCTCTGGTTTTCCTGGAGCCAAAATGACCAAAACGCAGTGATACCAGACGCTATTGTGGCCGATACCAGGAATACCAGGGGAGTTTGTGGGAGTTGTTGAGATGCAGTGGAGCCTCCGTAAGAAAAAGCGGGCCGGGCGAAGACCCAGCCTGTCATCCAGACTCATCCTGGATTGGCGGGCGTTGGGGATCCTCGGGAGGGTCAATCCAGAGTCTGAGTATTTTAGTTCCGCAGTATCTGCCCTACGCTGTAGCCTCAATACCACGCCCCCTAGAACTATGCAAAAGAATTTGTTGGGTACGTGGTCAATTTGTTGGCCATGGTCTCGTACGAAACCGGAAGCAGTTGCAGCAGAGTGGCCAGATGATGTTCCCAGAATTGGCAGAGAGCATAGAACTATACGGCGTAGAGAGACTGAGAATTCCACATTATACTCTGTACTGTCAATCAAAATATTGACATGCTGTACGATGATGTAATCACTTTCCCTGGGTGCTCACGGCCACGCTTCTTTTTCCCCAGTTTCTTCAAGTCCGTCGCCGCGGTCGGTACCTGAGGCTGCCACTGGCTCTGATAAGATAAGGAAAGACTGCCGACTACGATGGAAATGAGGGGCAGAGCCGACAATACAAAACAGCAACCAACAACAATAACAAACGATCGACCCCATCGGACTCAACGGTGCACTGTACATACCATCCCGAGGACTCCGTTAGTTACTACTAACGGCCAAGTAGGCAGCTCCTCTTGCGATCAGATTCCAGATTCAATCTCTATCCTCCAATCCTTTACTTCCAGCTCATACCGCTTGCTCAATCTTTCGGTGAGGGGAGACAAAGACAAACGCAATGATCCCGGCCAACTTACAGGCCTCGTGCATAGTCTACGTATCGGACCAGACCATCCATGTCCCTGGCCTCCAGTTTGCGGATCCCGGGCTCCACTCCGCTCTAACCCCAACCAGCTCAATGCTATGACCTGAAATGAACAAAATGAACGAAATGAACCAAGGGAGTTTCGGAAGACGGAATGGGTATCGGTCGATTTCTTGATGGCAGTGCACTGTCGAGACAATCCGATGTTCCAATCATCGACTTTGGCGAGTTTCGCTTCGAACCCGCGGGATAGAAGATTCACGAGTACTTCAGATACTGACCGGACACTCCGTACTTTGTTGCTGTCGCTGACGGGATTACTGCGGAAAGTCGAATTCCTGATGAAGGCACGGTTGATACGAGTAAAGAGGGAAGAGGGATTCACCTGATGCCATAAACTCCGTACTCCGTTCCTATTGTAGAGGACTCCGAGGATGACAGGAGTCTCTGTCGCATTCCAACCCCGGTAGTCAATGATAACACAATGATAACAGAGTCGCGTTCACGAAGTATTCCGGATCGGTCGAGCACCTATTCAAGTAGTGGGTGATTCTATCGCTGCGCAACTCGGGTTTCCCCAACTGAACGGCGGCGGCTGTTTGAGCCAGAAAGAGCCAGAGTTGACGGAGTGACGGTTCGAGCCGGTTTCCAATACGGAACGTTACCAACTTTCCACCCCATTCATACCACCAGCGGTATGGTAAGTAATGGAGTTACAACCCATACGCCCCATAATTCTTTACTCTTTCTTCTCTTCCCCCCCCCCATCAAGCTCCCGATATCGTCCCCCTCCTCTACGCTTTTATTTTTTGATTTTAATTTTTTTTAGAATCTTGCTTTTTTTTTTTTTTGTTTTTCACCCATCATCCGCCTCTTCCCCATCAGTCCATTCATCTGTCTCGCCGATTCTCGTTTCTCCATCTCCTTGATTGCATTACTCTCTTCCTGTTCCCTTCCCTTTTGTTCCCCTCCTCATCCTCCTCCTCCGTCAGGTCGCGACATTCGGTGTGACTTCTCTTCCTCCTACTCCTCCTTCCTCTATACCACTCATACCTACATATTAATATCCCTTCCCCTTCTTTAATTCTATTTCCCCATCAGTCCAAGCTCTGTTGACAGGTAAGCATCTCCCCTCCGTTGTCTTCAATGCCGTCTATTCGACTTCCCTCGACCTGGTTCCATCTCACCCACCATGCTATGACACGGTGCTGACATGATATTCGAATTCGCAGAGTATCAGCCATCATGCCTAACGGTGCTCCTTTGATCAACACTGCCAACGGCGCCTCCGCCAACGACAACATCACCCGCTTCGACCCCCCCAGCCGTGTGCTTTCTCCCCTCAACCACACCCTCTTCCACAACAAGACGAGATGTTTCGTATAGTAAGTTCCACTCGGTGGCTCCCCAACCGTGGCTCGTCATTGACAATGGCAACAGTGGTATGCAGCCCCGGGCTGTCCAGGGTATGCTGGACTTCGACTTCATCTGCAAGCGCAGCACTCCCTCCGTCGCCGGTATCATCTACACTTTCGGTGGCCAGTTCGTCAGCAAGATGTACTGGGGTACCAGCGAGACTCTCCTCCCCGTCTACCAGGATGTTTCCAAGGCCATGGCCAAGCACCCCGACGTTGACACCGTCGTCAACTTCGCTTCTTCCCGTTCCGTCTACAGCTCTACCATGGAGCTCATGGAGTGCCCCCAGATCAAGAGCATTGCCATCATTGCTGAGGGTGTCCCCGAGAGAGTACGTTCGACCTGCTGAATTCGTATCAAATGAGCCATTGAGACTAACGGTGTGGCAGCGTGCTCGTGAGATTCTCGTCACTGCCAAGGAAAAGGGCATCACCATCATCGGCCCTGCTACCGTCGGTGGTATCAAGCCCGGTGCTTTCAAGATCGGTAACACTGGTGGTATGATGGACAACATTGTTGCCTCCAAGCTCTACCGCAAGGGTTCCGTCGGTTACGTCTCCAAGTCCGGTGGTATGTCCAACGAGTTGAACAACATCATCTCCCAGAACACCGACGGTGTCTACGAGGGTGTTGCCATCGGTGGTGACCGTTACCCCGGTACCACTTTCATCGACCACCTTCTCCGTTACCAGGCCGAGCCTGAGTGCAAGATCCTCGTCCTCCTGGGTGAGGTCGGTGGTGTTGAGGAGTACCGTGTCATCGAGGCCGTCAAGAACGGCACCATCACCAAGCCCATTGTCGCCTGGGCCATTGGTACCTGCGCCAGCATGTTCAAGACCGAGGTTCAGTTCGGCCACGCCGGTGCTTCCGCCAACTCCGACCTGGAGACCGCCGTCGCCAAGAACAAGGCCATGCGTGAGGCTGGCATCCACGTGCCCGAGACCTTCGAGGAGCTTCCCCAGATTCTTGCCCAGGTCTACAACGCGGAGGTCCAGAAGGGTGTCATTGTGCCCCAGAAGGAGCCCGTCCCCCCCAAGATCCCCATCGACTACTCCTGGGCTCAGGAGCTCGGTCTCATCCGTAAGCCCGCTGCTTTCATCTCCACCATCTCCGACGACCGTGGCCAGGAGCTGCTGTACGCTGGTATGCCCATCTCCGATGTCTTCAAGGAGGACATTGGTATCGGTGGTGTCATGTCCCTCCTTTGGTTCCGTCGCCGCCTGCCTGCCTACGCCAGCAAGTTCTTGGAGATGGTTCTCATGCTTACCGCTGATCACGGTCCTGCCGTCTCTGGTGCCATGAACACCATCATCACCACCCGTGCTGGTAAGGACCTGATCAGTGCCCTGGTCTCTGGTCTCCTGACCATTGGTTCCCGCTTCGGTGGTGCCCTGGACGGTGCTGCCGAGGAGTTCACCAAGGCCTTCGACAAGGGCATGAGCCCCCGTGACTTCGTCGACACCATGCGCAAGGAGAACAAGCTGAGTATGTGTCCCGTTGTTTCGTTCATGGGAGAGTTTTTTTTACTGATCTCGTTTAGTCCCCGGTATTGGTCACCGTATCAAGTCCCGCAACAACCCCGATCTCCGTGTCGAGCTGGTCAAGGAGTACGTCAAGAAGAACTTCCCTAGCACCAAGCTCCTCGACTACGCCCTTGCCGTCGAGAGCGTCACCACCTCCAAGAAGGACAACCTGATCCTCAACGTCGATGGCTGCATTGCTGTCTGCTTCGTTGATCTCATGCGCCACTGCGGTGCCTTCTCCCCCGAGGAGACTGAGGACTACATGAAGATGGGTGTCCTCAACGGTCTCTTCGTCCTTGGTCGCTCCATGGGTCTCATTGCCCACTACCTCGACCAGAAGAGACTGCGCACCGGTCTCTACCGCCACCCCTGGGACGACATCACCTACCTCCTCCCCGCCCTCCAGAAGGGTGGTTCCGAAGGCCGTGTTGAGGTCACCGTCTAATTTCCTACCATCCCCTTTTAATATACTTGCATTTCATGACCTAGTCATAAAATCCGTCCCAGCTGACGTCGGAGTTATGATGGCTTGTTTTTTTCTTTTCCTTTCCTGCATTGGCTTGGTTCACTTCATACCTCTTCTCTTCCAACTTACAATCTGTAGTGGCACGTGTGGCATGACTAGCTGATAAGGTTGATGAATTTTACGCGATGATTCAGACAAGGTGGCTTTTCATAGAATAATCAATCGTAAATCATGATTCTGAATGACCTTGAAGAAAGAACTTCACTTAATTTACATTCTTAAACATTGCCCAAATAGTTCCACAGCCCAATGCATCTCCGATCGTGGTTATCTTGGCGGGAAGAGAGGCCCGTCCGGCGCCCCACATCAATGGATGGCGGCCGAACATGCCCGGCAGAAAATCAATCCCATCACCGCCAACAGGTTTATCGTCGGTTCAGTCCAGAGCTCAACCATAGCTTGAGGTGTAGACGCGCAACAAACCTCGATACCACCAACCAAGCAAGGAGGTCTACTGTTCAAATCGAGCACAACACTCCGCGACCCCAGCTCCGTCCAATCCCAAGCTCAAACTCCCACTCCAACCTCTACAGTACCCCACCATCACTCCAACATCCATCGATCTACAGCACCACCGCGAAACCACCTCCCGGTACCACCAAAAGAAAATGGTCCGCATCAAACACCGCTACCTCCTCCTCGACATCCTCTACCCCGACCCGACCACCTGGCCCCGTAAGCCTGTCTCTGGATCATCCTCGTCATCGACCCCGCAACTGCAAATCCACGCGCCCACCTCCGACGCCCTGACCCCGAGCCTGCTGGCCAAATTGGTCCGCGAACAGGTCGCCGAGTTATTCGGTGATTGGGGCGTCGGTCGGCTGGGCGGCGCTGGTGCTGGTGGTGTTAGTGGTATGTCTTCCTTCTTTTCCTTTCGTTTACCCTATCTCCAGGATTTTGATGGTGTGCTGTTGTGGAAGGAGATCTGTTTTTTTTTCCCATTGTCTGTGGACAAGGATGAGGGAGTGGTTCGTTACAAGCTAACTCTTTTCCCTTCTGGGGTAGTCAAATACCTCTCCCCGGCTACATCCACCGCGATTATCCGGTGTCCCCGTGCGTCGTTCCGGTTGGTGTGGATGGCGTTGACGTGTTTGGAGGCCGTGCCTGATATGAATGGCGCGGGACGGAATGCGGTGTTGACGCGACGGTGCGTGGTGCGCGTTGTGCGGGTGTCCGGGACGATGCGGAAGGCCGAGGAGGAGGCGATTCGGCGGGCGAGGCGGGAGATTTTGAAAGTTCGTGGCGGTGTTGACGATGCTGGTGTTTTGGAGGGGTTGGTGGGGGGCTTTGCGGAGGGGGTTTCGGGAGGGAACGATGATGGTCTTGATGTTGATGTTATGGATGAGGATTTGAGTGATGACGGTTTGTGAGGGAGTGTGTGCTTTTCTGGGGACTGTACTTTGGCTTGCGGTTTTGATATATTAGAGATACCCTTATTATACAATGGATAGATATTCTTTTTTTGAAACAGAAACAAATGTCATGACTTTCGTATCACCTTCACCCCGCCGTTCGGTATCGAGCCTCGGCCCAGATCGCCGTATTCATCGTCGTCTTCGTTGTTGTACTCTCCATGATCTCCTGCCGCCTGCTCACGCGCTTTCGCCTCGGCCTCCAGTTGCTGGAGCTCGTGCTCGTCGTACTGCTCCTTGGCGTCCAGCCACCGCTCCTGTACGTCTCGCACATCCATCTGGCCCAGCCCCTCCCGCACTGCCACCTGCCAGACGGTGTCGTTGGCGCCCTCGGCGGGCCCGAAGACGTACCCGCTGGCGCGGTCGATGGCATGCAGCAGGTTCATCATGCTCTTCTTGTCCTCGACGGCGAGCGTCTCGAAGGCGACGAGCCCGAACTCCTCGACCAGGTCGACGATGGCCTGGTTGAGCGGGCCGAACTTCTCGTGCGCCAGGCGCGACGACTCGGCCTCCAGGTGCGGCAGGAGGTAGCTGAGGTCCTGCACCTCGGTGTAGTAGTCCAGGTTGAAGGGTAAGGGGGCGTAGTTGGCCAGGTTGTCGATCTTGGTGAGCACGTTCAGGTGCGGGAGGTCCATCTGCAGCATGGCGCGCAGCGAGAGGAGCAGGGCGGAGATGTACATCGAGGGGAGGGTGAGGTTGTAGGAGTCGATGAGGTGGATCACGATCATCTATTTATTGCGCCCATGTTAGTTCTTGGGGCAATTGATCCCGTCCGAATGGAAATGGCGCGCATACTCTATACCCCAGTTTCTGGATCTTAAAGAATATATTGCGTAGGGAGGAGTGGTGGGTGAAGATCTCGACTTGGCCGGGGCAGTCGAAGAGCACGTAGTCATCTTTTTAAAAGGATTACCAGTATCAGTACATTTGGGTCTATAGTAGGTTTGGCTTGGCTTGGTAGATCGGGATGGCGCGCATACCTCCGAGCTCCTTCAGCCCCTCCTCGAGGAAATCAAAGTTCTCCTCCAGCTCCTCCAGCGCGTACAGCACGCCCCCGTTCGGCCCTAGCTGGTCCTCGCTCATGATCTCCTCCAACGTCACCAGGTCGCGGACGTCCAGCGCGCACGGATACGAGGTCTGGTCGTTCGCGGGGTCCAGGTTCACGATCGAGCACTTGCGGCCGATGGCCCCGAGGAACTGCTGCATGCCGTTGCAGTAGGTCGACTTCCCTGCGCCCGGGGGCCCGATGACAAGCTGTGCGAACGGCATGATTGCTTTTCTCTCTGACAGCTTTCCCCCGGAAAAGAATGTCGATGACAATCGAAACTGCGATGATGCAAATGGCGGGGGAGAAGATTCCATGGAGGGCGGTCAGTGGCGACAGAAAACGGTTCTTGAAGGCCGCCCGCCCGGGCGACGGAGCTTCGATGACGCCGGGACCGATCAACAACGGTACGGTTTATTTTGTTCGAAAGCTTTATGAGATCCCTCCAGCCAAGGGAAATCTAAACATAGTATCATGGCATCTAGTCAGTTTGCATCTCTCTCAGCTGGGCTGGTCCTGGAACAGCTCGTGCTAACTAGCCTGCAGATCAATTCGTCGTCGCGTCCCCGCCTACGGACGCTATATCCGCGCTCAAGTTCTCGCCCAGCCCCGACTCCACGCGCATCGTTGTCTCGTCGTGGGACAAGAATGTCTACCTGTACGATCTCCGGGATGAGAATGGGGCGGTAGGGGAGGGCAAGTTGCTGCAGAAGTTCGAGCATCGCGCGCCCGTGCTGGATGTGTGCTTTGGCGCAACGGAGGATGAGTTCTACACGGCCGGGCTGGATTGGGATGTTCGGAAGTGAGTACGCCTTTGGATTGTGATTACAAGAGTGGTGGTGGCGGGGGTGCTACTCGCTGTCGCGGCTTCCATCTTGCCCAATTCAGCTACTGACAACCGACAGAATCGACGTCGCCTCCTCCACACAGACCGTCCTCAGCACGCACGAGGCCGGCGTCCGCAGCGTCGTCTACAGCAAGGACCACAACCTCGTAATATCGGCCTCGTGGGACTGCACGCTGCATGTGCACCTGACCAACGACCCCGCCACGCTCCCCGCCGTCATCCCGCTCCCCTCCAAGCCGTTCTCCATGTCGCTGACGGCCACGAAACTCGTCGTCGCCATGGCGTCGCGCGCGCTGCACATCTACGACCTGAAGGCGCTGGCCCTCCTCACCGCCCAGTCGGAGGGCACGGCGCCGGGCTCGCTGAACAAGGTGGAGGTCGAGCCCTGGCAGCGCCGCGAGAGCAGCCTGAAGTTCATGACCCGGTGCGTCGCGTGCATGCCCGACGACGCCGGCTACGCCTCCTCCAGCATCGAGGGCCGCGTCGCCGTCGAGTGGTTCGACCCCTCCGCCGAGTCCCAGGCCCGCAAGTACGCCTTCAAGTGCCACCGCCAGACCGCCGACGACGTCGACATCGTCTACCCCGTAAACACCCTCGCCTTCCACCCCGTCCACGGCACGTTCGCCTCCGGCGGCGGCGACGGCGTCGTCGCCCTGTGGGACGGCATGGCCAAGCGCAGAATCCGCCAGTACCAGAAGCTGCCGTCCAGTGTCGCGGCCGTGGACTTCAGTGCCAACGGCAAGTATCTCGCCATTGCCATCAGCCCGGGCTTCGAGGATGGCAAGGAGGACGTGGCCGAGGGCACGGTCAAGATCTTCGTGCGCGAGCTGGGCGAGACGGAGGCCAAGGGCAAGGGCGCTAAATAAACTAACTACCTTTCGCTCCAATCGCTCCAAACCTAAATCATGAAATCTATATCCTGTGATGACTGCACGCTGATTCGCAAACAACGACGTGTGTATGGGGTCGTACAATTACTGGAGACTAGTAGATAACGTAAAGTAGTCAACGATGCTAAATGTTCAAATGGTATCATTTTTATATCTTCTTCGAATCAATGGAGAAACACGTCATACATGGAGATTTACAGAGAGTCACATTCACGCGGCCGCCTTCCTGACGGAGACCGAACCGTCCGGCATACCGAAGTAGGCGGCAATGGGCTTCTGCCCGCCAACGCCGCCCAGGGCCCGGGCTTGCGGGCCCGTCAAGCCAGAGAAGATGCCGACGTCCAGGACACCGGGGATCTGCTTGATCGCTCGCGACAGGGCCTCGACCTCCCAGATGCCGTCCTTCCCGCTGCCGTCCTTTCCGGCCGCGACGTCGGACGACGTCAGCAGGATCGGGAAGGGGGCGTCGATGATGTAGAAAGCCTGGTCAGTCTTCAGGGGGCCTTGCTTGGGATCGGTGTTCAGCCGCAGCGCAGGCTGGATACTGCCGATCTCGCGGAGGGCCGTCAGCACGCGGGCGGCGGCGATCGGCGCGACTTCGATGGGGATGTACTTCCAATTGGAAAGAAGGCGCGATTGGAGTTTCCGGGAGTCTGCGTAACGGAACAAACGGAGTCAGTCACCCGAGCGTTCATCTATATCGATATTCCGAGGGAGAGAGAGAGTGAGAGAGATATGGAGGGGTACGCACCAGCAACGCAGATGAACTCCTTGGCCTGCAGCGCCACGATCTTCTCCTGGAAGAGACAGGCACCACCGCCCTTGATCAGGTTGAGATCGTCGTCCACCTCGTCGGCGCCGTCAAAGGCCACGTCCAGCACCGTGCCTTCCGGGAGGGAGTCGAAGTCGACGGCCGTCAGCCCGGCGGACAGGATCAGCTGCTTGGACTGGAAGCCCGTGGGCACGTATTTGGTCGCGGAGGTGTCGATGCCGGACTCCTTGATGGCCTCGACGACGTAGACGATGGTGGATCCGCTGCCGATGCCGACGAATCTGGCGTCCTTGGGGTAGTGGTTTTCCACGGCCGCTTTGCCGGCGGCGCGCTTTGCGGCCTCGATGACGCTGACGCTGGCCATGGTGGAGTTCCCGCGATGCGAAGACGCGAAAAGGACGGTTGAGATTGGAGGGGGCGGGGAGGGACGAGTGAGCAGTCGGCTAGAAGAGTAACAATGGTGACTGGGCAGCGCAGAAAGGAAAGAAGTCGACCGGGTCCTGCAATTCGTATTAATAGTCCGGGGCTAGACGGAGGAGGGGCCTAAAACTGCCAGATCGGGGGAGAGGAGGAAGAAAGAGGCTACTGCGGAATACGGACAGGACGGACCAGTGGTGCCCGCCGCCGGTGGGGTGGATGGACAGGCAGCATGTGGAAGAGTTGAGTGAGTTTCTAGGGATCTTTTTGGCTGCCAATTGAAGTGCCACTCACAGGATATTGTTGAAACAGCCACGAGGAATCAGCCCAGCCATAGCTCTAGACTGACACCGCCGAAGCCGATCTGCTTTGGTGGTGTTGAGTACAAAATTGCACCGTTGACTTACTATGTACTGTACTCGGTAAGCTAAGTATTGTTATGGTGAGTGACATTTTGGCCCGGCGGGGTTGCGTTTCGTCATAGTCGTTGTAGCCTCAGGCATCCATGCTAAGTACTCCTGCCTGATCCGTGCGTGCTTTATCACGTGTCAGCGCCGAACAAGTGCTCCATTCATTGCCATCAACTAGACACATCACACATCACCAGCTACAGCCAGACAACAGAGAACTTCGGTGTTGGATCTGTTGTCTCCCTTACACAGAGGCTTGGTTGATAAAGCTCGAGCCTCTCCCAATCTCTGCAATCCTCCAACTCAACTCAACATTTTGAGAGCAGATCGGATCCGCTTATCCGACGATAGCCCCTCATGACTGAAGCTTTCCCCGGTGCCTTGGTAGGACCATCATCCAAGGAGAGGAAGTACGACCGGCAACTGCGGCTGTGGGCTGCAAGCGGTCAACAAGCGCTCGAGGAAGCACGGGTACTGCTAGTCAACTCCGATGGCCCATGGGGTAAACAGAGCACCGGCGTCTCCGGGGTAGTCGGAGTGGAGACCCTCAAGAACCTCGTGCTTCCTGGCATTGGTGGCTTTACCATCGTAGACCCTGCGGTGGTAACGGAGCCTGACCTTGGGGTCAACTTCTTCCTCGAGGAAAATAGTCTTGGGAAGTCTCGAGCCCAGGAGACTTGTCGCTTGCTGAAAGAACTGAACCCCGACGTAGAAGGAAACTTTGAATCCAAGGTATAGTGAACCTGTAAGAAGTATCCTAATCTTTCATGGCCCCAACGCTAACAACGATCAACCGCAGCCAGTCACCGAGCTTCTGCAAGACCCCGAATTTCTACCACAATTCAAACTGGTACTGGTCTCGGGTCCGGCCAACAAGTCGACCCTGATCACTCTCAGCAGTGCTGCCAAAGCTCTTGGCATTCCTGTCCTGTATACGCGCTCAGTGGGTTTCTACTCCACCTTTTCTCTCCAGCTTCCAGCTGTTTTCCCCATAGTAGAGACACATCCGGACCCCGAAAGCACGCAGGACCTTCGGTTGCTCAACCCTTGGCCTGAATTGGCAGCTACTCTGGCTAGCATTAGCAACTTGGAGGTTCTGGACGACCACCAACATGGCCATGTTCCTTACATCTTACTCTTGCTTCACTATCTGGAAAAGTGGAAGGAGACCCACGACGGAAACGTCCCCTCCAACTACAGAGAGAAAACCGCATTCAGAGAACTAGTGCGGTCTGGTGCACGAACGGCGAACCCTGAAGGTGGTGAGGAGAATTATGACGAGGCCGTGGCTGCAGTTCTGAAGTCACTGAACCCTTTCACTTTGCGGAGCTCAGTCCGCGAGATCTTCGAGATGGACGAGTGCCACAATCCGACCTCAAATTCGGCGGATTTCTGGCTCATCGCATCAGCGATCAGGGAATTCTACACGAAACACAACGTACTCCCGCTGCCAGGCTCGTTGCCTGACATGAAAGCACAGTCAGCCGACTACGTGTCGCTGCAGAACATTTACAAGTCTAAGGCCCGGAAGGATATGGAAGAGGTTGTTGAGGTCGTCCGGAGGCTTGAAGCAGAACTCAGTCCCCGACCTGCGCAAATTGCGGACAAAGATATAGAAGTCTTTTGTAAGAATGCGGCTCATATCAAGGTCATCCATGGTCGTGACCTCCCTCAATTGGACGGTGAGAAGCACTCTGTGAAAGCCATTAATAATGCTCTGGGGGACCCTGAGTCACTGGTCTCGGCTTTCCTCGGCTTCGATGTTCTTGATAGTATAATCACCGATATACAGAGTGGCAAGCAAACTGAGGCAGCGTTGGATTCCGCCCTCGCGTGGGAGGCAGGAGTGGATCGGGTGATCCAGTCCCTTACGTCGGAGGCCTCTGCAGCCATCGACGAGAAGACCAAAGAGCGAATCATTCAGACAACTCAAGAGCTTCGGCGAACGCAAGGCGGAGACCTGCACAATGTGTCTGCTCTCACAGGAGGGCTAGTCGCGCAGGAGGCCCTCAAGGTCATAACAAGGCAGTATGTCCCCTTGGACAACACCTGTGTATTTGATGGGATTAAAAGCCGCAGCGAGATGTATAGACTTTGAATACCCCTTGTCAAACCCTTGACAAGAGTCAATGCTATGGAATGAGACCACGAATAGTCTTTTATCCTGTCATTTTCGAGCGCGGCCGCGCGTATAAGATGTCAAGAGCATAAGCAAGCGAGCCGGCCAAGTCAGCCAAGTCAACGGCCAAGGCCAGCTCACTTCAACATGTCGATTCCGTAGTGGTGGAAGGAGGCGGATGAATCCTGATTATTATACTCCACACATTCCTCCAAGACTCCAGGCACAAAGGCCGAGCCTCGCGGATTCTCGCCATCATATTCTCAACTCTCCCCCTTGCAGACACTCCTTGATTGATCAACATGAGTCCTGTATCTCCTGACATGCACTTTAGATTCTCTTTTTCCTCCGTCTGTTTCACTCTCGCTCTTTTTCTCCGTCTAGGTGGACACTCAGGACGATAAAAAAAAGGAAACGGATGCTGTTACGTCATTCAATTGAAGGAGATTCTGAATAGATGTTTGCCTCAAATAGTGAACCAACATTATCAAAATGGTGCGGGATCTGTGTGGTTTGTGGTCAAATCAGGGGCAACAGCAACCGCCCAGATTTCTCAAGTGGAGGACATCAGATGCGTTCATCTGCTTCGTGGTTTGCTTCGCGGTCTTCACGGTACAAGACCTCATTTACCCATGGGAAGCTTTTCTGATATGTTGCTAACGATTGGTCGTTTGACAGGATGTCTTCATGTATGGGTTGGTACGCTTGAACTCTGGGGCATTAGTGGCGGAATATCCCCGACAGCTTATATTGACCTTCCTCGCAGATTGTGCCCGTTGCCCCAACGGCCCTCCGTGATAGAGTTGGGATGTCCGATGCTGATGGTAAATCCCTTCATGCTTCTCGCTGAATCGCTTAAGCTCACCGTACCTCAGTTCAATCATGGCAATCGACCTTGCTGTCTCTCTACGGAGTATCGTTATTAGCCGCTTCACGTGGGTTTCTCCGGTCCTTGAGCAATTATGCGGTGCGTACTGACCGATTCTGCCCTAGCCATCTGTGGGTACCTCGCCGATAAATTCCAGTCACGATGGTGGCCGTTTATCGGAGGCCTGGTGGTTCTCGCAGCCGCCACTGCTCTCCTCTGCGTCGGGACGAACCTTGCATTGTGGATTGTGGGGCGTCTCTTTCAAGGAGCCTCGGCGGCGGTTGTGTGGACTGTTGGGATCGCGCTGCTCGTTGATACGGTCGGGAAGGAATTTCTGGGTCAAGCCTTGGGATATCTGGGAATGGCGACGACCATAGGAACAATGACCGGCCCGCTGCTGGGAGGAGTGGTCTACGGTGCAGGGGGCTACTATGCTGTTTTCGGGATGTCGTTTGGCATCATCGCCTTGGATGTCATCTTTCGACTCGCCATGATCGAGAGGAAGGACGCAATCAAGTGGCTGCAGGCCGATGGCCGACCGATTGTCCCGGCAGAAAAGCAAGGAAGTGGCAGCGACTTGGAAACTGCTGTTTCACCCGCAGCCTCGGAGGGCCCGAAAACTCCCCAGCATGGCTGCCACGAGCAGGAGCGCTCCTCCTCCTCCGCCTCGGCCGATGATAGATCTACCAAGAAACGACCCAGCACCATGTATACACTGCTGACCTCGGGCCGCATGATGACAAGCATGTGGGCGTATTTTATCCTCTCCCTCGCCCTGACTTCCTTCGACAGCGTGCTACCGCTCTTTGTCGAGCAGAAGTTTGGCTGGGGTCAAACCGGCCAAGGGCTTGTCTTCATCGCGATCTCCGTCCCCCAGATCCTCGACCCCGTGGTGGGGTATATCATCGACAACTACGGCCATACGCGACGGTACATGACGACGGCGGGGTTCCTCGCGGCCGTGCCGGCCTTGGCCTGCCTTCGCTTTGTGACCGAGAACACGGTCGGCCACAAAGTGCTCCTATGTGCGCTGCTTGTCCTGATCGGGCTCTGCTTCTGTCTGATCATGTCCCCGGTTCTGGTGGAGGCGACCTACTACGTGCAGGACCGGGAGGCGGAGACGCCGGGGATCTTTGGCGAGGGAGGAGCCATCGCGTTTGCGTACGGGGTGATGAACATGGCGTACGCGGTGGGAACGATCATCGGGCCTTTTTTCGCGGGCTTCATCAAGAATGATGCCGGTTGGAGCACGATGAGTTGGGCGTTGGCGTTGATGTCCGGTGTGACCGGCATTCCTACCTATATATGCCTGCGGCGCCCTGCGGGAGACGGGGCTTCTTCCAAAGCCGGATCGCCCTGATCCAATGGGCAGCAACTGTGGTGTCATGCGGTGGTGCGAGATTGGACTTCTTGGGTGGTGTTTTTGGAGTTGATGCCTTTTATGACTATATACGAATCAGCTAGATTGGCATGACTAAACTTGAAATAATGATACTTCTCACCGTGAGGATAAGATCGGCAGATAAGTGCTGACGTTGGTGGTGTAGGTACTGCTCTTATTGCCTGTGATTTGAGGAAGTGCAGTGCGTAAGTTGTAGGAGTCGTCAGAAGTTACAGACCGTCTACTGCAGTAAGATTTCCGGACCTCCGTCCTTGCCAGCCGAGGGAACGAGGGTGCCCCAGGCTGCGGTGGATCTCCCCGCAAACCGGACCCACCACTTCCCACTGCACCACCGGCACAATCTACACATCGGGATTCCATTGCATTGCCATCAGCCGGACTCGAGGGAGACAAGGTAGGTACTAAGGTACCAGACACTACAGCAACAGAATGACCGGTACATAAAGTTCCCTGCTGGTGGCTAGTCCAGCTAGTCTCCCTCTTCCCTCCTCCATCTCTTCCACTCTACTGATTTCCCAAGTCTCCAATCACCATGGCACCCCCCCAGATCCACCACGCCAGCCTCCGAGCCACTTTCACAGGCATTCAACGAGAAATCGACGGCGTCCCCATCCACGAGTTCCGCGGGATCAAGTATGCTGACATACCGGCGCGGTTCGAGCAAGCCCAGCCGCTGGAGAGCTTCGATGGCGCTGCCGTTGACGCTACGCGATACGGGTACGTTACTATTATCTCCCTCACCCTTCCTTAATGTCTATACTTGTCTCCGGGCCCAACTAAGCAAGAGCGATCTCAGACCGAGATGTCCGCAAGCTGATGTCGACATCCGACATCTCCTCCGCATCCCCGAGGATTTTGTGATTGAGAAAGAACCCGAGGATGAGTTTGAATGCCTGAACTTGAACATCACCGGCCCACCCTTGGCTGCGTCCAGGGGACCGCTTCCGGTGCTGCTGTGGATCTATGGTCGGTGCCTTTGACTACATAGAGGGGTTGCTCATGTGGCTTGGGAGTGATTACTGATTGTGACGCGGTTCTACAGGCGGGTCACAAGCTGTGACGTTTTGTTCTGCTGCGTCGAAGATTTGCGGTACGCTTGTTTGGTGACTGGACCCCAGCCGGGAATGTGATCTGACTACGTGGGAGACTCTAGATCCGATCAAGATTGTGGGTGATTCGATTAGAGGAAATCAGCCTGTTGTCTTCGTGTCGTTCAACTATCGGCTGAATATTTTCGGGTTCGGTGATGGGACGGAGAAGAATCTGGCACTCAAGGACCAGAAGTTAGCCATCGAATGGGTGCGGAGCAATATTGCTGCCTTTGGGGGTGATCCGGTAGGTGACTGGGAGGTCTGTTTACATGAGAAGGGTTTGTGGTTGATTGTCTCATGTTCCAGGAAAACATTACGCTCGCCGGGGAGAGTGCTGGCGCGGTCTACGTGCACGCTCATCTTCTCACTGGCACGCCGGTGAAACGAGCGGTTCTCGCATCCGGCTCCATCTATCTCTCCAGTCCTCTGCCTTTGGAGAAAGGACAGGGCCTGATTGCGACATTGGAAGCCAAAGTCAAAGACCTGGGCCAGCCTTCTCTCCGTCACGCTTCGGTGGCGACCATCGTTCAGGCTATAGAGGAGTGTAAGATGAACTCTTTTTGGCTCCAAGAAGACGAGAGCTTCGACGGTTGGGAGGCGAAGCCCGAGCTGGTGGAGGAAGTCATGATTGGAGATGCAGAATACGAGGTGAGCGCTATAACTCCGGTATTGAGTTTCGACTGACCGCAACATAGTCGGTCATCTGGAGGAACGGCATTGAGACGCTCGATGGGCCAACCATCGCTGCTGCTTTTGAGCAAGATCCCGCATGGGGACATAAGCTGCGCAAACTGTACCAGGTCGTGGCCGATCGTCCGACAGCTTGTAAATTGGGCGCTCTTGATCTACTCCACGACACGCGTTACTCCCTACCGGTGGAGGTCGTCTCTGACAAGCTCCAAGCGGCAGGCAAACGGGTCTACAAGTATGTCGTCGACCAGGTCAACCCTTGGCAGGCCTCTAGCCGAGCGCACCATGCCGTGGACCTTCTGTTCTTGTTTGGGGGCGTTGATCTATCGTCTAACCGCGCCGCTGAAACAGTTGGTCGGGAGATGAGGGAGCGGTGGGTACGCTTTACAAATGGCCGACAGCCATGGTCAGAGGCACGACGCTTCGCCTTTGGACCGCTTGGAGAATGTCAGGAGATCAACGAGGAGCAATTCGCTGCCCGACGACGGGTGGAGCATTACCAGGTGCTGCGAGAGGCAGGCATGGGGGTGTACATGCCCGTTGTGTTTGGAGTGTCGGCCGGGAAGATTAGTCTCATGAATTGATGGTGTAGGGCATCAGTCTATACTCAGTAGGAGAAAATGAGGAAATGAGGAGGAGATGGAGGCGAGCCCGGCAATTCTGAGCTGTTTGGGGATCCGAGAGGGTGTTTTCCCCCACTGTTACTCAGATCTTACTCATGTGGGGTCACTCCACAAATGATCCCCAGCTTCCCTTCCACCTCCTCCTCTTCGGCAACAATCCTCCCTCGCGACATGCCGAACTCGACCTCTTGCCTGCTTGTGGCCTGACAACCTCCTTATCCTCGCGCTCAGGTCAGCCAGCCACCCTGTCAACATCACTCTCTGGTTTCCGGGATAGCCGGTGGTCTCAATAATTCGTTCGTTGTTCATTGATCCCGGTTGACCCCACAAATTGAAGTATATCAGGATGGCTCGACGCCGGGGTTCCATGCCTGACAATTGGGCATTCGGTCTTTCAAGTCCATAGCAACAATTGATCTCGTTCTCTCTCTGTGATTCAACTCCTCAAAATCAATATGACTTCCACAAGCGACCTATCAGACCCCCAAGAGTACCAGAAGATCTTCCACTGGGCAGAGACGCAAAAGGACGGCACTATCCCGTCGTTCAATACGCGGCGGAATGATCCTTACGATGTATGTTACTTCTCTTGCAACATCTAGCTATGCTAGCACAATGCTAATCCATCCATAGTACCAATCCGGGTTTGGCAACTCGTACGTTCAACTGTTGTCCTCCATCAGCGATTCAACAAGCTGATGTAGCATAGATTCGTCTCAGAGGCTGTCCCTGGCACCATTCCACAGGGTCAGAACAGTCCCCGCAATGTCCGATTCGGTCTGTATGCGGAGCAGATCACGGCCAGCGCCTTCATCGCCCCCCGACACTGCAACAAGAAGGCCTGGCTGTATCGTGCTCGACCGGCCGTGGCACACCAGGGATTCGTAAGTCGAGCGAGAGAGGGCTTTCTGTCTCGACAGATCAGACCACAGACTAACGCGCACGTCAGACCAATCTCCCCGACAACAAAGACACAGAGGCGAACTTCCTTCCTATGAACCCCCGCGTCCACGTGTCGCCCACCCAACTGGCCTGGTTCCCCTTCGACATTCCTAGCGGCGAGCAAGTGGACTTCGTCGACGGACTCAAGACTGTGGCCGGCTCGGGCGAGCCCACCCTCCGCGAAGGGCTGGCCACGCACGTCTACACGGCGAATGCCAACATGACCAAGAAGGCCTTTGTCAACTCCGACGGGGAGATGGTGATCCTGCCCCAGCAGGGGGCACTGGACATCCAGACCGAGTTCGGGCCTTTGTTCGTGCAGCCCGGGGAGCTGGTGGTCATCCAGCGGGGCATCCGGTTCCGGGTGGAGTTGCCCGATGGGCCGTCGCGGGGATACATCCTCGAGATCTGGGGCAGTCAGTTCGAGCTGCCTGAACTGGGCCCGCTGGGTGCGAATGGTCTGGCCAACGCGCGGGACTTCCTCGTGCCCACCGCCAAATACGAAATCGCGCAGGAACCGTGGGAGATCGTGTACAAGCTCGGCGGGAAGTTCTTCAAGAGCACGCAGAACCACAGTCCGTTCGACGTCGTCGCCTGGCATGGTAACTATGTACGCTTGTCCCCTCCTCGGAACGGTGTAAAGGCACTGACAAAGACAGGTTCCATACAAATACGACCTGACCAAGTTCGTCAATGTCGGCTCCATCTCCGTCGACCACATCGACCCTTCTATCTTCTGTGTCCTGACGGCCAAATCGCGCGACCTGACCGCTCCCTTGGCGGATGTGCTTATCTTCTCCCCGCGCTGGGATGTCGCTTCACGTAGGCCCCCGACCACTGTCTCCTCGTTACCATTTGATCCTAACAGAGTTGGGCAGACACCTACCGCCCGCCGTACTACCACCGCAACGCCGCCTCGGAACTTATGGGCCTCCTGTACGGCGACTACGGCGGCCGCTCCGACGCCTTCCAACCGGGCAGCGTCTCATTCGAATGCGGGAGTAAGTCCTGTCCCTACTTTCCTTTCCCTCCCTATCCTCTTTTTCCTTCCCCACCTAAATATCCGAAAACTAATAAGAATGAAGTGGTCCCCCACGGCGTCGCCTACGAGGAATTCCAGTCCGCCACCGCTACCGCGCCCCCGGCGATGCAGATCTCCCAGGCCTCCATGGCCTTCATGTTCGAGTCGAGCCGCCCCTTCACGATCACGGAGTACGCTTGGACGAGCGAAAAGCGGCACGAGCACGAGCCGAAGATGTGGGATGACCTGGTCGATCATTTCTCCGAGCATACGGCGGAGGTCGAGGCGTTGTTGGCTGCTGCCGCCAAAGGGGGCAGAGTTTGATTATCCATTACCTGATTTGAGGGGGGGGGGGTGATAGTCTTGAGGTAGAGGACTTGTATATAGTTATTGGGTGGGTGAGTGAGTATTCGGGTTGGTTGGTGTCAGTGTTCGTGTTAGCGACAATCTCAAGTTCTATTATATGACCTATGGCTTGTGTAGGGTGAGTTGGGTTGAGGTAATGCGGTCTGATGACGTGTATTCCCTGCCTCAGATGGACAGACATATATAGCTCAGCGGTATGGGTGAGATGGAACCGCTGAGACATAACACAAGCAGTGGTTTCATATCAAATAGAATCTGCGAAGGTACTGTCCAGCACTGCCTAATGCAACGGCCATATATACAACAGACTCATCCAACCCCCCAGTCTCCAGCGATGAATGGAACCTCCGCGCTGGTTCGGGGTGCTGCTGCTGCTGCTGCTGCTTCCTGGTTTGTGGGATGCTGGAAGGGTCAAGATAGATGGAGCCCAGAAGTACAGAGTAGGTTTGGTCATGGAGAATGACGCTATCCACTATACTGCACTGTGCCTGTGCCTGGAGCAGTAGATAAAGGGACCAAGGGGTATGGATGGCGGTAAGCTGACCACTAACCCAACAGGCGGTTGCCACTATGCCTTGCAGAACTATGATTTCTACTAGTATTTACTTCGAAGCTACAAAATTGGGATCATAGAAAGTCATGCAAGTCCAGCAGCTAGAATATAGCAGCTCTTCTGTCCTGGATATCATTTCCCCGCCAAACGACAGGACACTTGATGTCATAACTCTGGACCTCGGAAACGTCCTTCCATGGGTCTCTGTCTCTAGGGGCAGAAAAAGACACACTTCGGATGAATTCAGACTTAGGCCACAGGCAGAGCTAACTGCTAGACCTTCTTCCGACCACCAGCGTCGTCTTCTGAAAGGGCATGGCAGCGATGACCAGCAGCCCCGCCAACGCAACCGCCAAGTAGAAGGTCGAGTGCACGGCGAAATCATACGAGAGGGCGACGGCGGCGACGTCCTGCGCGGGGATCTTGCCCTGCAGGTCGGTGGCGCCCAGATGGATCACGCGTTGCGGGTCGAGATCTGGGGCCGTGGCCTGCAGGGAGCCCGTGAGGCGGGCCAGGGAGACCGCCTGCGCGATGCTGATGAAGTCGGCCTCGCCCAGATCCTGCGGGAAGGTCATCAGGGCCATGCCGGCGGAGAGGTCGCTGAGGCCCAGCATCGCCTGTGCCGCAATGAACGGGATGGACACGCTGCTGCCCGACCCGATCCCTAGCAGAATCAACGACGAAATCCACACCCCCTTGGGCGTGGTCGGCGAGAAGCGCGTCATCATGGCCACCCCGCCCACCACCAGCAGGCCCGCCGGGATCATGACCGGGGTGTAGATCCCTGTCAATCACCAAGGGGAGGGTGTAAATGCCTGACTGCAGGGCTGTGGCTCCCCGGACCGTCTGGAACCATATCGCAAGCTATAATATCCACAGCCGCGAGCGTGCTCCCGTTAGTTTGAAATCCCTAGCCGTGGCAGAGTAGAAGGGGCACCTTACGTAGTATTGCACGATCGCGCGACACGCCGAGAGCGAGAGACTGGAGAGGGCCCCCGCGAGGATGACGCGTTGCTTGAGGATCCGTGGAGGCAGCATGGCGCTGTCCTGCTTCCAGTGCTGGATGAAGCAGAAGACCGCGAAGACGATGGGTGCGAGCAGGAAAAGCGTGATGATCTGCGCGCTATTCCAGCTGTACGTCTCTCCGCCCCTTTGCAAGGCTAGGAGGAGGCAGTGTACGGTGGGGTCAAAAGGAAACCTCCTAGGAGGTCGAGTTCGCGGAGGCGCTCAATCTGCGATTTTCGATTGCCCGAGGGCATCTGGAGGAGTTTGAGTAGCAGGAGCATGGTGGCCCGTGCAGCCGCGGTTGGGAGGTTGATGTAGAAACACCATCGCCAGGAGAGGGCGGAGGTCAACGCGCCCCCGATGATGGGCGCCGTGGGCCATTGCGGTGTACTCGCTGGCACTGATTACGCCGAGGTAGGCGGCTCGTTTCTGGAGCGGGGTGGACATGGCGACGATGCTGAGAGATAATTCCGGTGCCGTTAGTGCCTTCGCGCTTACTTCGGAGGCAGTCTGATCTCAAGAGGCAGACTCACACCATACACCCCTGGCTGATGCCCGAGAAGCCGAGCCCGGTGATGGCTCGTCCGACGATGAAGACCAGCGAGCTGGACGCAACCCCAGACACCAGAATCCCGGCCTCAAAGATGACCATATTCACAAGGAACACCCATTTGATTGCGCAGTTGTCGTAGAGCTTCCCCTGGGAGATCTGGGACATGCACGAGGTGAGCCGGAAGGCAGCATCGTACCAGCACGTCGTCCACTGAGCCGAATTCATCGGTGATGCTGGGGATGGCCGTGGTCAGTATCGTTGCATCCTAGCAAGAAGACCAGACTTGGCTCAGGGTTGACGGGGCTGCAGACGTACCAATCCAACCAGAAACACACAGAGGCAGAGCGATATGCAGATCAGAAGCAATTGCAGGCCCTGCGCGTAGTTGGGCGTCTCCTCTAATTGCTGGGTTGAGGGATCCTCGGAGCGGACAAGACCGTATCGACGCTAGCCTCCGATGCAGCATGCATTATCTGGGAACCTGATAAGACTAGTCCAGTGGCAAGCTTTTTTGTTCTGAGATCATCGTTCCTGTTTCTCACTGGCACCGTCTCGGACGCTAGGAAGCGCAGTGGCAGGGATTATCACACTTTTAGCAGGGCTCGATCACCACCCGGCCTGATTAGACGCGAACTACTGACCGTCAGTGGGAACTGAATCAACGGACGAGCAGCACAGAGCGTCATTTCAACTTGTTAGTTCCGAGCAAGAGCTGAGGTGGCTTCTAGCCTGAGCTCAGCCTTCTGCTTACTCCTCCCGCAGATCAGACATCTGACGGTCCGGAGGAGGAAAGATAAACTGTTCTTAGCGATTGAGCTTAACATTGTTGCCTTGGGAGAATCATCTCCTTGTGTCAGATCGCAATCCTTGGAATGGAAGCTCCTTCATTGGTGTCGAGATGCCATCCTACCTTACCACAACCTGAATCGAGACCTGCTGTAGACTGGGGGAACGCAAAGTTCTTTGCAAGAAACATTGTCCCTCTCATCCAAGTACACCTCCACTCCCTCCCCCTGGGAATGACGAACTCCAGGAACCTCGTAGGATATCAGTCTCTCCTCCCAGCTGACTGAAAGCTGCCTTTTTCATTCAAAGCCTAGACACATGGCCAACGAAACCGTCCTTGGTCGGGTGGCACTCATTCCTCTGTAGCAGGGTCTTCCACAGAGAAAGTCATCATGCATCACCGACGGACGTCGATAAATGCAGTGCTATGATGGACGCCTAAGCCAGAACATGAGAATTTGTGGTGGGGGGATGCGATAGGCAGCCTCTGACGAAAGGACTTTATTCCGGCACCGGGAGCTGTGTTGTGCGCTGGGTGCCGACGGAGATGCATGGAACTTGGCAAGAGGGAAGCGAGGAAAGTCTGAGTCGATTCCGTGTTATGCGATGTGTTGAGTTCAACTTGGACGAGGTGTTGTAAATTAGGTAGACTGGGTGAGGCAATGGAGTCGGATGATGCGTGGTGCTGTTGGTTAGTAACTGCATCGTGCCGGGCAAGCAGGCGGAACTTGATCTTGCAGCGAAACATGTAGTAAGGACTGCACCGTGAGCAAGAGACGCTGGCTGGCAGCATCGTCAAGGCAACCTGCCTTCTCGAAAAGGGATTCGTCTATTCGGACTCTACTGTCACCAGCCCATGATAACTCTCCAGCAATGGCTTATCTGTGTAGCTGGTCTACAAGCCGATGACTACACCAACTCACACATTGTATTGATCCCAATCGAAAGATTAGAGACTCAGCAACACCAACACCAACACCAACACCAACAGCAGCAGAAACCGACTTCGACACGGTCTTTTATTTTCATGAATTTGGTATCAACACGGGCCAGAAAATACGGACATACAATTACTTTGAACGGCGTAGACAGACCGCGGGCCCCTGCTGTTGTATCCCTTGGGTTTCGAAATATCCTCACCGGAGTCCTCTCGAAGGAAGTCGACGAAAGAAAAACCTCAACTTTGCCAGCGGGGATGTGGAAAGGAACATGTCTATCACAACGAAGAAACTGATCACAGGAAGTAATCCGGGGTGCGCCTCGAGACCATGGGCTCTCCTGCGCGCGGGCAGGGATCGAATTGTAAGCTAGAACGGCAGTGTTAGCGAGGTCAACTTCGAGCAGGTACGGAAATCCGACGGTACATACAACGTATACTTGAGGTGCTCATCAATCTCCATGATTGCGGCCTGGTTGCCGCAACGGTAGCAGTAATTAGGAGCTGCGAAAGGAACTAAAGTTAGCCGCGTCATCCAAGCCGATATCCCAGTTGGAAAGTACCTGAGAAAATCGTGACCACGTTTCTATCCTGCGACCAGTTGTAACCCTCCATTACCAGCTGGTGCGCCCGTGCAACCAGAGTCAAGCCGTTGTTGTGATTGAACGCCTCCGAGATGTCCTGTCCAAATGTGTAACCCGCACCACGGGGAGAGATTCCCCAGCCGCATCGGTCGTCGGGGTCACTCCACAGCAGATCGCACATGGGACCTTCGTGCGGCACCTCCTGGATGCGGTCCAGGGAGCGGATATTGTCGAGCGTGTCGATCGACGGACTCAGACCGCCGTGCAGGCAGAAAATCTGGTTCTCGATAAGTGCGGTGAGGGGGAGATAGTCGAAAAGGTCCGTGAAGTATTTCCACACGTTGGCGTTGCCGTATTTGCGCAGGCACTCGTCGTAGAACCCGTAGACTTGTGTGATCTGGCGAGACTCGTGGTTTCCGCGCAGGATGGTGATACGCTGCGGGTAGCGGATCTTCAAGCAAACAAGGAGTGTGACGGTCTCGACGGAGTAGTAACCACGGTCGACGTAGTCACCTACACGGGGAGGTCGGACACGCGCGTTAGTCGGACGGGCAGACACACACACGCACACAAAGAATGAGGTATCGCCGCATGCTTCCACTTACCCATGAAGAGGTAGTTCGTGTCGGGGTTGGGACCACCGATGCGGAAAAGCTCCATCAGATCGTGGAACTGGCCGTGGATATCACCGCACACAGTCACTGGGCATTTCTGCGGAGAGGCAGTTTTCCGGTCAGCCCGATCGGTCGCGACAGCTGAACTCTCATAGGTGGACGGGGCCAGCCAGAAGAGTCGTCATGAACATAATCAAAGGACACATACCACGGGCTGAACGTTGGACTCGTCTTGCAGTACCTCTCGCGCCTATATGGGGGAAAAAAACAAAAACCATGATTAGGAGCTGGTCGACAGCAGCGAGTTATCCAATCGACAGAAAGACACACCCGATCACATAGTCTCCGAACATCTTCCTCTGCCAGTTGCTTGCAGGTCATCAAGCTCTCGATCCATCCGTCGAGGGTGGGTATGGAACCCGGGTCGGTCGTCGGGGAGAGGTGGTGAGGTTCGGGCGACCGCGCGGTATCGATTTCCATATTGTTATCCATTGGGAAGACCACCGAGGGGAGTTGCAGGTGGTAGGGAGCGAGATTCGGGCGAGAGCAGGCGGCGAAGGACGTGGGGGTGTGAAGGGGGAAAGGTCTCGTGAGGTGAGGTAAGGCGGGATTCTTTTCTTTGGGGGTGGACGAGAGGGGGGAAGCAAGACGCCCGGGGCGAAACGAGACCTAATTTGGGGCAACAGGAGGGGGGAGGGAGAGGAGGAGAAAAGCGACAAAAAAGGCTGTCGCTGGAATAACTAGGCGATAGCAATAAGGATGAATGGGGATTTGAAGTTGAAGAGTTGAGTGGGATGGGGAAGACTGGTGGTGGGGAGGGGGAAAGGGAGCTGGCTAGAAGGAGGTGGAGAGGTGTGAGATGGTTTAGCAGGTTAGCAATCTGCCAGGGTGGACGGGCATCAGAGCAGGAGCAGAGCAGAGCAGCAGAGCAGCAGAGCAGCAGTTTAGCAGTTTAGCAGTTCAATAGTCGACTAGTCAGTCATATCTGCAGTGCCCGCCGCCCGTGCGTGCGCCACACCGCCCACCGTCCAGCCCACCTTTCTGCCCCAGGAATTTTCCCTTCCTGCGCCACACCTGGGATTCTCTCGGTTGTGGTGTGGCACGGGCGGAGAATCAAATTACAATACGCAGTCTCCCATACCGACCTTTACAGCACTGACGAAAACGAAACAATCATCCTACAGACAGTCACAGCAACGCAAATACAGTGGCCGTCTTGCACATTTCATCAATCATCAATTGCACGAGTTAAAGATTAAGTAAACGATAGCATTCATTCATTTCCATAATGGCCAGTCATTCCCGTGGAGCATTTTCGTCATTAAGTCATACTACATGTGGACAACGTCTTTCCCCCTCCCCTCCTCTCCCCTCCAATAATTTTGGGCCGAAGTGTGGTTTAGATGATGTCACCGCCGCCAAACCCGCCAAACCCGCCGAATCCTCCTCCGCGTCCGCCGAAGGATGGTCCCCGCCCCCCTTGTCCAAACGGTGCGCCATCCCCGGGTCCAACAGGATCATATCGTGCTCCTGGAGGAGCTTGAGGATCGTAGCCTCCTCTTCCTCCTCCACCTCGCCGTCCGGCAAAGAGGGGATCATCGAAGGTCGGATGCATCCCACCCCCGCCGCCTCCCACAAGCCCCGGGCCAACGCCACCATAAATCGGATCATGGGGACCCAGACCTGCTGGATAGAGATCCCGATCGCCGATGCTCAGTGGGTTCCGACCGCCCATTCCTTGGTATCCTCGAGGAGGTCTCTGGATCTCGAACTCATCCTCGAAGCCCGGTGGAGGGAAGTCTCCGGCTGGGATCGGCCGGCGAGGAGGTACGGCTAGAGGGTCGTCGAACGGATAAGGGCGAGCAGGTTGGGGGAGGGAATCGTCCCGGAGAGGGTCGTGTCGCGGTGGCCGCTCCTGTTGCACCTCCCGCAACTGGCGGCCAGTATCCTCGTATCCTTCCTTGTATAGCCCCGGGGCGAGTTTCTGGATGACATTGATTTTGAATAGGTTGATCAGATCTCGGACCCGCGGGGGCGAGATGAAGGTTTCTCTGAGGGCGCTGGGGAGATCGGCAGCGGAGGACAAGGGGAGCGCGGATTCGGAGATGTAGTCTTGGATGGGGAGGTCGAACGAAGTCGTCTTGTCGTCACGCAGGGCCAGCGCTAGCACCACGGCCTTGTTGCCCAGTCGGCTGACCTTGAGCAGATATTGCATGGAGGACTGGGAGTGAGCGTAGCGAAAGGCGAAGCTGGTGCTCGCGTTCCAGTCGGCTGGTAGACGCGGGCTGTCGGTCGAGCTTTCTGTAGATGCCCTTGAGATTAGTAAATAATGCTTGTGAAAGAAACGGCGCAGGTATCACGTACCAAGATTGTGGTCCTCGCCCAGTCCGACGAGTCGAAAGCCTACGGCTGTCATGCAGGCATGGCCGATCACAGCGACAGCCTCGTAGGGGGTTTTCAGGCTGGGCGACGCGCCGTCGTCCTGACGGATGGCCGTCGCAGCAAGCTCCAAAACATCATTCGGATCCAAAGCATCTGCCATAATAGTGTATTCTGAAATTGTGGGTCGGTTCAGATATGAGAAGATGGGGTAAGTAGAGTTAGAGTGACGGTGGCGTAAAATGTCCGTCCGTGGGAGATGTTCTTATCGGCTGGAATGAGCTTACATTACGACGCCTATCGCTGCCTGGCCGACCGCATTGGGTTTAGTCACTTGGAGCTGAGCTTTTAGACGGCACAATGGACTGGAACCGCGCGGGGCGCATAAATCATAGCTGAGTTCAAAGGTGGTTTCTTTCCTTTTTAAAGTGTATAATCCAGGAATACAGGTTCTTGATCATGGTTGTCATCGGGCCTTATCCCATTCGTGCTTTCCGTGTTACATATATACCTACCTTATCCCACTGCGCAGCGGCACCCGCTACTACCAGCTGGGCTTGTACAGTATAGCACACAATTGAATGCGACAACCTGAACCTACTCAACCCTGACCTCAACCGGCGTATCCCCCTGCCTCCTCCAATCCCCCATACGAAAAGCCTGCAAAGCATTCAACCTCTCCACCACGCCCCTCACCCTGTCCAACCCACTCAAATCCGTCCGATACGCCACCGCCATCTCAACAGCCGGCACCAAACAAACGTCCGCCAAAGTCACCTCATCCCCAACGGAGTACATGCTATCCGCACCGTACCGCTCTAATAACCGCTCATACGCCGTCAACCCGGCGACATTAACCTCCTGCACAAAGGCCAGCTGGTCCTGCACCTCGTCGCGGATCTGCCGCACGCGGCGCGCGATCCGCCCGTTCGAGAGCGGCTGGATGTCGTTGGTGATGAGGTTAACGAGCTCACGGACCCGGGCGCGCTGGAGCGGTGCATGGACGGGCGGCAGGAGCGGCGTGCGGTTCGGGTGCGCTTCTTCCAGGTATTCGAGGATGGCCACGGATTGCGTGAGGATCGTCTCGGTGCCCGTCGTCGCGTCGGTGATGACCAGCACGGGCAGGCTGCGGCTGGGGTTGAGGGCGGCGAAGGCGGCGGTTTCGTGCTCCGCCGCGCGGAGGTCGATGTAGTGGTGCGCGAAGGGGATGGATTTGTGGTGTAGCGCGATTACGACGCGGTTGGCGCAGGTGGATTGGTAGTAGGTGTAGAGGGTGTAGGTTGTTTCGGTGGGGAGAAGGGGAGACATTGTAGAGGGTGGTGGGGATGGTGTATATGATAAGTGAGAGGTATGTAATGCTGAGTTGAGTGTTGGACAAGGTCGACGGGGAAGGTAGGTGGAAGTTGTAATGGGAGGTCGACTCTGATTTGTAGTGTCTGCGATCTCAGGGGCCTCATCATCGTTGAGCAGCTTGTCTCAGTTGAGATGGAACTGATAAGCACTAGGCTGTGATCCTGGTCCTTGCTAATCTCAAGCATTTTAGTGTCAGGTAGAATGGTAGTCATTTGATATGGTTGTTATCTCCAAAAAGTGACTAAGCGGATGGTGAAACATGTTTATGATCACGGATATATATTTAAGTATAGTACCTACGCAGTAAGTGAGTGTGAGCAGATCGGGTTGGCTACGATTGTTTCTGCGGAAATCATATGAATGCCTGCATTCAATTATAATTGTTGGAATCAAGGACTAGACTATAACATGGCCTTGGGGAACTTCTTCATCGCTTGGCGCACACCAAGATCAGCCAAAATCTCCTCCGTGCCGCCCAGAATGGCATCGAACTTGTACGTCCGGTGGAACATCTCGATCACCCTGCCCATTCCAGTCTGCGTTAGACCGCGGCCTCCGAAGATGTTGGTAGCTTGTTCGGCTATCTCCTGAGCTGAGCGTGTGGCGTGGGATTTGAGCAAGCCAATGGGACCGCCCAGATGAGCGGATTGCTCTGCATAGCTCATGTTGCACATTTGGTACGCGATGGATTCGAGCCAAGCTTGGTTGGATTCGCAGAGAGAGATCATCCGAGCGAGCCTGTAGTTCCATACATTAGCGACAATCAACGGGGAAGGATCTCTTAGTGGTGAACTTACTTTTGCCGCATCACTGGCTGCTCAATCAGCTTCTTACCGAATACGATGCGCTGGTTGCACCATTTAAGACACTCCTCGACAATGGTCGCACACATGCGGATGACGCTGCTCGCCATCATGAAACGCTCGTGGTTGAAGTTGCTCATGATCACAATGAAGCCCTTGTGCTCTTCACCAAGGAGATTCTCGACCGGCACCTTGACATTCTCGAACTGCACAAACGCCGTTGCGGCAGCGGTGGAATAGGAGGTCTTGATCTGCTTCGTCTCGACACCCTCCCCACGAGGGATCAGTAGAACCGAGAAGCCTTTTTCTGTTCGACAGCCGGTGACGAAGTAGTCGGAGAACATGCCGTTCGTGATCCATTTTCTGCACGAGTCAGTACTTGTGGCCCAGTGCAGGGTTGATGGTCATACTTGGTTCCATTCACAATGTAGTACTTCCCATCTGGGGTCTTCTGAGCCGTGGTGCGTAGACCAGCAACATCGCTGCCCGCAAAGGCTTCCGTGATGGCAAGACACATCTTCTTTTTGCCAGATAGGACTTCATCTGTGATCTGTTGGCGAAGAGGTTCGTTGCGCAGCCATTGCTGAACGGCGGTCAGACTGATAGCCATGCCAGCCATGTTACCGTCCTGGAAACCTGCTCAGAGTTAGAGCTGTCGATTCCGCAATAGCGATAGTCGAAACCAAGAAACTCACCTCGAGCATTGGCCCTCACCAGCTCCTGCGAGACGATCAAATCATGCAGATAGTCGAAATCCTTCCCTTCAACGACACCCCCCAGCAGCTTCCGTCGATGCAGATGCTTACCCGGCCCCAGCCGCATCGCCAGAATATTGGTCTCCGCCATGCGATCGATCAACTCCTGACTGATATAGGTGCCGTCCCTCTCCTTCTCCTGTGCTTCCGGCGTAACGTATCGGTCCGTGAACTCGCGCAGCGCCTTCTGTAGTCGCCGATGGCTGTCGTTGTAGTAGGGACTCTTGAACGCGGGCCGCAGCCACAGAGGCTCGGCATAAGGAACCTGGCTGAGACTGCCCGGCTCGGGAGTCACGACTTCGGGGCTCTCTCCCGCTACCGTGCCGATGCACAGACGGCTGTACCGGTCCAAAACCTCCTGGCGATGGAGGTTATAAAAGTCCGTGGTGGCATCTTGACCGGCGATCTGGTTGAGGACCACGCTGCCGCCGGGGTGAGCATCGAGGAAGTCGGTGAGGTCGTAGACGCGGTGATCGATGATGCACCAGACCGAGTCTTCGGTGTTGTGCTGTGCAACCTCGGCACGGGTAAAGGTCTGGGCCATGGCTGAGAAATCCGGCGGGTAATCGACTGCGCGGACAGCACTCACTGCAGGTGAAGTCTTGTTGAGTGAGTCCGGGTTGTACAAAAGGGGCTCAGATATGTCAGGACTCAATTTGCGGGGAAGACATGCAGCAGCTTATATGCCAATCAAGGGGCGAAGATTACTACTGATGGCTGTTTGGATTTCCCCAGTTTTGGATCTGGACCGAGGCTATTGCCGCTTTGGGAAGGGATGGAGGGGCGATCACTCATCAACTTGTTAACTTGATTAAATGATCAGCCCATACCGTCTATGCGCAGTCTGTTTTGCTCGAAAATACTATACACTGAGCACTGGTTCATCGTCTTGCTCGTCTCCACCGAGCATCTTGTCCTCGGTTTAGGGCGTGTGCAACAGGATATGGGATAACTTGTCGAGGCATAAGACATTAATGCCTCAGGCTGCAACAAAAGTCCAATATTGGGCACATTCTTGATTTCTGGTTCCTAATGTGGAGCAGGTACAAGTACACCTTATTCAATCTGCGCGCTTCCGGTCATGCCTCCATTCTCATGAAACCTCCAATCTCAAGGCATCATACTGCACATATACCGTCCCAGGCAATATCGCCGTCTCCGTGTCCGTGGCATTGTACGGCAGGTGCAATGTCAAGACATTATTTCCGACCACCAGCCAGTCAGCTGGGAACTCCATCCGTGATCGAACCTGGTAGCAACTGACGGCGGACCGGACAATGCAACTACTGGACTGATTGAATCCGATCACCATGCTCAAGGGCTCCTCCTGGCCATTGATATAACTCTCCAACGAGAGATTGTTGTATTCTTCGGCTGGGTTCCATACATCGGTGTTACCGGACGCGGTCTTCGCGCCCGCAAGCTGGATGGTCAACGTCGCCTTCTTCCGCTTCTGCAGCTGCTTCTTATCCAGATTGAAGTTGATAGTCCAATCGTGGGTGGTGTCGTACTCGACATCGGGATTGTCCGGGGTCGGACCAAACACGGACCACTGCACCGTGTTGAAATCCGTGGCAGGATCGCTGCTTCCAATCGTGTAATTGACTCCGTTGGGGAAGTCTTCCTGCCAGTCATAGGCGGCCCAATAGATCAGATACTGCGGAGGGTGCAGTGGATGGGTTTCGTCTCTAGCCACGCCGCGGCGGAATTCTCCCGATGACTTGTCGGGAGTGCCTAGCCGCCAGACCTCGGTGCCTGCAGATTCCTCAACCCAAGTCTCCTGAACCTTCGTAGTCTTGCCAGCCTGTACTCGCACGCCGTCGCGCTCATAATCACCGAAGACACCGTCCGCATACACAGTGAGCCGGTACTTGCCCTCTTTGACGTGGTCAATGCTGAATTTCCCGTTCTTATCAATCTCCGCCCAGTATTGGTATGATGAAGGGTCGACTGAGTTGTCCTGGAAGTATTGTCCATCTACCGTGAGTACAGCGATCGGTCGGGTTGCTACTTTAGGGAGCTTGATGTGTCCCTGCACTGTACCTCTGACACTCGAAGGTGCATACCCGATCACGTGCTTAGCGATCGAATCATAGAATTTCACATTCCAGCTGGGGTTCGCATATGTTTCAGCATCAGACCTCAGCTCCTCCAAGGTTGATTTGGACCCCTTCCCGCCATTGAAGTGGTAGTACTGAGGGCCGAAAGTGCGGTCAAAACCGTAGGTGATGTTCGGGGTTCCTTCTCCGTGGTGATTCGACACCAAGTAGTTGTAAACGATACCATCAACGGTAAGATCGGAATGCAAGGGTCCCTAGTATGGTCAGCCTAGTCAAGGAGGTTTATTTATGACAGTAACGTACACCATAGTATGTATCCTAGCAAGTATTACGGTTAGTTCTCTGTGTGCTGCTCATTGTGAATGGACCTCACTTTTGTGTTCATTACCAGCCACGCTCCGTATGTCGTACCATCGGATGTGGTTCCATCCGCATACATACCGTGAACCGAGTTATCACGCCAATCTTCGGAACTATCAGCCATATGCGACGTGGAAGATGAAGGATCAATATCATTAACCATTTGAGAAAGTATACTTGGTAAAGTATTCCGAGAATCGAGTATAGTACGCATCGTCAGGGGTGTTATTGAATGTCCAAGTTGCATCCTGAACGACAATCTCTTTGCTGATGGCCTCTTTACTGGGAAGGGGCGCAGTCTGAACCTCGCTGGAAGTCAGGTGTGTCCACAAATCCGTGTTGGGCCGGAAAAGGGTCCGGAACTCCTGCAAGTTGCGCAAGAACGGCGTGGTCTCATTGTAGTAGGCGAGCCGACTGAAGGTGTGCAGACCTGTCTCGCCGTCGCGGAGAAACCAGTATTGCTGGAATTGCTGACCTGTCGGAGGGTACGTCTCGTTCATGATCACACCGGCATATTTGGTTCCCGTGGCATCTGTCCCTTCGACGACATCCATGCTGGGGCTTGTGGATCCTGGTGTGTAGAAGCCTGAAGGAATGCAGTAGCAATCCAGATAGGGGCCGGTCCCTGTATCCCCTGATTGCGGACCGAGTAGATCCTGGCTGTCGAGGGTAAGGTCAACTATTCTGCCTTTGTTGATTGCAAAGACCGCGGTCAGGCGGTCATTTGCCAGAGTGATCGTGCTTTCATTCTGGCCGATTCGCAGTGTTGCAGAGGCTAAGGTGAGGCATGTCGCCAACACGCCAAAGGGAAGAGTTGGGCGCATCGTGACTGATTCTGTAGACGGATCTCGACAGCGATGTCCATGGCCATCGTGACATGACGCACTGACTGTCGTCTTGCTTTTATAGTCGGTGGCATGATGGAAGGCTTCGGACACAGATCATCCCGGATGAACGATCGTCCTGACTCATGACAA